AGGACTCCTTAAATCCCTTCCTATATCTAATCGCTACTTTAAGGATATATAGATAGACTTTATCGTAAACCTATCCCTATTAAAGGATAACCGGTATATATAGGTAATTAAGAACCGCTTAAATAAGATTATAATCCTCGAGCTTACGCTTATTATAAACGTAAAAGCGTATACGGAGCGCTTCCTAGCGTATTACGTCCGATATTATAACTAATTAAGGAGTATTATAAGCGATAAAGAATCGAATTAACTAAGCCGTTTCTAGAGTTATTTTTACCGATTAATAGGTATAAAATAAAAACTAAGTACGGTATATTACCCCTAGATAGATAAGGGCTCCGAAAGGATTAATTAAGAAATCTAAGCGGTATTATAAAGCTATATTAATTACGAATAAGACGATTAAATATAATAACTACTTATCGTTTAATTAGCGTTAAACGGACGGCTTAATACCTCGATAAAGTTCTTTTCTTTCTTTACGATATACGGCTTCGATTTAAACCTTATACCTACGGTTTCCGCCGATCCGGGCGCGGAAATAATACCTTTACTACCGGAACTTTAGGCGAAGGCGTTCGTAAATAAAGTCCGCGTAATTTTAAACTTCGTATAAGTAACGCTAGCCGTAGCCTTTTAATAATACGAATTTTACGTAAACTAAAAACGATTCCCGGCCGAAAGACTTTAAATAAGCGATAAAGTATAACTTAACCTTACTTATTATAATACGGGTAAACCTAAGAAAAAGCTCGATTAATTAAAGGTAAAATATACGGTTACGAAAGTACTAAACCTATACGTAATCGAATTAAGAGGTATCCCGGCCGAGATCGATAATAAGTTTTACGTCGATTAATTACGAAAAACGCATATGAACGAATTACTAGGCTAAACCCGAAACGACTTATAGCCTTTCTTATTATTTATCGAAAGGATTAACGAATTTATAATAAAGGAAATCTTTTACGTAAAAGATAAAAAAGTAAGCAGGAAAAAATAACGCGAAGTTTTAATACGTTAGAAGGGCTATTAGGAATTATCTTAGTACCTATTATCCGACTTTATAAAGGCGGAGGTATTAAACGTTTACGAAAATAAGTACGGATTAATAACCGTAAATAACGGCTTAAGGGAAAAATATACGACTTAAGAAAACTTAAAATTACGATTAATTAAAAAACGGAATACCTAGGAACCGGGCCGCGAAGCTAAATCTCTTTCTTAAACGTTATAAAAGCGTTATTTAATTATAAAAAAAAAAAAAAAGTAAGGGGGGGCCGATTAATCGTCGTCGTCGTCGTAATCGCCGTCCTTTTCTTTCCCCGGAAAGGATTCGAAAGTATTAGCTTTTTCGGCCTTTTCGTCGAGGATAAATCGGGCGGCGAAGGAGCGACGGGCGCGCGCGACGCGGTTAATACCTAACGTTTCTAAGGAAAGAGGGAAAGTTAGGAAACGGAAGCGGCGTTAAAAGCGGCGGAAGCGTAAGTAAGGGCGCGGGAAGCGGGCCGGCGAGCGAGAACGGAAACGCCGGGAGCCCTTTAAGGCGTTAATCCGCTTCTCTAGGGCCGAAACCGTACGCTAAAGGGCGGCGTTATTAAGGCCGGGAACGGCGGGAATAACGGACGAACCGGCGGAGGTAACGGACGAGCCGGCGGAAGCGGCGGCGGCGACGGTAAACGAACCGATAAAGGCGGCTTCGTTAAAGCGGGGGGCCGGGCTAGAGGCTTAGGCTATAGGGTTTACGAATTCCTTAGAAAAAGGGATTAATATATAAAAAAAAAAAAAAAAAGGAAGAAGGGAGGCTAACGGGCCGATTAAGCCGTAGGCTAGTAAGCGTTCGGCGGCGTTAACGAAAGCGAAGGCGTTCCGTAAGCGGAAGTCGCTAACGGAGGTACGGCCGGTTACTTATTAATAAGCGGTAGGAAGCGCGACGATAAGGCTAAGAGATATTAATAATAATTACTTATACGGGATATACGTAATACCTATAGCGGCTAATAGCTATGCCCGTTAGCTACGTACTTTACGTACGCCGGGCCCCGGTCCTTTTTATCGTAATAAGTACGTAAGGCGCCTACGTAACGACGGTAGGAAAGGACGCGGGTATCCGCCGGACGGGTAACGGCCGAGCGAGGAATAATAACCGTACGCGGGGCGATAACCGTATACGGGGGGATAAGAGTTTAAGGAAAGGCGGTAGCCTTTTAAGCGGCGGACTTAAGGCTAGGAAAGGCGTTTTCTCGCTATAAAACCGATTAATACGTAATTAAATAAAAGGAATAACGAAACGGGAAAGGTTAGCCTTATTAAGGCCGTTACGGTAGCGATACTATTAACGTTATTATTATTACCTTTATCGGCGGAAGGAACGGACGTAAGGCGTCGTATTAAGCGACGAAAGGTAAAAACGAAAAGACCTAAGGAATCGGGAAACGAAAAAGAAAACATTTATTAATATTACGTTAGCTAGAAATTAATCGAATACCCTACGGAACGCGCGAATTAAAAGGAAAGCTATATCCCGACGAAATACGGCCTTAATAATAATATAATAGCGACGAATAGCCATAGAAAAGGAGGTTTACCTACGTTAGTTAAGGTAACGGGAGCGGAAGAGCTATTATTATTATAAAAAGAGGAAAGGTTTAAAAGAAGAAGTAAGAAAAGAAATAAGAGAAAGGTTAATTAATTAAAAAGAAAAGGAAGCGCTACTAATTAAAAACGATTCGAATACCTTAATTAACAGAAAGGGAAGCTTATATAATAAGCTACGCCTAATTATAGAACCCTAGTTAGTATAATACCAAGGTACGTAACCGCTCCTCCCGCATATAACTAACTCCTAAAGGCGCGGCCTTAATAAAGCGTACCTTTCTTCCTTTTCCTCTTCGTATAGCTTTATTCCTTTAATTTATACCCTTTTACCTAACGAATAGCTCTTGAAACCGTAACATTTTAAAAACGTTAAGAAAAAATAGAATAAACTTATTTCTTTAACTAGAGCTTGCTTTTAGGTTAATTATTATATAAACTTTACATTAAAAACTTTTATTAATAATTAGCTTAAGAAGTTTATGAAAATAAGGGGTTTTAAATTAACTATATATATAATAATCTTTATTTCTAATATATAAAATAAAATGCTATGCTGTGGCTTTCGAAATTACAGATAGCATTTATGAATGCACAAATAAAGAATGTACCTTACATAGCGTTCGTGTCAGACAGAGTGATAGCAGCGAGATTATAGGGCAAACTAAGGTACCTGGTATAATCACGTTACTATTTATAGAGTTGACAACAATGCCGGTCACAGCCTGTGTATGCTTGCCCGTGCTAGACGCGAACTCGGTAAAAGAATAGACGTTGCCATTATTCAGGATAGATTAGGTACAAATGGCTCTCAGCTCTAGTGGAAGTAAGCCGTTGCTAGAGACGAGTAAAAGTTCTACACTACTACTACCAGCAGGCATCTACTAGTAGAGAGAGAAGCTGTAATAGGCTGTGCCTAGTAGCAGAGTCCTGGTTGGTACCGGGGCTTGGCACCTGATCACCCTCTCAGCACCTATGGAGGTTAAGTTAGCTGTTGCAGGTGCGGCTCCTTAGGGGCGCACTTTTTTTTCCCTCTCTCTCCTCGTACAGCTTCCAATCGTCAATATGCGGCTTTTACGCAGCGAACAGCCCTTGAAACCGTGACAAAAGTACTGCAATATGCTCTGCGCAGCAGCACGGAACAATCTAGACTGGCCGGAGGCTGCGAAGAAGTCGAACCACATGGTGCTCAGACGTTTTAGGCGCCGCTCGGCCAGAGAGTCGGTGAACTAGACCGTTCTGAGACCAAAGATAGGCTGTCCTGTTTCAATTCCGACCCCTGATATTTGCTTTATTTTCCGGCCGCGCAGCGAGCAAAAGCACCTAGCGCCCTGAGGTTATATTCTTCTACTGTGGCCATCTAAGGAAAGGGTGAACAGTTGATGGAATTGCAGCTATCTACGTGGCCTTTTGGAGCCGTTTTTCGTGCCTTTTATCTCCCGATTGGCCCTCGCTAGGGCAGGGCTCATCCTGTGGCTGCACGTGACCGATTGCGTGCTTGCGCGCCCACATCTACGCTTTAGCGTTAGGCGGTGGCTACAAGTTGTCATTGGTAAAAGGCGGCAGGGTAGAAGTAGATTGTCTAGAAACGTCTAATTTTACTTAGTACCGTCTTTATCTTTATTTTCAACTTTAGGGTTTTAGAAAAGTACAAGTATAATAAAGGTAATACTATTAAAACTTAACTTAATATTATAATATATATTTAAAGTAAAAAATTTATATATTATATTATTTTAAGTTTTTATTAAAATTATAAGAACTCTAATAATAAGTTTGCTTTAAAGTTATTAAAATAATTTATATTATTTTTATTAGCTATAAGGTATATTTATTTATTTCATTATGAAATATTGTAATAAAAATTTAATAAAAAAATTATATTAAGAATATAATATATATATAATTTAAGTTTTAATAAATTTAGTAAAGTATTATAGAGTATTGTAATAAATATTAATTAATTAATAATATAGTTTCTATTAAATAAAAAAGCTAATTAACTATGATATTAATTTATTATATATAAGTATTATAATATATAATGCTAACTATATATACTAAAACAGTATAGTATGTACTTATTTATTTACTATCTACTTGCTTAAGCTCCTTTTATTTTATATTAAAAGTTTTTAGTAGATTTTACTTTATTCGTTACTTATTTTTACCCTTACTCTCTGCTTAGTTATTTACTTTCTTTTCTCCAATCCTGTTGCCCGCTGCTTTATTTAGTCTACGTTCATATTTGGATTTATCTCTTCTTTTTATTAGGTGCCTCGATTGCGACTCGTTCGAATTGCGGCGACCGTAGCAACGAACAGCCTAGGTTGTTTACCTTGTTTTTGCTACACGCTTAACTTGTTCTCAAGACGCGATTTTATTTATCATGTCGACGTGGCAGCAAGAGCCTAAAACGTTTAGATATTAAACCGTCCGTTTCTACCTGGCTTGCGGTTTAATGCTCGTTGTTATAATCAACCTATATCGATCAAAATGAGCCTCCAGCAGCTACCAAATGGCATGACCATAGACGCGCTTCGAAAGTTGTTCATCGACGGAACTACGCCGCCCGAAATCGAACAAATACTTCTACAGTCTACCTCGATATGCCGTGCTCTATTAGGATGGCCAGTCTTAGAGGAAGTACGTCGCATTATCGTGAGCGGAAAGCCGTCTAGACTCACGTCAAAGTTGCTCTACGAGATGACGGTATTGGAGGCTACGTCAAGTCTCAGTTCGGACCGTACTATCCAGACCCCAATTCTTAAGTCGAGTGGGACTTCGGACTCTGTGGCTGTCCCCAAGAGAATTCAGGCCACTCCAGCATTGCCGTCGCAGGACCCAGGCACGGCATTTCTAGGTAAACGGACCTTTACGGCTAAGCGGACGAATCGTCCTGAACGGTTCCTCTCGCAGACTAGTACCGATACCAAACCGCTCGTCCAGGAATCCGCTGAGGCACCTTTGCAAGCAGCAGCCACACACGTCTGGCGTGCCGGTCCTAGCCCCGAACCAGCTAGGATCGTAAGCGATATTGCAGAACCCGCTCTGATCTATAGTTATTCTGGGGCCTCATTGCATTCCCCGTGTATTCCAGGGCTATCTTCAACTCTCAGTAAATCCTCAGACATGACAGTCCAACCATCGACTGCTTCCGTGGCGATGCGCAGTTCTGCAAGTGGTAAGGTCGTGGCCGGTCCGCGTTACAGCGTCATAAATTAATGTGGGTCACAGATATCGCCGTGGTCAGCTCTCGCGAGAAGATGCTGAAAAGAAAGCGAGATGGGTCTAGTTTGCCAGGTATGTCAACTCAGTCAGCGACCCGTAGAGAAGAGTTCTAGGCTTAAGAAAAGCAGGGGACGACTCGAGCTCGCAGAAAAGTCGAAAGAATCCGATTGAAGCTGGGTCGCCTTTATCTGATGAGCAGTCTACGCCAACAGATCCTGGCTCCGATTTCCAAGAGGCTGCCGATGATCACGTGATGTCTACGCCCTCCGCAATCGAGTCGGCTGGTACAACTGACAGCAGTGGGTTGAACGATGGGAGCCAGCCCAGCAAAGATGTGGGCAGCAGCAGGCCCGACAGCGAGGCGCCCGGGAGAACGGGGGAAATACGTGTAGAAGAGGGGGAAACCTCCATGCCGCCGCCCTTAGTAACGGATTGGAAATATACGGTATGGACATGTAAGCCTTGTTCCCCCTGGTCCCCATTTGCTCCGTATGTAGGTGTTAGCTGACCATCACAGTACCGTCGGGGGAACAGCAGAACACTTATGGCGCAATACTGCCCGAAAGCTACAGGCTTCATGATGATCCTAAGCTTCCGTGGATCTGCCCAATCCGCAATTGCCGCACCTTATTATCGAGGCTTCCCGGGCTCGGTGCTCACTTCAACGTACGTATCCCAAGACACTGAAATCAATAGTCCTAGAATGCTCACCACTGTTACAGCGAATGCACAGAGGCGCGTTGCTTAATGACAATGGGGATGGGACCTTATCCATCGTCAGGAAGCTGGACATGGATCATATGAAAGCGCCTGCCATAGTAGTCTCCAATAGACCGCTTGACCCCAACGAACCGCCCATGCTAACACCTTTAGCCTCCGCATCGTATGCCTATACCAGGGCAAAACCTCATACTTCGCGGCCCGCCAGAGCGCCAAAAAGAACATTGGCCGTGCCAAAATCGAGCCCAAGGAAAACACCGGGATCGATGGGTGAAGCTGGTATATCGTTGTGGAAATATATTCAGCCTCTACTGGTGCGAACACCGCCATCCCCGTTACCTCGTCTCGGCTGTAAGTGGTTCCGTATTCACCCTACGTCTCATCACTGCCCCATTTCCACTACGCTGCTTCGAAATCTCTAGTTTAAAACGATAACTAGAGATATAGCTCTCGCGCACCTAACCTGCGGCAGAGGAAGCTGACCTGTGCCGCGCTAGATGTCCCAGAGCTTTTGCAGTCGCTACGTCGCGTTCGGAACGTCGAATTCAACCCAAACGCGCAACAGCCCTACAACGAGCGAACTGAGAAAGACATCAGTGCAATGATCATCCAGGCAGCCGGACGAGAGGCAGAGGTCGCTTGCACCAGGTGCCAAGAAGGAAGGGGTCCCTTCAAAGGATGTTACATCCTCCCCCTAGATGCCCCTCTGAGAGTGCGCCGGTCGGTCCTGAGTTGTGGCAACTGCCTTTATAAATGCAAACAGACTTATTGTAACCTGAGGAAATGGACGCTGGAGACCTATCCGGAGCTCGAGACCGCCCAGAAACAGGAGGGAGCAACTTTGAAAACAGAAGCAGCAGTTTCTCCGGATTCTCGGCGCCTAACCGTGGTCGAGAAGTCGGTGGAGAGACGTTCTGCGCGAATTGTGCTTAAGGAATCAGCGGCGGCTAAGGAGTCAGCTGCAGCGGGGCGTCCGGTGGCGGCGAAGCATGGCGCTGCGCACGATGCTAACCAAGTCGAGAGCACTCCCGGCGATTCGGGGGCCGTAACCACCCGCGCCAACTCCGACGAGCACTCGTTACGCCATTCCCACAATGCGAATCTTCAAGAACGCCCTCAGGATAGCCGGGCTAGCGTATCTTCTGCCAACATCATTAACCCGATACACATGCTAGAGCTTGAGATGTGGGAGGTCGCGCCCGGCCGTATGGGTAGCGACGGAGACGATACGATTGGAAGTACGTGCCTTCAGTATTGCTCGTCCCAGATCGCTGCGTCTAGCCCCCACCCCGCCGGCTTGCTAACAGGTAGATGCTACAGATTTTGCATTCTCGAATGCCTATCTCTCCCGGAATCAGGCCGTCCGAGTCGGGCGTGACGTTTCGTTCCAGGTCATAACAATCAAGCCGGGAACCATCCATACGTGGGAGCCCTGCACCGACAAGCTGCGCCTCTGCTCGGTAGCATCTGGGAAACTTCAGGTCAAGATCCACGGCCAAGAGTTCCCGGTGGGGCCTAACGGCATGATCAGGATCAAGTCAGGGGCTAACTGCAGCGCCATGAATAAGCTTTACATCGACGCCGTAGTGCACGTTACCGTGGTGCCGGGCGACTTATGCGGATAGAGAAAGACGAAGGAGGTATTCTGCGACGCAGAGGACCCAACGTGCGCATACGGATTCTCTTCGGCAACGGACTGGGCGTTGCTGTCTTATACTTACTAGAGAGGCATTTCGTCCTTGTACGTGTAACACACCCGCTAGTCGGGTGTTGGGATTCGGAACTCGAATTCGAAACTGGATACGCACTAGTCTGTGTACGACGGAGGAGATAATACATAATATAGTAATACAGGACCAACGAGGTACATACAAGACGCTGAAGTGACGAGTTGAAGAGAAATAAATCCCAAGGATTTTAAGCAGACAACGTGGCGAAACTGGTAACTAAGTTGCTCTTCCAGGCCAACTCCCGGTTAACAAAGATGTCCGATCGTTACCCTTACAGGGCGGAACGCAACGCAACGCAACGCAACGCAAGATTTCCCACTTGAGCAAGGCGTGGATGAACATGACGCCGAGAGGCAGCGAAGAAATCTATTTTTTTTTTTAAATTAGTCTATACTCCGATCCGCCCTCGTCTCTTATCGGCCGTGGGGCCACCCCAGTCCTCTCTCTTTACACGCCACCTTCTCGTGTGGCCCCCTCCCCTTCTTTTCCTCCTCTCATCACGACAAGTTGATGGCGAAGTCGGGGTTGCCGCGGAAGTAGGTCTCGGAGGCGGAGCCGACGGTCTCGAGGGGGAAGTCGACGACGTCCCACTCGTTGAAGCCGGCGGCGCGAGCGTGGTCGGGGCTGCCGTAGTCGTACGTGACGACGAGCCGGTAGCGGCCCTCGGCGCCGGGGCGGCCGGGGTCCTGCCGGAACTGCCACTCGAAGGCGGGGTCGGCGCAGGGCCGCATGGTGACCGCCGGCAGCGCCGACACCGACGTGTCGTCGCTGTACGCGCAGGACGTGCCCCGCCCCGTGTCGGGCACGTGGAGGTCGAAGGAGAAGCTGCTCGGCGGTTAGCCCACGGCGCGGGGCGAGAAACCAAAAAAAAAAAAAAAAAAAAAAAAGGGCGGGAGGGCGAGCTTACGTGGCGCCGTTGCCGTTCGGCTGCGTGTGCGCAGTGAACTTGGCTACGTTGAGGATGCTTGGCTTGGAGACGGGCGCGGCCGCGACTGAGACGGCCCCGAGGAGTAAGGGCGAGACGGCGGCGAGGAACTTCATCTTGGTGGCGAGTTGAACCGGCGTCTGGGTTTAGCTACTGTTGGGGTTGAGTGAGTTGCTGTGCTGTTCGAGTCGTGTTGCTGACTACACGAGGTTGACGATGGGTGGCGATGATAGATGTTCTTGTCTCCCGGTCGAGGGCGACAGCGGACCGCTCTTATATATATATATATGTGTATGTATGTATGGATATGTATTTTACGCTTTATACTCGTATTCACAGAGCTAATATACACACCGCACATAAATCCGTACCCGTGGCCTATCGAATCCACCAACGCAGGTGTGGGAATCCATCCGACGATCCGACTTACACGAGTGAGTAACGTTGTCCGTGGATGCCACCACCGACAGGACCGCATCGTGGCGGTGCGCACTCGTCCAGCTGGACCGCGTCCGTGTCTCGGTGTGTGGATGGATGGACGCAATTCGTTAAACCTCGGGCGTCGGCTCGACGGGGAGGACGTGCTGGGTGCGCAGGTAGCTCGATGGTGGAGTGAAGAGAGTCATGCCACACGAATCCTGCTCGTGTGAAGGCGCGCCAGTCAGTATAGACGCAGGCTTACGTACGCGCGCGAAGGGCGATTTGCGCATCGCGACGGCTGACGCTCGCCTCCCCCTCCCCCGCCATAGGTCCTAGGCTAGCGGAAAAAAGCCAAGAATGACAGGATAATACGGCGATGCCGAGTGTTCGTATTGTGCCCGAGATGGGCGCAGGAAGGGCGTGATCTGGGACATCTAGGTACCTAGTCGCAGACCAGATCCGACTACTACATGGTGTGTGCGTGTGCACAACGCTGCTCTCCGCGACTCCGGGCAGGCTAACCCGACGAGGATGGGGATTGTGGAGAGATAGAGAGAGAGAGAGAGAGAGGATGAGGAAGAAGAAGAAGGGGTGAAATGACGGCAATATTAGAAGCCTGGGGGGGGAGGATTGGGATTAATAGCGGCCCGGCACTGGGCGACAGAGTTGTATGGGTGGTTGAAATTGACAGCAATTAGCGGTGGACGTTTAGGGGGTAGGTTTGGGCTAGCACTAGGCGACTAAACGCCTACCTATCTTAGTGCCGTATTGCCTGGGCGGGGGCGGGCTCTATGCTCTAGGCTCTAGGATCAGTACCTAAGATAAGAAGACATATAGGGGGTGGTTTATTAGGGCACCCAAGATGGGGATAGCTGGCTGCTGGGCCCCCCTATTAATTCCCGGGACCCCAAACTGGGCAGATGGGGCCTGCGCCCATAGGGCTGCAGCACATGGCACTGACACGCGCGGGTCCCCATGCCGTCTTTCCTCTTCCTCGCTAGTAGGCCTTGGATGTACCGAGCGTAAGGTATGTCCCTAACGTAGGAGGTTAGGTACCTAATCTTAGGTACCTAATCTTAGGTACCTACCTACCTGTAGGAGGTATATATAAGAGGTAGGTACCTCTAGGAGGTAGGCACTTAACCAACCTCTCCTCTCTTCTTCGCCCTTAGGGACGTGAGAGAATAGGTACCTTAGGTAGGTATCTACCTAGGTGAGGTGGGCAAGAAAAAGGAGGCGCCGCAATCGAACCTCGTGTTCCGCTGCCGCCTTTAGGTGAGATGTCTGCAAATAACCAACCTACCAGGCGCGGCTTTTTTTTTTGGCCAACCTGGCGATTCTCGCCCGTTGATGATCTCGGGCACCCCACCATCATGTCGCGTGCTACAAAGAGGTACCTACCTGCCTAGGCACCTCCTAACGTCCACTGGGACCGTGTTCTGGCTCTCAGTACCCAAGAGGTACCTAAGGTAGGTATATCGGACGTCCGAGCGAGCGGCAATATTTGGTCATCCACTCTCCGATGGCGTGCCGTTCGTTCTCTACCTGTCTCTCGCTGGTCCTCTTTTCATCCTCCTCTCCTTTCCCCTCCATCTCTTCTCGTAATTGTCTAGACTCTACGTGCTGTCGACGAGCCCATCTCTTGACGTATGCGCCAACGGGTCTGACAGGTCGCAACCGGTAATGAGGACGATGGGTGATGCAGCTGGTGCGACGGCTGGCTGGGCCATCCGGCGAGACGCGACGAATGGTGGCCGTGGCCCCCCGCTGTCGTCACCATCCTACCTCCTCTTCGTCCCTCTACTCAAAAGAATTCCCGAGGTTAGTCGCGGTAACGGCGGCTTCGCGAGCAGAGCTCTCCTCATTTTCCCTACCAATGGCATTCCCGCTCCATCACCCTGCTTGCCATGCGGCACGCGCTGCCGTACCTGGCGGCGGGCCAGCCTACCAGCCCACCACCACCTCGTAACGGGCTCGGGGTTAAGCACCGTCGCTTCTGGCCAGCGACAAAGCGACACTATTCCGGCAATGGGGACACTGCCGGTCTCGCCCATGGGGTTCTTTATTCGCCTCGCCTCGTCTCGCCCCTTGCTTCACGTGGACCTAAATCGATGCGACTGGTGGCTGATCTGTCCCGACTCGCAGCACCCCACGGCTCATTCGGTTCCTCATGATTACGTGCAACGTCGCCGCGCAACGTAGGATGGGTAGCGCTGGGGTTAGCCTCTTTATTCGAGAGTGACTATTGCTGCCACCGTACCGGCCGCGGTGATAGGCCGTATTATCTCCCCAGCATCCTATCGGGACCGAAACTGTCCATCCCATCTTATGGAATGCCACCTCCCTCGTCTTATTTGGGCATGTCACACAGTCTATCCGCCCAGTATGGCTCTAAGTTCTCACCCCCATTGGAGCTCACCGCTAGCGACTCGGCCTTCTCGGGCAGATTAGATGCGCCTCTTTGTCTGAACTAAGCTGGTCACGATGTCGAGCTTCCCCGCGTTGAGAATTACCCCAGACGGTAGCTTACCACCCTCTGTCTCTGCCGACTCGGCCCCATCCTCTTACCCCCTTGTTGCGACTCGAGTCCGAGTCTTACACGACTATATCTCCGCTTCCTCCGCATCTCTCTCACCCCCCAGACCCTGCATGCCCATAGTTATGCTCCAATGGCGACCAAAGTCTTACCCAACGACGTGGAGAAGGGCAGTGGCCCGGTGGCAGAAGAGCACGAGGGGAAGCCTGTAAGTCGGACCTGTGCAGTCTCTCTGACAGCAAGGCCCAGCTGAGTTGCTCACCTTCGCTAGCCCGCCATCAACGCGGTTTCCACCTCTCTCGAGTCGGAGCGGTCGTTAGTATGGAAACAAGACAAGCGCATCGTCCCGCTGGCTGCGGCTACTTACTTCCTCTGCTTCGTGGACCGGTCTAATATCGGCAACGCCAAAGTTCTCAACAGCACGACTGGGAATGACATGCAAACCGAGACCGGGTCCTCGGACTATCAATTCAACATCGCGCTCATGGTCTTCCTCATAAGCTACTTCCTGTTCGAGGTCCCGTCCAACATCTTGCTTAAGAAGTTCCGGCCATCCCGATGGCTTGCCTTCCTGATGTTTTCCTGGGGCGCCATTACTATCGGGCTCGGAGGCGTCCAGAATTACCCTGCTATGGTGGGCGTCCGCTTCCTACTGGGTGCCTTTGAAGCCGGCCTCTTCCCTGGTCTGGTGTATCTCTTAACGTTCTGGGTGAGTGCGGCCGAAAATTCCCCCTCCTAGGTCCAACAGAAGCGGGGTGCTCCCCGAGTCTTTTCTAGCTCGTCAAACCACGAGGGAGAAATTTGGGCGAAGCGCCCATCCGGCCACATAATCTGACTTGGGTGGTTCTTCAGTATAGACCCGAGGAACGAAGCGTCCGAGTAGCTTTCATCCTTGCAAGCGCTACCCTCGGCGGCGCCTTTGGCGGCGCGATAGCCTACGGAGTCGGCCACATGAATCGGACCCGTAATCTCTCTGCTTGGAGGTGGCTCTTCATCCTCGAGGGCATTCCCTCGTGCCTCTCTGCCGTCTTCGTGTGGTTCATCCTGCCTGACTATCCCGAACGGGCGTCGTGGCTCTCGGAGGCAGAGAAGGGTCTAGCAGCTCAGCGTGTCCGCGAAGGCTCCCAAGGGTCTGCTCCCGCCCTAACCTGGGCCGACGCCAAAGCCACTCTTACAGATTGGCGACTCTACGGACACTATGTCATCTACTTCGCCGCGTCTCTACCCTTCAGCTCTCTCTCGCTGTTCTCGCCGTCGATTGTCGCCGGTCTCGGGTATCAGGACCTAGAAGCTCAGCTGATGACAGTGCCTCCTTGGGCCGTCGCATACGGTAAGCTAGCTCCCCGAGGCTTGCAGTTACAGGCAACACCATACTAATTCTAGCAGTCGTCCAAATCCTCATGGCGTGGTCAGCTGATCACTTCAACAGTCGTGGCTATCACGCCGCGGCTGCCGCGATTGTGGGCGCGGTGGGCTTCTTAACGTCTGCCGCGCTTCCTGCCGACGCTTTCCACGGCCGTTACGGTTGTCTCATCATTGCGACTGCCGGATCTTTCTCATGCGTCCCACCCCTGCTCGGATGGCTAACGTCCAACTTGTTCAGCACGGCCTCGATTGGTTTGGCTGTAGCGATTAATATTAGCATTGGTGGCGGTCTCGGGCAGATTCCTGGGGTCTGGATCTATAAGGCCGACGAACGGTCTAGAGGGTACCCGACCGGCCACGGAGTGAACTGTGCGATGCTGTTCGTCGTGGCCGTCGGTGCCCTCTCCTTGAGATACTTCTACGGACGGCGAAACCGAGCCCTCTTGAAAGCCGCTCCCGAAGGGACAACCCCTAGACTATATCGGCTATGACGGCGTTATCAGATGCGGTATCATACAGTCGCCGAATGCCGCCTTTTAGATTCCGCACTCGGAACATCTAGGGCAAGTCTATCAGAACAGGCTAGGCTTGACAGCTACCCATCCTAGGATGGGTATTGGTACCTAGAATAAGCTGGATATAGGTATGCACCTGCGTTGTCAGTTGCGCCTCACGGATCTACTATCTGGCTCGAGGAGGAGCCGTACTTGTCGTATACCGTATTCTGGGGGTTGGTAAATGTCTAGGTAGCGTGTAATATTTGCCCCAGCCTCTCTCATAAAAGCGCGTCGGCAATTACAAAATCAGATAGTCTCAAGCGACCTGTCAGAACCACTTGAGCCCCCGTGTTTTGGGAGCCGCCACGGACGCCAAGCCGATCCGCCTCCAAGCTGGATCTTGTATACGGCGTACAGTACCGAGCCGAGTGACGCAGCTTGGGGTGCCAAGCCAATACGGGTTAGATGCCGACGGCGTTGACGGATGGGATGATCGAACAAGGAGGAGCTTACATTTAGAAAACGCTTGTCTTGTCGGACATGACCCTAGTAGATTGCTTCGCCAGAACCGGGATTGGAACCTACCCGTAATCCAACACCGCATGTCTGGAGCTCGGTTGTTACACTTTGGATCGATCCCGTACGAGCAGAGACACCCAATACACCGACACAACGGCCTACGTCCCCGGAATACGCATTCTGTCGGCAAATCATCTCGAGGGAGACCCCGCACTTGACACCAAGAAGCAGGGCCAATGTTCTTGGGGGCACCAGGCCAGACCGTTCGACACCGCTTCTCGACGGCGAAGGGAGGGTCTCTTCCCTTTGTCTCTGCCCCTGCAGGAATTATCTCCTCCACCCGTGGCTGGTAAGCCTCGGCGACTGTTTCGCGGATCACTACGTAGTATGTGCTCTGCCGATCTCTCGGGTTTCCGGGGGGTGCCACCACAGGTAATCCCGTGCAATCCCACCAAGGAGATCAACGAGTTCGGCTTAGCACTTGGGTGCCATTGCCAGCATATAGGAGGTATATAATATATATATCTATATATATCATACCTATGTATATATAGATGTACGTGTGCCGATATACGTAGGCGGCCTATGTATGTCTTGTCTATGGGAGCCAAACTTCAGGCTAAAGTCGGACGGGAACATCACGCCCTAAAACAGCAGTTCTGACCGCGAATCGTGCGGAGGAATGGACATGCCCTTATTCAACATGAGATACTTCAACATTCCCCGATCATGCATTAATGTCGTAGCCTTAGCTACTGTCCTCGTTGCCATCACCACGGCGTCAGCGTCGGCCGAGAACATCCAACACCACCCCATCGCTAGACAGAACGGCAGCACGAGATGTCAGGTATCTACCTTCGCCAGCGCGCTTCCTCCCGAGGCGAGGGTTGAGAGGGTCGAGGCGGTCGGCCCCGGCGGCACGTTCGGCGAGCCCCTGACAAACCTCATGTACCCGATCCCGCCAACGAACCTGCCGGAGCTGTGCGCCGTGATCGTCGCCGTCGCATCGTCGGCCACGTCAACCTACCGCTTCGGCTTGTTTCTGCCCACCGAGTGGAGCGGGCGCCTCCTCACCGTCGGGAACGGCGGATTCGGCGGCGGCATCAACTGGCTCGACATGGGCGCCGGCGTGCAGCTGGGCTTCGCCGCGGCGTCGACGGACACGGGCCACAGCTCGACGACGGGCGACGCGCGCTGGGCGTTCAACAACTCCGAGGCCCGCGCCGACTGGGGCTACCGCGCGATCCACGGGACGGTGTCGATCGGCAAGACGCTCGTCGCCGCGTACTACGACCGCGCCGCGGACCGCTCGTACTACAGCGGCTGCTCGACGGGCGGGCGCCAGGGGCTCAAGGAGGTGCAGATCTCGCCCGAGAGCTTCGACGGCGCGCTCGTCGGCGCGCCCGCCTGGTACACCAGCCACCTCAACACGTGGGTCTGCAGGATCGCCACGTACAACTGGCCGGCCGACGACCCGAAGCACATCGACTGGCGGACGCTGGCGCCGCTGGCCGCCGAGATCGTGCGCCAGTGCGACGCCGGCGACGGCGTCGCCGACGGCATCATCAGCGCGCCCGAGCAGTGCGACGTCGACTTCGACGCGCTGCGCTGCGCCGACGAGAGCACCAGCAGCAGCAGCAGCAACAGCAGCGCCAGCGCCCCGTTCGCCACCTCCTCGTACTGCCTGTCCGACGCCCAGATCGGCACGCTGCGCAACGTCTACGCCGGGTACGTCGTCGCGGACACGGGGGAGACCGTGGCGCCGGGCTTCCTGCCGGGGTCGGAGCAGCAGCTGTACGCCGTGCTCAACTACTCGGACGCGAGCCCGTACGGGCTCGGGTACGTGCGGTACTTCGTGCTGGACGACCCGACCTTCACGCTGGCCGACTACACGGACGACGTGCTGCGGCTGGCGGCGGCGCGCGACCCGGGCAACGCCACAGCCGACGCGTACGACCTGTCGGCGTTCCGCGACCGCGGGGGCAAGCTGCTGCTGTACCAGGGGGCGGCGGACGGGCTGGTGCCGGCGACGACGGCGCGGCAGTACTACGAGCGGGCGGTGGCGGCGACGAGCGGCGGCGACGTCGCCGCCGCGCGCGGCTTCTTCCGCCGCCTCGACGTCCCCGGCATGCAGCACTGCGGGCTGTCGGCCGTGGGCGCGCCGTGGGCCCTCGGCGGCGCCAGCCAGGCCGGCATGCTCGGCCCCGCCGCCGCGTCGGTGCCCGGCTTCGCGGACGCCGCCCACGACGCCCTGCTCGCCCTCGTCGCCTGGGTCGAGCGCGGCGTCCCCGTCGACAGCGTCGTCGCCACCGCCTGGCGCAACGCCACCGACCCCGCCTCCGGCGTCCTGCGCCAGCGCCCCGTCTGCGCCCACCCCCAGGTCGCGCGGTGGGACGGCGTCGGCGCCGTCGACGACGCCGCCAGCTGGCGCTGCGCCGAGCCGGCCGCGGATACCACCGCCCAGACCCCCGAGCAGACGAGCGCCGCCGCGCCCGGCGCCGCCGCGCGGAACCCGCTTGCAGCGCTGGTGAGGGCCGCGAGGGGCGTGATCGGGGCGGCTAGCCCCGGGAGACTGTAGACGAGGGTGGGAGGGGGTAGTCGGGAAACGCCAGGCCAAGCACTGCACACACGCAAATAGATCGTAATGCCAGGTCGACGGAGTAGTGGCAAGCACTCCAGATGCAGGTCTATAAATATATTCCAGACGCATCTGCTCTCTCGGAACAGCTGTCTCGCATGTTCTGCTTTCGTTCACCGTGGATGGGTGCGGGGACGGAGGTGGGCGGGTGGAGACCGTCTATTTTCTCGCCAAGCTACAGGGCAGGAGACGAGGGAAGCCGTCGCGGCGAGTGGTCTAAAATTACAACACGTCCCCCCGGTAGGATACTAGGTAGGTAGCTTCAAGCTATCTATATGAGTTCAATATAAAGGAGCATGGTATCTTATAGCGGCGGGATAAAGTCGATCGAAAACCCGGCTCTTCCCCCATTCCCAGTCCCCCTGGGATCCCTATGTGCATGTCCGCACGCTTCCACATCTGCGTTTCTTACCCTTTCCTAACGCCCGTCATCACGGATATCCTATAGATCTTTCCCGGCCTCCTAGCCGAATATTACTCACGTTTGCCCTCCTCTCATTCACTGATCCTGTCTTATAGCGAAGAACCAGCCCGGTGCGTTCTGCTGACCTCCAAGATGCCCTTTCATCCAACACACGTAGTGTCCTTCGAAGTTGCCCCAGCCAGCGCCAGCGCAGCCTGGGTAGTCGGCGCACGCATCGATGCACCCTTCCACCGTGCTAGTCTCCCTATTAGCGATGTCGACGGTACCTGTGCTGTCTTTGCCGTTGTAGTCGACGTTGCAAAGTACCAGGAACGAGTTCTCGCTACCTCTCTTGTAGACCGTCCCGTTGGCCTGGGGGCATTCGACGGGGGTTGGCACAGAGTTCGCGTTTCTGTCCGTAGCAGGCGATATGTTAGCATGGGTTCGTATTCCCCTGCCCACGGTGGCAACTATGGTGGCGAGATCCTGTCGGGCATCACTTACGCGGCGGACCCCGAGTCGGGGTCGTGGTGTGCGGTTCCCAATCCCACACCCACGCCGACGGCCAAGCCGATAATCAGCAAGGCAATTAATGGCCCCAACATCAGCCAAAACCTCTTCTTCCTTACTCCCAGGATCATACCGCTCGGCGGCGGCGCGCTGCTTGGGGGGTATGCTGAAGAGGGGTAGGTGGCGGCGTTCTGGTCTATGCTGGCCTGTTGAAACTGATACACTTGCGGCTGCGGATACGGAACGGCGCTGTCGTACGGCTTCTCTATGTACGTCGGTCCATAGACGACCTGTGGCGCTTCTGGCTCCGGCACTACCTCGAGGCCGGGTTGGTCGTAGTATAGGTTATGGCGAGACATGGTGAACTTGTCCGGTTGCTGGTACTCATTCGGACGAAGTTGGCTTCGCCAAACTCCGTTTCTCGCCTACTCCCCTCGTCGACATTGGGGACGAAGAAGTAGGGACAGGACCAGGAGACAGCGAGGTAGAAGAGACGAGGAAAGGTTAAGAAGGATCGTTTTATCGCCTTTTCTGTATCACTGTTTCCAGTCCTGGGGCTGATCAGCCACAGAATTGGCCCTAGGATTGCCCCCTGTTGCTGACGGCCCCGAGAAGGGCGAGCGAGTACCGTGTGCGTATAGTAAGTAGTAGGCTCGTGAGGCCCCTGCCCCGTATGGCTTGGCGTCGACGGCATCAGCAGGGCTCTTGCAGGAAACACGGCTCTCATTGGGAAGATTTTTCTCGTTAGGACATTTTGGGTAGGTATCCTATATGGCTACATTGGAGCGCCTGTTCGCCGCCCCTCCACGAAGAATCCTCCTTACCAGTTTCGGATGCTGGAGTGAGCGACTTGGTGTGCGCATGGAATTCCAAACGGGGAGCTGTCAAAAGTGCCCCCTATGATCCACGACAGTTCCGGTCCCTTCCCGGCCAGAGAGCAGCTTATGAGCCCTGGCGAACTTGAATTCCGGTCTTCAGACCCGAAACTGGGGCGCATTATTCGATGACATGTCTCAGATCGGGGATGCAGGAGGTAGAAAGCCAAGCCACGGACGTGCCGCCCTCGGTTGGGCGGCCTTGGGGGCACTAGAGGGTGTCAACTTCATTATGCGCGGCCGAGCCCGTGGCCTTTCCTTCGAGATGTGTTTCCCGATCTGGGAAGATCATCTCAAGTTGGGGGCGCTGGCGTCTTACGTCCGTATAGTTAATTTGACCCTAGTGCCACGGGGTTGCACTGATAGACATCACATCACTGTGGTGTCGGCCCTTTTGGCCCCGTGTGTAGAGCCCTGGTTTGTTTCCCGAGATTTCAGAAGAGGGATCAAGTCCTAGTGCCAATCAAGACGTAGCGAGGGAGAGGGGACATATCGACAGCGTTGGTGCTCGGTCTATTTGATTGCAGAAGGCGTATGCCTGCTCGACTTCTTAGCGAAGTAGGCCTTGATAGGTTCGGTCGTAAAAGGCGAGGGCCAGGTTCCTTGGATAGGCCCACGGCCAGCCGCGTCTTGGCATGCCCTGTTCTAGAATTGTAGATCAGTCCGTAAAGCGCTTAACCAACAAGATGATGGTCTCGCGGTCTCTGCTAGGCACAGTTCTCCTATGTCGCCCGCCCGGCCCCCATTGCAAATCGCCGGACGCCGCTTAAATTCTCACATCAGCATAGCAATAACTAAATAGAAGAAAGGGGACAAATAGAGAGGTAGGGGCGGGTATGCACAGCTCGCCGCGGATTCTTGACGATTATAGCGTCTCCATGTACTACTACGTGCCTAATAGACATATCTGGTCATTCCTCAGCAAGCCACTTCACGCCTGATTGCTTACTGATTAGCGAGCCACGTATTACTGCTTGGCCGTCGACGGCGACATAAGGGCACAGGCCCGGCACTTGCAAGCATCGCTAACAGAGTGCATGTAGGCGATAAAATACTGAAAGTGCGAAAAGGTAGCATCCCGGGGTAGTAATTGTAACACGAGTGCGTCTGGAGGGTGCTGGTACATATACGTCGAGGCTTCGAAACGCACAAGCATCTTCTTGGTTTCGGCTCCGAAGCCAACGCATCAAAGTAGATAGCAAGTTAGTCTTCAGGTGCATTTGGCCTAGGGAAATGAAGCATAACATGAATTTACGATTTCGAGAGGACGCTACGGCGGGTGGTCCTATGCGAGGGGTTCAACTCGATTAGCGGAGATCGAAAAATTCGAAAACGAGCGAGGAAAGGGGCGGGGAATATGAACACACGTAGGCATCGGTGACAGTTCGCCGTCGGCTGGGGGGATGGAAATAAACGACCGGTAACAGCACACGAACCTTAGCACCAGCGCGGGCTGTGTCCCTTACTTAGTCTACCATGTGTCACTGGCGGGCCTCCTCGCGCGCCTCGGGCCAATACTTTGCGTGAATAGTGCAGCCGAGAGTCGTAGATCCGATCTCAAGTGACGACATGCCTATATTGATATGGCACCGAGGAGGCCACGCGTGGTAGAGGTAGCGACTTGCAATGGAACGACAAGATATCTCGGGATCACACTCCTTGCAACGGCCGGGGAAACGTGTTCCGTCAATGTGCAGGTATGCGATCGGCCACCCGCTGCCCAGCGCCCCGGTCTGTCTGGCTGGTATCCGGAACACGGAATTCTGTCGAGTCTAAGACTCAACCTTGGAGCGTCACCATGCTCGTTAGGGGCTAGAAGTGACTGACATCTGTCTCATTTGTTACAGCTGAGGACTCTGATCGACCAGCGCGCGCATGCAAGTGGCCGTGGTTGGCCGTGGGATGATACGAAAGCGACGAGTCACCAAATATCGCCGGCCGCGGCCTGAAGGATCTGGGGAGTTGGCGATCGCGCGCAGGACAGGGAGGTGGACATAGAGAGGGAGGCTAGGTAAGGATAGATGCCTGTGGGTACCTCTAGAAATAGTATCCGGGTGCTGCTCCGTCAGACCCCGGTTTCTTCCTGTCTGGTCGGCGTGATTCGGAGGGGGAAATTGGATGCTACTTAGATATGTACCTTACACCTAGGTGTCCAGGTACTTTCCCTTATAACTTATAGCCATAAAGGTACCTATATCTCCACGTTAGGTACATACCTAGGTAGACAGCCAATACAAGCCTCTATCGATAAGATAAGATATCGACTTCGGCTGCTTGTCCCGAAGCCGTCTTGTGGGGACAGAAGCGAGCGAAACCCTTCATACATGTGCCCAGGCGCACCTATCGCATCCATACGCACATACATATCGCTCGAGACGCCTGCCTGCCGACGACACCGCCTCTGACGACACCGCCTCCGACCCATTCCCGTTCTTCTCCAGCGCACAGTTGATGGCTCGACATGTCTTCCCAAACTGAGCCGGCCGCCCAGCCGGGCGCGGACCCGTGGAACGAGGAGACCAAGCGCAAGTTCCAAAAGTACGCCCCCGGGCCAATGTGACGTCTTCATGAGTTCCCGCAGTATCCGTCAGCCTAACTCGCTGCAGCAAATCCAAGAGCGAGTATCTCGATCCCTGCCAGGAAGCCGCCGCGCGGAGCTTCCGATGCCTCAACCGAAACGAAGGGGATAGGCAGATGTGCACCGATTACTTCGAGTGAGTCTCCGAGGGCCAGACCGACACTACCCCGGTGCCGCGTCGCGAGCAGAGCGAATACGCACGATCGTGGTCGCTAACGAGACGAACCTGACCAGGGCATATCGCGCATGTAAAAAAGAATGGGTAAGGATTGACTCCGCATCGCCCGATCGCAAGATACCTCCCTCGGCTTCCCTAACGCCCAGTCCTGGCAGATCGATAAGCGTAAGAAAGAAGGGAGGTCCTTTTTCGGTTAGGGCGGAGAACTCGAAGACGGGCCGAGCGAGCATCGCAAGAACAGGACATGGAGGTGACACCTAGGTGTAGATGAACGGGGGGTACGGCGAGCTAAAGCAACGGCACGACGACCATGGATACAACGACGACGGCGGTGACGACGGGATCATTGGCGCAATAGCACTACATATGTACACATAAAACACTTGACGAGGGAGAGGTGCCGGATATGACGGCGTAGAATTCCGCTCCTCACGAAGCCATAGATAGCCACCGGCGAGGTGTGGAAGTGTGGGAGGGGTGTAAGAGAAAGACCTTGGCTATCTACGCACGCGAACCCGCTGACCTGATGAGCGATTGCCGACCCCACGGATTCGTGTCCCGCACCCTTTCTACGAGACAGGACAGGACGACAGGGCATACCTAGGTAGAGAGGCAGGTATAGAATCTTCCTGCGCCAGCCCACGCCACACACCTCCCTGTCTACAAGCCATCGCAGAGGCATTGGAAGCTTGAGTAGTATGGGTAGATGTGCCCAGTTTCCACTTTCGAGACCGCCTGCCTTTTTTGCTGCTGTACCCAGAAGAAATGCACCCCTCCGTCCCTCTTCTTTGGCAGAAAATTAGGTACTAATAGCTGACAAGTGCCTTGGTCCTATGTTACCTACCTACCTAGGTACCTACCTACCTACCTCCCACTACCCACTGGAGGTAGGCTAGGTCGAGGTACCTAACCTTGTAGGTCCCTCAACCTGCCTAGCCCTACAACCGACAAGCGACGTGATGCCGATTTTATATCGACCTCAGGTACCTGTGCCCTGCCTGCAAACTAAACACCACTATCAAGGCTACACACACATATATTATCCGCTTCAGATATTTGTATGCTTCTTCGACCACGAATCGAGCACACTGTGTCCATGGCCAGATGACACCATATCTTATATTATATCTCCTCAGATGCTTTCCACACGATCACCTATTTTCTATATTTAATGCCCATCTCAAATTTCCCCCTCTCCTGCCATGATACCCCACCGTGACCATCTCAACTCTCAAGTCCTCTCGTCACCTCGCCTCTTCTTTCCATCTCTGAGCCCAACTTCTTGTTATTGCATTGACTTAGTTGTAGCTCTTGGAGCTACGCCCTATCGACAGCATGCCAGGCGCAGGCTTAGTCGCTCAGCTATCCCCGGTGGCTCCGGCCGCCCGGTCTGTCCGTCTCAAGCAGACCACGGACGTCAGTCTCCTGACTGCCTTTGGCGAGGAGCAGTGGATCAACGCTGCCAACCTTGCCAGGCAGCGGCACAAGGCTACCAAGGACCCCTACTTTCTGGTAAGTCGAAGGATGCTTGGTCGCTTTGAGCCTTTGTGGTGGCGCCGGGTTAGCTTTCACAGGCGCCTTAACCCCGGCGGGAGCACTTCCTCGCTATCCTGGCAGCAGATGGCTCGAGTCCATCCGTGTGGCTGGTGCTCGCCATACAGTCTCGTCCCGGGGTCACACCTGACATTCTCAGCTTGGTCTCTCAGTGGCATAGTCCGTCTGGCTCGAGTCCATCGTTGGGCCCTTAGTCAACATGCTCTAGTTGCTAAGATATGCATTATGGCGATGGCGTCAGAACTAGAAACATGGGTGGTCCTCCGAACCGGTAGGCCCTTTATTCGCCTCCGGATACGGGAGGGCTATTCCAAATACCTTCAGCCCCTCTCAGCTCTTGATATGACTTAGTCTCCTCGGTTGTGCTTTATCGTCGGCGTCAAGACGGGAATCAAGCAGCTCTAGACGAGGATCATCGCCTGCGAAGCGCTAGCGATACCGCAGGACATATCTGTCATACCCGCCTCGCTCTCCCAAACGGAGTACCTCTTACCCCATTCTCTTGTTGTGGCATCTCCTATGGATGTCACACACTACCTATACAACACATTCGACTTTGTTGTTCCCGACCCGGGGCGAAGGAAGCTAATCATCGTGTACAGGCCGTCGAGATTGCTGCTAAATCTCAGAGTGAGAACGTCGCAGATCGCTACGCTGGGAAGAACGCCGTGGACGGCATGGTCAAAGATGGCACCATCATCAAAGACGTCGATACCCTCGATTTATACGAGTTTGCATGCTCTCGTATCGATATTAATTACTCGGAAACCATCGGCGTACTGCGTTTGAGACTGGTAAAGGCTCTCCCCAAGGACCAGAATTCCTGTGCGCGATGCTTCGACGCTTGCGTGTGGAACTACGATTGGAAGAGCGCACAGCAGGTAGTCACCCCTTACAATGCTCTGGCCTCGAACCGACCCGCTAACAGTGTCAGATCGCCGCGTCGTTACATAAGAACTCCAAAGATGTAAAGTTCTTATTCCAGTATATCTTAACAACTCACGTATATTCCGTAAGTCTTTGTGCTCCGTCACTTCACTGGCGTCTCATCGTACTAACTGGTAATTAGTTGTCGAGTGAGTGCCCCGACGATAAGAGGGGCCTGTTCGGAAACCTAGCCAAAGCCTTGGCCGACAAGGCCTTTGATCTCCGCGCCAAGGTAGGTTCTGGCGATTACCTGCTCGAGTATGAGTGTTGTATTAACTACGGACTACGGTATTAGACTTCAAGTGAGGATCACCATCTCGAACACGCCAGTATTACCGAACCAGAGGCCTTGCTCTGGGTGAATGTCCGGACTTCCCATTGCAAACTGGAAGAGAATCTAAGCCTGTTTAGACAGCACAAATATGGGCCTCTGACATTCCTGGAAAATGGCCTAGATCAGCCATTCTCGGAGCTTATGCTTTACCTAAAGAGTCACGAAGCATGGGATGACCTTTTCAAAATTGGAACCGAAATCCTGGACACGGCTATCCGTATAAGCCAAGAAGAGGCCGACGCCATTGATAAGGACGAAAATGTCATTAACCTACGAAGGTTGACCGAACTCGATGCTAAGCAAGGCGTGCCCGCGGTAGAATCGCCAGCTAAGAAGAATCTGGCCCAGGCTATAGAGAAGGCCAGGCCTATGCGCAAGATGAAAGACAATTTTTACGTCACGGCCTGTTGCAACTGGTCGTTGTTTACGGGTATTTTCGAAGCGGCCAAACATCTCCCCGACAGAAAACGGTACGTCTGCGAAAAAGGCGTCGGCGAATGGGAATGCTAACAAGCCTCAGTGCGCTAAAGCAGGTCCGACAGTTGTTCGATAGGTTGATCAAAGCCATGAACAGGGCTGGGACTATGAAACACGTTTTCCAGACAACTCGCGATATCGTAGCATTAGCCACCCTATTTGAAAGATGCTCTCGGGATTTATCGGTGTCTGAATGCTCGACTCGGGTCTGCTTTCTGATCAATTACATCGTCCCGGTCTATAATAACCCCCTGTGCTTTGACCGAGCCATGATGTTCATCAGGGACATGAACGGCCAGGAGATCGAGGCATTTATTGAACTGCTCTACGACGAAGCCGCCAAGGTAATTTGGTTATTATCGTCGCCTCTTCACGACTCAACTAACTCCTCTCGACTAGTCTACCGACACATTCAAGCGTTTAACACTGCTGTCTCTAAAGTTGAAGATCGAATACTTTGTGGCAACTTTGGCAAAGCCGACAGATGACGATGACCATGGCATCGGGCAGGAGGATTCCGGCTCCGTCCCCTGTCTGATGGCGATTGCGGATAATGCCCTCGATCTGTACCAAAATGGCATGGGAGACTCTCATCTTCGCAGAAACAGGCTGCCCTTTGAGAGCGTGGACCCGCTTTCAGATATCGCGGTGGTGGGCACCATGTGCCTCCTAAGACTCGCGGGCCTTGGCCGCAACCACCGGTCGAGGGGCATGAGGTCTCCCCTGTTTAACACCGACCAGCATCTTTTTTTCCAGGCCGTTCTCTGGCTCGACTCGTACGTGCTCACGTCGCCGCCCAAGTATGATTCACACCGAATGCTCCTCACAAAACTCTACATTCTGATGGGGTGTGTATCTCGAGCAACAGCCCTTTGGGATGGGTTTGACGTTAAAAATGCCATTAACGACTCCTTGGGTTTGCTCTACACCGACCGATTGTCTTCCATTGCGCCAGGACTGTTCATTCTAGGCTCGATCCGCAATAACCCCGTCGAGCCTATCATTCACCACTTCACGAGAGCGCTCAGACGAACCTTACCGAGCTCGCTTATAGATTGTTTAGACCAGGGAACGTATTCCAGCGTCCAGCCGCTACTGCAACGTGCTTCCAAACAGACCTTGAGCTGCACCCTGTCTCTTGCTGTCGTGGAAGAGCGGAGAGGCTCCAGGCTGAGGTCGGGAAAGATCGAAAGCCCTATTGAAGATCATCCCCTAGTTCGTATGTTACACCGCACCTTGTATCTGGGAGCCTGTCCACCGACGCTTACATGAATAGGAAAACTCACGATCCAAAACCAACTGAAGGACAGCACCGACTACGAGATACTGCCTAAACTTGATGGGCGTAATTCAGTGCCTATTCGTGAGATTGTATCTTATGGCCCCCTTCCATCGGTTCGTGGGCCTAACTCCCAAATCCCTCTAACGTTTGGGATATATTCTAACAGAAACCAGAATGCGCGTGGTCATCTCGGACTCTTAGCGGAACGGCTCCTTGACTTTGTCTGTTACGTACAGCCAAAAGAATATAAACCGTCGAGAGCCGGGCAGCTAGTCCAACTTGATTGGGAATACGCCCTCGCTACCTCCGGCCATCTACATGAAAACCTCGGTATAATTTTAGGTATTAAGAAGCCGGAGTCCCCAGAAGATGATGCGTATCTCGAGGGACAACAAGACAGGGCCGCCAAATCGCTTACTGGGCCCGAAGCCTCCTACTACGTGCTGTTATGGGAACTATCGCGCATAGTAAACCTGGTTCTAAAACATATCACTTTACCCCTCACCAGCGAAAGCCGCGAGCATATTGGCGCTGGTGTGCGGGGGGTGGTAGAGAACTTCAACAACCAAGCTGCTAACTTTTTAACGCCCATCTATGAGGGTATCGAGTCGAAGGTGCATATATTCCACGGCTTCGTAGATTTGCATGCTATGGGTATGCAACGCGAATCAATCCTCGCCGTGAAATATACGGTGAACTACCTTACGCTCGCTCTCGACAAGATCAGAAGCGCAGATAAGACCCGCGCATCGAACGAAGGCGGATGGCTTTTGGCAGAGCTTAAGAAGATGGCGGCTGCCGCAGCGGGGTCTGAGAACGCGCTGAAAAGCCGCATCAAGATGCTGAAAGGCTCCCTCGAAGACCTCGACGGCTGGAAGAGCCGTCTCCACGACTGGACGTTCGGGGACTACGCCGGAATGTATGACGAGAATCGCGAATGGAAGAAGACGATGGGCCAACGCATGAGGTCTGCCATCTCGGAAGCAACAGTTGACGCATGGTCCGATGAGGTCGGCCTTTCCTGGCAAGATCTCATGAAGGGATGGGCGGCCGTCAAGTTCGACTAGTTACGGCTGCGTCTTCCGCAATATCCCACTCCGGCTCCCGTTCGGACCACCGCCCGGCGACATATTTATCTCCCTCTCTCTCTTTCCCTTCACGAGGCCGCCTTTCGCTGATTTCCGCAACCAAGCATACTTTTATCACACCTCTCTCCCCGCCCCCGCCCCCTTTCGCGACTCGTATTTGTATTCAACGAAAAGGCAGGGGCAGGGAAATTCGTCGCAACGTGTTCGCTGCGAATATCCAACAACTATCTGCCTCGTACTTCCCCTCAGACGGTCGACCTATTCTTATCGAGGGAACTGTCCCCGCGTCTCAGGCCCTCCGGCCGAGTATGGGTGGGGGGCACAGTAAGGCGCAGACCTGCTCTCTCTTGGCGGCCTGGCACCAGGTCACCGGATGCTGTTTTCTGGCCGCTTTCGTCTTGTTCTGCTTCTTGTTCTTCTTGCTCCTCTGACCGCCTTCGTTGTACATAAAAAAAAATAGGGATAGGCCCTGGACACGGTAGACGCTTTATGGCAATGAATCGCAGGTTAGAATCCGCACCACGTTCTCGCGCTCGGTGGCTTCTTTCTGACGGACGCCGGGGTGAGTCTTTGGCCCGGGTTGGTAGTAAGGAGGTCGATGTGCCTAAGGTAGGCGGCATGTCGAGGGAGACGGTGGATGCTGTACGCAGGATGTAGGAATGCGGCTTCAGCTTTAGCGTCCTGCTCCACAGGCACCTAGGCACGAGCCTTGCCCGACCCGCAGCTGAATCGGAGAGCCCGGGTCTAGGCCGCAGGAGCTGTGTGATACCGCAGAAAGTCGACACCGCAATGGGCGAACGATGATAACTACCTACGTTCTTAGGCGTCGGCTAGCTGCGGACCCCGATACGGGAAAATTACGCACGTCGTGATATACTAGAAGAAAAAGCGACTGGGATTTGGGGGAGGGGGAGGAGAGGGGGGGGGGGGAATTGGGTCGAGATGGAAATGGCCCCGGAGGGTATTCCCATTCCACCAGCACACGATCGTGCAATTTGCTTCTATTATCTGCCTAAGATCGCACGGTCTTTACTAGAACCATCCCATCCCGATCCCGACCCTGACGTGCTAACCAGCTCGCCGATACATAACGAGCGCCCAGCGCCGCGTAGGTAGTGGTCTCGGCGACCGCGGGGCCGCGCCTCAGCCGGCGACGCTGCTGCTGCCCCTTCGCCTCTTGCGGGTGACGAAGCGGTCCGCCTCCTCCTTGATGGTGGCCCAGACCCAGAGCCAGCTGATGAACTCGAGGAAGGCGAAGGTGAAGAAGACGCGGTTGCGGAGGCCGTCGCCGCCGGTGGCGGTGGCGCCGGCGGACGCGGCGAGGAAGCTGGCGGGGGGCGTGAGCGGGTGGGAGAGGCGGTTGGGGCCGGCGCGGCCGTAGGACGGGCTCGAGAGGTAGGCGAACAGGGACAGGCCGGAGAAGAGGGTGATGCGCAGCGGGGCCTGCGCGCTCCAGTGGTGCAGCAGCCAGATCTCCTCGGGCATCGAGAGGGTGAGCAGGTCCGAGACGCCGGTGAGCAGGAGGGAGACGGCGAGGAAGGAGGAGGTAGCGCTGGGGGTCGCGAAAGAGGCCGTCTGGGGCTGGAGGGGTTTCGTCGGGCGTTCTCGCGTTAGCTAGGGCCGAGCTCGTTTTGTGTGCTATTATCGGGGAGGAGGGGAGGAGGGGAGCTAAGCTTACCATGCCCATGGCTTCGCCCAGCACGTAGACGATGGCCTGCTCCGCTATGGCGTCCGGGTTCGTGTAGAAGAAGTAGGCGAGCGTGATGTGGAAGAGGCAGAGCGAGGTGACGATGGTCTTGGCGGAGATTAACGCCATCTTGATTTTCTTGTCCAAGTATATTTTTCTGTTTTGGTCCTGCTTCACCCTTACTCCCAGTATATTTTCGGTACCCGATGATAGTTGGCGGATGTGGGTCTTCGCATGCGCTTGGTGGCGTTCTGTTGCTTATACCAGCGACTCTGTCTCTCTTCCCTCAGATCTTGCACACCTTGGCCCCTCCTCAGGGACCAGCTGGGCGGAGTTGGGCGAGCAGACGGTTCTTCCGAGGTCGAGATTCGGATCGGGGTGCATGTATTTTCGCGCGAGGAGGTGTGTCGGATCTCAGATTTGGGGGATTTCCCCGCGGAACACGTGGCCCGATGTCTCGGCGTCTCTGTATCGCTCTCTCCTGCGAACTCCTTTTCCGTTCACTTCTTTGCGGAGATGATAAAGGTCGTCGTCCCGCCGTCTCGTCGTGTGGCTGTCGGTGGTGCTTTTATTCGCGGATCGGGCCAACCGCAACCACAACTGCTGGCCGCCTCGCCTCGCCTCACGGCACCCCCGTCCACAGTCTGCTAGTTGCAATGCCTCTGGTTACGTACCTATGCATGCAGGAGTCCTTGGGGGAGCGGTTGTGTCAGGCTGGCAAGGGTGCGTAATGTGTGTATGCAATGCCAATTCACTGCCAGGTGGGGGTTTGCTGCGAGGGACTGGTTGGCTGGTTAGACAGGGCGGGATTCGAGATGGTGGGCTTGGGTAGATGTTGTGGTGGATTTGGATGGATTGGTGTGGGTGAGCACCCTCCTGCTTATCGCCCTGCCTTGCTCTGTCTTTATCGCCTATCCTGGATAAGTTGCGAAGGTGGATATGTGCAACCAGGGAAGTACCTAGGCTTGCCTTCCAGCCTTGTACCTTATGCGCTAGCATTATCCACGTGTAAGCTACCTACCTAGGTAGGTACCTGTCAGGTACCTCTCAATGAATCTTATGTATATACCTAGGTACCTAATGTATGTATAAACAGGTATAAGATTAGTAATCCCGTTGTGCCCCTCCATCCTCCATCCTCCCTCTATCCTTCTTCTCCCTCCCCGTCGACCCCTCCATATGCTGGCTACCCCCCAGTTTTTTTTTTTTCCAAACCTCGAAATCTTCTAATCTTTCAATCGTCTCTTGGCCCTTTTGCAGGTTGTCCGGCTAGACGTTGACCGTTGACCGACATGCTCTTTACTTCTTTTCGGCCTCTCTCATTCAGCCCCTCGTCTTTCCATGTCTAGACTTTACGCATCAGGCATATACGCCCTATGAGAAATCGCCATGGCCGAGTCGTCCTCGCCAGACCAGCCGCCTCTTGACACGGCTCGCCATATCCGCTACTGGCAACGATGCCTTCGAACTCTGCTCCCCCACCACTATGTCAGCAACGATAGCATCCGACTTACCCTCGGCTTCTTCATCGTCGCCGCTCTCGATCTCCTATCCTCGTCCTCCTCCTATTCCGAGCCTCCGTCCGATCCCCTCAAGGCATCTCTCATAACCCTGGATGACCGCAAGCGTCTTCGAAAATGGGTTCTATCGCTTCAGCACCCCCTCGGCGGCTTTTGCGGCTCGCCCCACCACGTCCTTCCGATTGACTACACCACCCGATGGGACCCTGTCTCCGGAGCCACTGTTGCTGTCGATCCCGCCAATGCCAACATAGCCGCCACCTACTTTGCCCTGCTGCTGCTGGGCATCCTAGCCGACGACGACGGCTCCAGGGCCTACGAGGGCGTGAAACGCATCGAGACGCTCCGCTGGCTCAAGAAGCTCCAGAGAGACGACGGAAGCTTTGGGGAGATCATTGACGAGGATCGCTATGTAGGAGGAGGCAGAGATATGCGGTACTGCTATCTCGCGGCAACCATCAGATGGATGTTAGGAGGAGCGGAGCTGGGTGAGGCTGAGGATATCAATGTAGACGCGCTCGTCGCTCATATACGAAGAGCACAGACCTTCGACGGCGGCGTGGGCGAGACATCCATGCACGAGAGCCATGGTAAGCCCCCTCCTACCCTCAGGCGATGGGTCGCGGGCTCACAAATCTCCAAATTCTAGCCGGGTATGCATATTGCGCAGTAGCGGCTCTTTCTCTCCTCGACCTTGCCAACCCCGACGCAGCCACGCAGCCAAGGCGCTACTTACACGCCGGCATCCCTTCGATACCCTCTCTAGTATACTTCCTCGCCTGCCGCCAATTGGACTACCTCGACCGCGCATCTAACGAGGAGAGCGAAGAGGACGCGCCCGAAAACCACGAGCTCCCCGACTTGTCGAACCTGAGCGTGACGGACGGGGCGCAGTTGGTCGGATTCAATGGTCGCCTCAACAAGGTTGCCGACACGTGCTACACGTGGTGGGTGAGCGGCGCGCTGTCGATGCTGGGCGAGAACAAGGTGGTCGACCGCGGCCCGTCGAGAAAGTTCATACTCGAGAAGACGCAGCACTTCATCGGCGGGTTCGCCAAGCACCCGGGCGGCCCGCCGGACGTCTACCACGCGTACCTGGGCCTCGCGGCGCTCTGCACGATGGCCGGCGCCGAGGGCGCCAAGGAGGAGGGTCTGGGCCGCTTCGACCCCCGGCTCTGCGTCGGCGCCGAGGCGGCCGCGAGGATAGCGAAGGGCCGCGAGGGGCTGCTGGCGCGGTCTGGCGACGACGGCGACGACGACGAGCTGAGCGAAGACGAGAAGGAGGAGCTGGAGCAGATCAAGAAGAAGCTCGACTGGGACGCGCGGATCGCGCGGATCGAGCGCCGCAGGGCGCGGTGCAGGGCCGCGGGCAAGGATCCCAGGCGCGAGATGACGCGGTGGAATCCCTTTGACCCGCCTGAGTGGGCCAAGGACGACGAGGAAGCCGAGGCGGAGGAGAAGCAAGGTAGCACGACGCCGGGCCGGTGAGGCACGAGTCCGAGAACGAGGACGGGGCCACGATAACGTTCAACGTATGCACGCACGCACGCACGTAGTTGGTCGGTCGTCTGACCTTCCTATTAGTTTAGGAACAGGGCGGATGGACACAAACAGGAATGTCAGAGAGCACACAGCTAGTTGGAGCTGAGCATTGTTGTAGTTGCAGTGATACCCTCTGCTGACGAGTACCCGCAATGTCAAGAAGGAAGGAAAAAAACGATACGCTGGTAAACTTGTTTTCTCGGACGTTGTCCAACCTACTTGCCTCTGCTAGTGAACGTGATAGGCGGCGTGTGGCCTTGGGTCGCCCCGGCCGAATGAACCCCCTCCCCCACCCCCTTTGTTAATAACACGCAACATCGGCCGCTAGGCAACCCCCCTGCCCACATCCCCAGCACCTACCCCTATTTCCCCCGCGAGACTGACGTCCCCCGGCAGCCTCCTCTCGACCTCGAGGACGAGCGGGCCGCCGCTAGGCCCGCTCGCGTCGAGGCTGAGCGTGGCGCGCGCCCGGTCGGCCACGACGCGGATCGTCTCGCCCAGGTTGCGGAAGTCGGTCTCGAAGTTGGCCGGCAGCGACGACGGGTCGACGGCGGCTGCAGCGGCGGCGTCGCCGTCGGGCGCGGCGGGCCGGACTTCGCGGATCTCGACGGTGGGGTACGGCAGCCAGCCCTCGCGCAGCGGGATGAGGAGGATCGGGATCTCGGCCTCGGTGTCGGGCGTGCTGCTGATGCCGCCATCGTCCCCCTCTTCCTCGCCGGCGGCCGCCGCCGCGGGGATGACGAAGTGGCCCTTGCGCCTCCCGCCGAGCAGCCAGGTGTCCTGCGGCGCCGCGAGCTCGTAGCTAAACTCCAGGTCCGTCTGCTCCGCGGCCGGCGTCGTCGTGTCCCAGATGCGGGTCCACTTGAGCTGCAGAATAGCTGGCAGCAGCTGGTTGGTGAAGACGGCGGGGGTAATAGCCTCGACGCCGGAGGAGGAGGAGGAGGAGGAGGCGGAAAATGTGAGTTGTGGCTGCGGTGGCTGTTGCTGTAGCCGGATGTCGGCGGTGTGCACGATGGTGAGCGACGGTATGTCTACGGGGATGATGATCGATTGCGGCTCGTCGGGCACCAAGTCGATGTCGAGGGTGAGTTGGGGATTCTCCGCCTGCCAACTCTGCAGGTAGGCTGCCAATATCTGCGCATAGTCGGAGCCGTCTGGCGCTCTGCCAAGCCCCCCGAGATGCTTTGTCCAGTTGACCGAAGACAGGAATGCAGTCGATACGGACCTGACAAGGGCCACGCGCTCGACTTCGTATCCGGTGAGAGACCGTCGGAGATGTGGAAGAATCGTCGACCAGAGGAGACGAGAAAAGGGGCGTAGAGGGTTGTCTTTCAGAGATTCGGTTAGAGAGTCCTGGACCAGAGATTCAATCTCATCTTGCAAGACGCTATACCATAACTTCAGATACATGGTCTTCTGGGTTTTCGGGTGGATCTTCACGTCCAATTTTCGCATGATCTTATATAGCAGACTAGCTGGCTGCTTCGGGAAAATGACGACAGGGGCACTCGACGGTGTACCGAATTCAGACTCAAATATATCCGAGCTGATTAATTCACTCTTAAACAGCCGTAGAGGACTATGGTTTGCGGCCGACACGGTAAATCGGGAGAAGAGAGCGTGATGTTTGAAAACATCCTGAACATTGACTCCAAGGGCCAGAGCCGTGTCGACGGTGGGTGTCTTGGAGAAGACATATTTGCCGTGTTCGGTCGTATAAGTTACTTCGATGCGTATAGAAATGCTGAGGGTCTCCTGTTCTACGGTGTAGGGGAATCGTATTCGCGCGGTCGTGCGCTGTGGTAAAGAGTCGAAACAGAACAGGCCACCCTCTGGCGGCCTAGAGAAGGAGATAGACGAAGAACCGACACACTTTGCTTCACTGGTGAGGAGCCTCAATCCCCCAGTAGCCGCTTTAACTCGGATTTCAGCATTAAGCAAACTATTCCAGCCAGAATCTAATTCGATATCGACGTTGTTGTGTCGATCTAACTGAATGTCTTTTGATGCGTATAACCTCACGTCTAGCGTATCGGGTCGATGGTAGATGAATACGTGAGGTGACAGGAGAATGTCGGTAGCTTTGTCTAGGGGTTTGCCGACCTCACGCTCGTGATGGAGACGTAAATTGCTGGCTACAAGATCTATCTTGCCGATCTCATAAGAGCCTGGCACGGCGGACTGTTTCGATTAGTATCAGATCCCCGCCTGGTCCCGTAATGTAACTCACATTGCTGTGTAGCTTGATCTTATTCCTACCCTGCTTGATTGTTGCCGGCTCTGAAAGTTCGAAAAGTATTTCTCGGGTGGATCTACCCGTAGTATCGGCTATTCGCACCTGTGCGCTGTCGAGTGTGAGATCATCTACTAGCAGGCTGTTCACTTTCAGGTTAAGGGATATGCTGTCCCGGTCTTGGTGGTACTCTGGGGGTCCATCGACCTCCAGAGCGGAGAAGAAGCTAGATAACTGTATCCGCAATTCATTCGGCAGGGATTTCGTTACTTGGAGTAGGTCATCCAAAAAACCCTTGATAGTCTCGTTATCGGGGAAGCCGATATTATCCTCAAAAACTCGCCGGAATCCCGACTTTTGTGCTCGGCGGTCTCTCTCCGCTGCAGCAGCCTTCGTCAGCAGCTTCAACATGACTTTGACGTACTCCTCTTGACGTTGGAGCTGTTTTAGACACCTCGAGTACATGGTAAGCATAGATAGCTCCAAGAGGCTCCAACCGCTTTCTCCGAAAAAAGGGGTCGTTCTCCAGAAGTAGGATGACGCTGAGTCGTAATCGCCGATATGGTACTTCAAGACCGCAATATCCGCCATACTGGTTTGAACCGAGTGGATATGATCTGCGACGGTATAATGTCGGAGGGCCTTATCGGCTAGTGTTTCGTATAAACGATAAAAGTCGTTACTATTATCGAGCGCTGTTCTTAGTAGCTTGCTGTCTATACCGCATTCTGACACCACAGGCTCTCTTTCGGCCGATTCCTCGTCGTCTTTCGCCGGTTTTGCCGCACTGTCGTCGCCGAGGTCGATGTCGACCAGGTCAACCATCGTTGATTCACCTATAACTGGAACACTCGTCCATCCATCGAACCATCCGCGTTTCTTTCCGCATTCCGCAAGAATATTTCGAGACACCATATATAGCTCCGCCCTTTTGGCAGCTAGTTCCTCAAGCCCGGCCTTCAAAAAGGGTGAGGAGGTTGCCGGATCGTCCGCCGAGCCGACCTGCGGTGTTGTGAAGACATTCGGACTCGGAGGCGGACGACCAACATTAGTGGTGCCTCCCACCCGTACCGCTAGAGAGGAGTTTCTAGCCGGATGCAGCGTTGTCTTGAGCTCGGGTATTGCCGACTTCTGTTCGTGACCGTCCGTCGAGGCTAGTGTAGACGGGGGTATAGGTAAAGCTTTAGTAGATGTCTGAGCGAGAATCTGCTGCGCAATGGAGAAAGCAAAAGAAGCAACAAGGTTATCGACCACCTCCGATGTGAGAAGATCGGCGTGAATTCCGGAGGCGGCGTTGTCTTCATCCGTTTTGGCGAGATCCGACAACGCGGTAAAGACATCATCTCTCATAACCTGCGACAGGGTGGGGATGAATTCTAGCGTCCGTCGACATATCTCGGCCAGCATGTTCAAATCCTCATGTTCGTCCTCCTTTTGCTTCGGGGGCGGCGCCCGGGGTGCAACTCCGTGTAGTACCGACTCCTGCTGCTCCTTGAGCTTTGCTAGCAGCTCTTCCCTTGTCGACCACGCATTTCCAAGCCGCAATAACAGAGATATCTGCCTGGCGAAAATGTAACATCTAAAATCAAAAACAGACACGTTGTTGGCGACAATCATGTCACGATAAGGCTTCTTAGTAGAGCTAATAGGGATATCGTCGTACAAGTCCTTCGGTTGGGCGCTTTCCGGTTGGGAAGATTGTAGGTCGACTACCTGTTCATCGTCGTCGTCGTATTCGACCCCGATAATTGCTGCCCTGGCCTTGAGGGCAATCTGCTTGAGTTCCTTGGTATAGCTTAGGAGGGCATTCGCAGCGGACCTCGGTCGACCAGCAACTCGGTCCTCGACGACCATATCAAGCCCCACGCTTAGCTCGTCGTAGACGACTAAAGCGTCCTCTACTAAGCCGACGCTCTCGAAGCCTCGGGCAAGCCCTTCCTTGAGGATGAAAAAGGTGCAGAAATTCCATCCGGGTAGGCTCCTCTGCGAGTCCTTCTCCTTGATGTCTTCCTCGTATTGACTAACGCGCAGGTCAAAGCTAGAAAGAATGAGACTCCTGAATTTGGAAATCAGGTCGGTCCAGGAGTTCTCGGTCTCTTGTTCTGACTCGGTGTAGCCACTTGGCACAGCCGGCACCACACGGGGTAGACTATCGTAAGGAACATCGTTGACGCCAATACGTATTTGGGCAAGTCGCTCGGTCGTTCCCTTGCTCGAGGTATTAAAATCCGACCTCATCTTCTCGAGGAGCGTGCTCGAACCTGGTCTCCATCTCGACGGGGCAGAAGCTTTCTCGGCTATGGAACCCGAGTCGCGGGGCTGGGTCGCAGCAACTGTGTTTGGGATTACAACGTGGACGATGAGCCATTCAAAGGCATCGTGGTTTTCGGCGGTGCTCTTTTTGGAACTAGACGAAGGTATGTGGTTCTTGATCCAGTCACGTATCTCCTGCCTCACGTGGCCCTTGTAAGAGTCGTTATCGTCGCATCGTACGAGCAGCACCTTGAGATACGGTGTGCGTCTCAACCCGGGGATCTGATGGCGGCGTATAGGCGTGTTGATGCGGTTCGCGGTCTGGTCGACGGCGTCGGAGGATTGGGTGGCGCCGATCTGGGTCTGGAAGCCGTCGTCACGAGTGGTGGCGCTGTCCAGCCCTTGAGATGTAGACGTGGAGGTTGTTGGGGAACTTACGGCGTTCCTGTCGCCGGAACGAAGAAGTTCGACATGGAGGGTGTCGATAGATCTCAACGGTCCGGCATGAGACTGCCAATGTAGATTGCGCAAGGGAAGTCGGGGCACTAGTCCGGGGGCCAAGAGCTTGAAGACGTCGTGAGGGTCGAAGTACTCGACTGCGATACGTCAGCCAGGTCAGGGGATGGCATGGCATACGGCGCGGAAGGCAAATCGTGAGAGTACCTGTGACTTTGGAGGTAGAGAATTGCTGTTCCATGGCGAACAGCTTTAGGGATTGCTCATTGCTTCATGGCTAGTTAGACGCTTGAGGGCACGTCTGACACCGGCGCGTGACGGTAGGCTGACAGAACGCAAAGACGACACGTAGCTACGCGAAGATGCGGTCAGCCAGCAATGGGTGTGGGCTAAATATGTCTGGCAAGTAGTAGTAGGGTTAGGAGCTGGTTCAGGCGTGCGGTGCTGGAAGCTGGAATATGGAATGCCCAGGCTACTCATACCGTCCCATTGGTGGTGGAAGTTGTGTTGTGGCTCACATAGGTACCTACCTAAGGTGGGCACCTGTACGTTAGTACAGAATATGGTATCGAACAGCTGCTCGCCAGCCGGCAAGCAGCTACCCCGGTCAAGGTAAGGCGGGTCCAGGGGTAAAATAGCCCGAAGGCGGTAAGAACCACGATGTTTGACGATTGGCTGTTGCAGGACGCACTCCGGCCATGCATGGCGGGGTCCGGCAGAAATTCAAGCTTAGATTTCGCCATATGCGATAAGATAACGAGCTAACATGTTGTATCCCGTTATTGTCGCAATGAAGCTATTCTCGTCTTCCCAAGCGCCCATCCTCCTGAATCGGACCGTAAAGGATTCGCCCTCGAAAGCTTTGGCCCCTGCTACCCACACAAAACTGAGTTTTTCTCGGTGTCGGGACACATAACAAGCGCCATCGCCATCCGCCTGCCCAGTATGTCGGGTCTGCAAGCCATTCGCTATGCGCGGGGCAAGCTCGAGGTGCTCGACCAGCTGAGACTACCTCACGAGCACCACTACGATGAGGTCGCAACGAGCGAGCAGGCGTTCGACTCTATCAAGGCCATGAGGGTCAGAGGCGCACCCGCTATCGCCATAGTGGCGGCTCTAGCTCACGGGGTCGAATTGCATAACGGCAGCTGCAGTAGGTGGCGATATCGCCGATAGAACATGGCGGCGGCTTAGGGACTAACTCCGTCCCACGCAGAGGCGTCAACTACGGATGAGACTATATCGTACATCGATTCGCGCCTAGACTATCTCAAGCTGTCGCGGCCGACGGCCGTGGACCTCAGCAATGCCATTACCCACCTGAAGACTACCGTCCGATCCGTCGACATCTCTGGGAAGGAGAACGGTGCAGTAGGACGTTCTGCCATCATCGACGCGTACATCGCCGCCGCCGAAGAGATTTTCCGCAAAGACACGCAGACCAACCTCCTCATAGGCCAGCACGGAAGCCAGTGGTTACTCGAGAATGCCCCTTCGAAATCCGCCGACGGCAAAGTATCTGTCCTGACACATTGTAACACGGGGTCGCTTGCCACATCGGGCCACGGCACAGCGCTCGGAATTATCCGATCATTGCATTCGGGAGGCCACCTACGCCACGCCTTCTGCACCGAGACTCGACCCTACAACCAAGGAAGCCGCCTCACGGCCTTCGAGCTGGTCTACGAGGGGATCCCCTCCACGCTGATCACCGACTCCATGGCCGGCGCACTGTTCGCTACCAAGAAATCCGAGAATAACCTCGCTGCAGTTATCGTGGGCGCCGACAGGGTCGTGCGCAATGGAGACACGGCCAACAAAATCGGCACATACACTCTAGCCGTCCTTGCCAAACACCACGCGCTAAAGTTCATCGTTGCGGCGCCGACAACCAGCATTGACCTGCGGACGGAGGCTGAGGCAGGTATCAAGATCGAGGAGCGGAAGCCCGAGGAATTGACACAGATCAGCGGAGCCGTGATAGGAACGGACGGCAAGGTACACATCGGCCGTACAGAGCGCGTGGCGACGGCGCATCAGGGGATTAACGTCTGGAACCCCGCGTTCGACGTGACACCGGCGGAGCTGATCGACGCCGTGGTCACGGAACGGGGCGTCGTCGTGAAAGGAGAAGACGGCACCTTTAATTTCCAGCACATCATGCCGGAAAGGTGGGCTGAGGTATTCGGATCGCAGGAGGGTGGCGCTCGATAAGAAGAGATCATATCTTTGCGCTAGAATGGGAAACCACTTTGAATTTAATGTAAGCTGGGACACGACGAACGCTAAGTAGGTATATTAAGTCAACAAATATATGGGGTATATCCTATCGAGTGTGCGAGTTAGCGGCAAAAGCAAAGAATCATAAAGGTGCCTTTTCGCGTCTCCAGCGTCCGTCCGTAAGAGGGCGATTTAGCTCCCAATCGCGTGCAGGATCAGTTTCTTATAGCCTTCCACCGCGTCTTCCAGTTCTCCGAGCGTGATCGCCTCATCCGCACCGTGTGCAACCAGAATGCTCCCCGGGCCATACAGGTATCGCGTGTGGTTGCCCTTCAGATTGGGCACGTCGGTCCCGTAGTTGACGATGGTCGTCTCGAAACCTGCGAGGATCAGATGTCAGCCGCAGCTACTCAGCAATACGCAGGGTGAAAGTTGGTCGACTCACCCTCGACTTCGCAGTCGCACGCGACCACGCCGTACCCGGTATTGCAGTCGGCGTCGAACGCGTCCGGGTCGACGCCCCGCAGGATCTCCTGCAAGCGGCTAGCCGCGATGGCGCCGCCGCCGAGCTCGGGGCCGATCGCGACGCGGGCGGCGATGCGCGCGACGGCCCTCTCGGGGATGACGTTGAGCGCGACGCCGCCCTCGATGACGCCGACGTTGACGGTGGTGTTGCCGAAGTCGTCGCTGCTGCCGAGGTCGGCGTCGAGCACCTTCACGAGCGCGCGCACCAGGACCTCGATGGCGCTGCGGCCGAGCCAGGGGTAGCCGCTGTGGCCGGCGCGGCCGCGCGCCGTGATGTCGCACGCGAAGATACCCTTGTGGCCGCAGGCGAGCTGGCCCTCGGTCGGCTCGCCGAAGATGGCCGCGCCGAAGTCCGGCGGCGGCGACAGCGACCCCCGCGTCTCCGAGAAGTACCGCATCCCGTCGCCGGAGCGCTCCTCGCCCACCACGTACAGCAGCATCGCGTCGCTCGGGGCGACGGCGCCGCCGTCGACGAGGGCCCGCAGCGCCGTAATCTGCGCCGCCACGCTGGCCTTCGCGTCGACGCTGCCGCGGCCCGCGAACACGGTGTCCCTCGTCAGCGGATCGTCGGGGGCGCCCGAGCGCGAGTACGGGATGTAGGGTGGAACAACGTCGATGTGGCTTGTGACGAGGACCTTCGGCGACGGGTGGCGGTCCGGCCCGGGCCAGGCGAGGACGTTAAAGCGGGGTTTGCTGGTGCCGTTGGGCTCGCCGGCCAGCGGAGGCACGAACTCAAGCTGGACCACGAAGTTGCGGGCGGTGAGATAGTCGACGAGGAAGTTACCGACCTCGTTCTCCTCACCGCTGATAGAGGCGATATCGACGAGGGATTTGTGGAGGGATACGAGGTCGTCGCGGTAGGGCGGTGCGTCGGCCTCGAGATGCTTTTGCAACTCGGATCCCAGGGCTCGAGAGCTGCGGAGCAGCACGAGGAGGAATGGAGAAAACTTCATCCCTAGCACTAGATACGAGATCGCGTATGAGGGAGTGATTATGTAGCGGATCGATAGATCCTTAATACCTGCCAGGCAGGGCAAAAAAATCAGTCAGCAAGCACCAATTGCCGCTCGGGAGCTATGGCGAACCTCCGTTACGTGAAGCTGTCGGTGCAATGGCGGTGGTGAAAGTCAACAACCGAGTTGGGTATTTGGAAGCGGGAAGGGGAAGTGCCTAGGGTGGAGGGCTGCAATCGGCGTCGTCCGCCTATACCTACCTAGGTGGCAGGTGATCCCGGTCGGGTCTCCCAGCTCTGAACTCCACCTAACAGACGGCCGCACACCATCTCCCCTCTACCTCTAATATTTCACGATTTTCGGCCTTTTTATCTCCATCTACCTAGGAGCCGCCTTCACTTGGAGAAGGGAGGACACAGTGGGAAACACGGCTGCGCAAGCCGTCAGTAGACAGGAGTTGCCGAATAGGCCACTGGAGACAGGTGTTTTAAATAGACCAGCTTAGCAGCCCAGCTTAGCATGCCTACAGTGCCCCCACGGGAGGCCCCGGGATAACCTCGGTAGGCAGTCGTGATCGGCGGATGAATAGGTACTAATTTATACGTAGTATAATTTAAGTAGAGACCACAGTTTGTAGGGTACCCTTCTTATTCCTACACATGTCGGCCCATCAGGTGCGCCTCCAAGAAGTAGGTGTATATAGGTTCCGGTTGAGTATGATGCAGGGGAGGGCAGTAGTAGATGGGTTTGTAGGGGCGTTATTCGGCTGCTTAGGTAGATTGGATGGATGCATATGCTAAGTAGGTAGTACCTATAATAGGTATGTCATTCAGTCACGCTTGAGTCGGCGCCCTCGTATGGAGTACAATTTGCGGAGTGCCCGTCGTGTTCCTGCATAGGCCGGTCCTTGAAGGGCGTCTTTAATGTGCATGTATGTACCTACCGTGATGCGGAAGAGGTCGCCATTCGGCTGCCTACCTTAGGTACCTATATAAGGTGGATACACATCCAAAGACGTCAAGAAGGTTGTTACGCGAATATGACCAGACATCACCACACTCTTCAGATAGAATTTGCCGTTTCCTCTCTCAACGGCTCGAGTATCTCTCCCTGACTTCGCTACCTATATCTAGGTATAGGTATATACGGCTTGGCTGGAGGGGGTTGGGGCATCCTTTGCGCTGGCGGAAGCCGTCGAAGCGAATTGCCTACCTAATAAACAAGATGGCAGGACTCCGCGTACATGTGGATCATATGTGCTCTTTGAGAAGCTGAGTGTGATACCCAGCGATTGTATAGCTCCTGTTTGGGGAGATACTCTGTTCCGGACATTGACCCGACTCCTTCGGTGCCCACGAAGCCCTCAATTTCACGCAATACATCTGCCATAGATACGAGACACATATGGGTGATGAAGGAGAGACGAGGGAATGAGGGCTCTCGAGCGAAACGAATGTGTGGCTGGTGGGTGTCCACACGTGACCAACACAGGGTGCAACCTCCCATAGTCCTGGTTGTATGTAGGTAGGTATTTGATTCAACCACATCTCAAGATGGTGCAGTTAATTGCCTGCAACATCTGCCGTGAGGCGATTACTTCAGATGAATAATTACTGGAGCGTCTTTCGCGATACCAGGCGAGAACGCGTGTACGCTCAATGAATACTCTTCTAACACGCAACAGTCCCGACTTCCAGCTAATGTCAGCAATTGGATTTGACGAAGAACCAAGCAGGCTTCCGGTACCTACGTCCAGCTCCGCGTGTTGCCCTCGGATTCGCTTGACCTGATCAAGGACCAAGGCCTCTATTGTCTGTCTGAGCGAGCCGAGGCTCAATTACAGGTCTGGTATAGGGAACACAATGCACTGCAATCTTTTGTACTATTAGCCATGCCACAAGTCGGGTAGATTTCAAAGGCCCTACAGGAGTATCCCGGCGGTATTGTGTAAGCTTGAGAACTTAGCTCCACTACAAGCTTCTTCTCATCAGCACTACTTGGAGCTACGCCGGCCGCTGTGGCATGCGCGTTGAACATACCGTGTGTGTACTTCGAACAGTACAGGACTCCAGAAATGGTGGATCTGGGCAGCCATTTTCGAACGGCCAACCATCGACACAGTAACTGAGAGCGGAATATTCTCTAGGGCTCTCCTATCCGCCTATACCGCAAGCGTGCTATCGACATCGGAGGAAATCCTAAGGGTGCATTATCGTTATTACCGGTCGTACGTTAGGGTAAATTGGCTGATCATGTACCGTCGGGTTTAGACCAACTGATTCTAGAAGGACCCTACCGGTCGCCAAGCCGAGTAGGACACTGCGCCGCGGCAGGGGAGATTTCCCAGGGTTCGAGAGCCCACGGGGTAGGGCGTGATAGGGCTGTGCCGTCGCCGCGATGGGGTTGGCATCCTTGCTGGCTCGATGACGCCCCGGGCATAGGCCCGTCCAGCTGCTCTTTTGGCACCTAGCGCTGCTACGCTGCTAGACGCGTTACCGCGACTCCGTATAGAAAATATGTCAACCCGAGATCCTAGGGTCCGCTAGGCTACCTTGGAGGGGGGGGTGGGGAGGGGGGGAAGATGGTATTCAGTCGACGAAATCTCACGATGCTTCCATGTATAAAAGGGCCGCTTTGTTCTGACACCGGATGGATAATGGCCTTCCTTACCAGCAACCACACCGGTCTTCCCACACTCGTTTAGTAGGGTAATATCGTCTCTCCCACTCTTCAAGATGGTCTCCTTCGCCCTAGTAACGCTGGCGGTTGCCGCCACCGTCCGAGCCCTGCCTGAGATCACCCCCATCGTCCGGGAGAACACATGCAGCAACTGGCCCTTCTACCGCCAGTTTTCTAGCGTCGCCGGCCCGTGGACCCTCTTTGCCTCCTCGACCGGCACTGATATCGACAACAACAAGGCCTCCTACGTTACCTTTTCCGACACCAGTCTCGCAGCGGGCTGGGTACGACTGCCCCCCTCTCTCCCTTTCTCTCTCCTCGCGGGCCTCGGCGCTAACCTAGTGACCAACAGTTGAGTATCAGCAGCCGGAACGACACCGCGACGCCGCAGGTGCAATGCCAGGCCTTCGGCAGCTCCGACATGCTCGCCGTGAACATCGGCGGCCGCTTCGAGCCCCTCAGCGTCTCGGCCTACACCTACCACAACTACGACGGGCTCATCTTCGCGCGGACCGTCACGCGCGGCGCCCCGATCCAGCCGCACTGGCACTTCTTCGCCAACGGCACCCGCCAGCCCGGCACCTTCCTCGGCTGGAACAACCAGACCACCTGGGCCTTCCGCCGCCTCGAAGATGCCAACTCGTTCCGTGTTCGCCTCCTGTTCGCCGGCACGCCTGGCCTCGTCGATGGCGAGTTCGCCGGCTTCCTCCGCGCCGGCTTCGCCGAGCTCGATGATTAGGCGGCGACCGGCTTCCAAGCGCGAGGTGATGTGGGTGGCATCTACATCATTCGCGGCGTCGTGCTCTACAGTCCCGAGGGGTACGAGTCGATGATATAGTCCCTAATTCATAATTAAAAGGGGCAAGGAGCTAGCTCGGGCCACCCGACTTTGCCCTGTCCGCCATCTAAGATGCGCGCCACTGCTAGATACCAATGATACATCTTTAACTCGTGGTGCCACACCTATCAGTCTATATTCGATGTCGTACTAATCATAGAATGTTGGAATATATCCGGCAGTAAACGTTAGCTATCGGGAGGTCTCCGTGACTGCTACGGGGCGTAGTTAGAGCTTTGCCTGTTAAAGAGCGGCCGGTGTTAGGATACTTCTGGCTTTGGATCGTGAAGGGCCGTTCCCAGGGAGGGGAGAGCGCGGTTCTAAGAAGGCTCGAAGAGAGAAACATTTCGTGCACACCTGGATCAGTTTACATCTGCCCTACAAATTACGAGGTGGATTTTCTCGAGCTCCCTAAGAATACTACCTCCAGACCACGTGGGTATATAGAGTTCCCCTAACCTGCTTGGAATGTAAAAGGAGCCGCAACAACGGCGTCAAGGAGATCCCCCCCCCCCCTACCGCCCAAAACGGCTATCAGTATTTAATTTACGTCCTGTCGCTACCGTACAATGTATCTAAAATACCGTTCATACAAGACTGCCTGTCCACGACCGCCCTTGCGCCTTATACCGCCCAGTTCATTGCCCGCGAATAAAGAAACCAACCTGATTGGATAGACATTTATAGAGATATATATAGATATATATACACACAACACAACGCACCTGGATAAGCTTGTTGATACGACAAGCCGTACTGCCTTTCACACAATTCCATTGCGGTAGATACCTGGGTATAAGTCTTACTCCATCTCGATTCCTAAAGGCACCGGTTTAACCACTAGCACCGACGCCTGCTGCGACGTGGCGATGCTCTTCGTCAACCTCGTAGATTTCTTCGACCTTCTCGCCAGGAATTTGCATGATGGGGCTGAATTGCTCCACTTCTTCGACATCATCGTCGGCGTCCACCTCGCAAGCAGCTGCTTCCGCTTCCTCGTCCTCCTCTTGAATCGTGATCTCGCCGCTCCTTCGCCCTAATCCGCTGGCGCTCGCGCTGCGGCTGTGGCCGGCCGAGCTCGTACCACTCCGGGCTGCCGGGGTACCAAAGGACAGCATCGGACCTTTGAAGAGATTACGCTTGCGCTTAGCGAACAGGACCGAAGGACTGTTAGACGTAAATGGGTTGGGAGACCCAGGAGGATTGGCGGAGGACTTAGGTTGGGGCATGCCTTCGTTGAAACTGAGAGCGATTGCCGGTCCACGAACAAGACGTATGTTAGAGGGAAACGACGTGCTGGTTGGTGTGGCTGGTAAAACTTTCACCGAATGATGCGGAGAGCGTCCAGGCGTCTTTGTTGTAGACACCGACCCGGTAGAGCTGGTCGAGCTCGCCTTCGAGTGCGAATGATGATGGCGTGGCATTGTACGGATGGAGGAAAGCGATGAAGAGGTCGATTTACGGCCCTTCAGGCCGATCGAGGAACGGCGCATCGTAGACCGCGGCGTTAGCGGAACCGGCGACAGAGATTGGCGCTTGTATGACGAAGTAGAGGATGACACACGGTGCGGCCCTGCGTGGTAAGAGGTCGAGAGCGGAGCTGGCGTAGGTTTCTTGGCTTGGTTACCCCCGCCTCCTGCCCCGACACCTGGAGGGATTCCGTTGGGTAAGCTGGGAGAGTTCCCGCCGCTCGGTACGACACCACCATGTGTGGAGGCTGGGTATTTACTAGTGTGAGGCCGGGGACTAACATCCTTCGAATTTTTCCCGCCGGATTGACCGTCCCTACTAGCCAAATTCGGGGTGGACATGCTGCCTCGCTTGTTGGGTCTGTGTCGTCTCGTGCTCTCGACAATCCAGTGAGTCCAGTTCTTCCATGTGGCAACGATCGCCTGGGATGGCTTCTTGCGAACTTTCTGGGGAGGACGTAGCTCCTGCCCCCCACCGCTTGCCAGTGCGTCGGAGGTTGTTACAAGATGAAGAGTCGAGCCTCTAGACCTCGCGCTTCGAAGAATACCCTCCTTTGGTGGGGGTATTGGCCGTTGTTGTCGAGTTGTACTGACTGACCGTACGGAGTCTTTATCGACAGGAGGCGGCGGGGTGTTCGTATCGGGGCTAAGGTGGTCCTTGATCAACGATTCCGGTAGGTTGGGCAATTCTGGAATCTGGAAGTCGCTATAATGTGTGCTTCTCCTCTCCGCACGCCCTCTCGTCCTAGGTAGGGATGGTTCCCCTGAGAAACCGGAACCGCTGGCGTCCTCGTCGAGAATGGGCGCCATGCGCTCCAACTTGCTAGACGCCGCTGAGAAACGGCGGGAATTTCGATTCTCGGCTTCTCTGTCTTTCCTCCTTCTCTCCCTCCGGCGAGCCTTCCTCTCCTCCTTTTCCAACAGCAAGGTCCACCAGCCGGCTAGCACATCGCATCGCTGCGCAAGGACACTTTCAATAACGGCATCGATGTCTACTCCAGCGCTGCGCATTCGCTGCAGGCAATCCTTCTCCAAGTGGGTACTGAATGGGGGGGGTTGACGCAGCTTCAATATCGCGTGTTGCTGAGGGGCGTGCTCTGAGAGGAAGGCGTGAGAAAGAATCTCGGGGAGGCTAGGCCTGAGTAACGGTCGTTTGGAGAGGAGCGCCTTTATCAGTGCAACGGCGTCAGGCGGGAGATGTTCCGGATACTTCGGCTCCTCCGTCAGGATTTTGGACCTCGTAATATTGTCGTCGTCGTCGTCGAAGGGTAGCTCGCCACACAGCAGGGCATAAAGAATTACACCCAAGCTCCACACATCTACCTTTTCACCGGCGTACTTCTCCCCCTTCAGCATCTCGGGCGCCGAGTAACATATTGTCCCGCAGAACGTCTGCAAATAGTTCGACTTCCCTTCATATTCTCGCGTAAATCCGAAATCCACCAGCTTGACATTCTCGTGTTTATCGAGCAAGATATTTTCGAGTTTGAGATCGCGGTGGACGCATGACTGCTGGTGTACGTACGACACAGCTCCAACGAGTTGTGTGAATATCTTTTGAACCTTCTCGGTTGCCAGTGGGCCATGTCTAAGGAGATAGTTATAGAGCTCATCACCTAAAGAAGAAGAAAAGGTCAACGACGCGCCGGCAACCCAACGCTCAGAGATTCAGTCAGGGCGTACCTGGGCAATATTCCAAGACAAGCCATACTAGGGACTCGGTCACTATGATTTCGTATAGACGCGCAATATGAGGGTGGACAAATTGGCGATGGTGATGAATCTCGCGAGCGAGGTTCGAATCATCCTTGTTAGCGGACTTCAGAACGACCTATGGACGAGAATTAGAAGCTGCAGTTAACTAGAGGCCGAACACAAATTCGTGCAGAGACCGACCTTGGAGCCATTTGTGAGCTTGTGGTTCGCAAGATAAACCTTCCCGAAGGAGCCCTTTCCTATCAACCTCCCCAGGGTGTAGTTGCCAACATGCTTCAGGTCCTTGTTCGAAAATTCGCTGCGACAGAGGATGAGTATAAAGGTTGGAGCTTGGGGGGTCAGGGGGGGGTGGCCGGGAGGCCGGGACCTAGACTTACTCCAGCAGTTCCTGGTACGAGTTGGCAAGCTGGGAAAAACGTAAGAATGGTCAGCGCCCGCTCTGTTCCTCGATACGTCACATCGAGAAGCGTGCAAGATGTGATGAGTCTTGACCGACCTTTGCTTTCCGTCCCAGTGCCTCAGCCTTAGCTTTGTTCGCCTGCATATCCTTCTACGGCCTGTCTGCAACCCCGTCCACTGCCTCCGGGGGCGGTGGGGGGAGAGATGGTGCTCTGAGGTCGGTCGCCGAGTCCGCGGCAGGTTTGGGGGATGGACGTAAGCCGTATTCTACGGCTCTGGTATGGCGATGGGGCGCCTGGCTGGGTTCGACGGCTCATGAATAACGCAGCAGCTCTACGAGAAGAAGACGACAAGTCAGAGCTGTTTCGACGTAGCTGGTCCCAACATGCGTAATCGGGCGCGAACGCTGCGAAATTGGCAGATGGCACTAACGGCCTGCTAACCTGTTAGTCTGATAAGGGGTTCCGTCTCAAGGGTTGGCCTCGCGTTATGGCAATGTCTTGGTCTCCCGAGCTATCGGCGAGCACGGGACGAGTCGGCGCTGGGAGGGTCGCAATAAGAAGATGTGCAGGCGATCGTATTTCGGTCGGGTGTTGCGGAAGGCTGGCCGGAGCTGGACGGAGGTCAGCCCTTTGAAAGGATACAGGATCGCACAAATGGATAGGTAGGTCAGGAATCCATTGCGTACGTCGAGCTATCGCAGTTGGGGAAAAGTTTGAAGTCTGATTTCTGTAGACCGCGATGACCAGGGGCGAAGCGAGCAAGGGTCAATACCTGCCGCTAGGACCCGTTGTAGGTATAGTATGGTATTGGCTGTGTCTATCTATGTACATATGTACATCGTGCGTATACTATAGTAGGATGTCGCGTGGAAGGAGGACGGGGCAGCCCGAGGGCCTATCCCCCCTGCAGCTGACCATACTCGTCATGCTGAGGTTACCCGAGGCACCTCCTAGATAGGTACCCTAGGTACCTAACCTACCTAACCTCAGGGACATGCGTAGTACCTTAGGGGGGCGGCATGTGGCCTAGGGACCTTGCCAAGGGATATAGGTACCCCCTAGCAGCTCCCTACCTCTTTGGGCAACCTAATAACAATCTCCAGGCGGTCCTAGCAATTTCGCGACCTGGCGTTGATTGAGAGGATCATGTGCTACCCATGTACATACCCACCTATGCATGTATTGCATGTATATACGTATGTATATGCATTATTTATAGGTACCTTACAGAGGTAGGTAGGTACCTAGGTACCCAACCCACCGCCACGTAAGGCACTTGTCTCATATATAGCAGGTACCTCTCACTACATTGACGTAGGGGGTGTAGGCACCCAAGGTGCCTAACCTTCTCCCTAACGCATACCTATGAGTACAGGTAGGTAAGGTACCTAATCTACCCGCCGACCTCCTCTCTACCTAGGTACACAAAGGCTCCTCGCATATAATGCCCTCATTTCTCTTCGCCGCCTCTGCCACGATCCTCGATGTTGAAGCGCCATACTTATACTACATAGTCCGCAATCTGTAACGCGGCAAGAAACACAAGGAACCTACCTATCTATCTCACGCCACGTAGATGCGTATCCGTAGGAGCCAAAAATAGACCGAGCCGCCCGGGCGGACAGGCAGCAAAGCCGCCAGCGGCAATCGGTTGGCAAGTTACGATCACGATCTCAAGTATTCGCAAACACTCTTCCCCCACCGCACGCCACCCTTGTAGACCCACATCCCGGGAGCATTTCCGGCCTTCAGTCCTGCGATCGCATCCGCCAGGTCCGGTCCCAGACCCTCGGCCTTGATCTCCTCGACGGGATACAGGTACGTCTTGAAGGAGAACAGGATAGCCCTCGTCTTGGGCATCCGCGTCAGTGTTTGCAGCTCCATCCTAACCCGCGCCTGTCTGCCGTCAGGAGTTGCCCAGGCCGATCGGCCACTCAACGCGATGGTCCTATGAGAAAGGTAGGTGCTCACTTTATCAATATCTACGTCCATGTCCTCTTCGAATTCGTCCCCCGGCTTGACGTGGTTCCCAGAGACGTTGAATAAGGTGGGGTCTGTTGTCACCGACCACTGCAACTCGCAGATCAGGAAGAGCTCGACATAGACTCTGCTGGCGAGGCTGGGGGGAGGGAGGCTAGCATACGTTGACCCGGCAAGCGCTCTGCCCTACTTCGAGGCGACGGAAATATCTCTCCATGCTTGGGCCAATTTTTTCGTATGACGGCACCGGCTTATGGATATCCTTCAGCCCCTTGCCCAGCTTGGTGGCCGGGTCGAAGCCGGATGGACAACAGCACACGAAGGCGATACACTGATGTCCCTCTGGAGTTTCCTGTAGGAAGAACATGTCGTCCTCGACAGTCTCGCCAATACTCCGGAGCGCTGCTATCGGGTCGTTAGGGGGTATAAGCGGGAGAGAAGTGGCCGTCACTGTGTTACGGAAACACTTGCTGTCACGCGAGAAGAGAGTGGGATACCGGGTGGGGAGATATTCCCCTAAGAGGTAAGAGTAGACCTCCTGGACAGCTTCGACCCCGGACGGAAGACACCCGAGCGTGTGATTTGCGTGGTCGGTCATAGTGACCTTCCGGCCTTGTATGCGCGATAGGTAGTTCCTGTCTATGACAATGAGATCCGACGGGGTTGTCGACCTAACTGCTGCACAGACAGTTACTATGACGAAGCCCCAAACCCATTCTTCCCCCTGGACATTCCGCAGGGATTTCGAACGCACCCATCGTGATGTAATAAATGGGCTTGAATGGCCGAAACTGTTGCGGCTCTATAGCCTCCCAGTCGAATTCGGGAAGGGGCTTGATACTGAGCTCAGACTGCGACACTTTGACTCCCTCCTCAAAGGAGCCATAGGCGACTTCCTATGCGGGTGGCACGTTGTTAACCTGCGGTCAACAGTTGAAGTAGTTATCGGACCTCGGCTTACCTTCTTCGTGCGTTGGGCCCGTGCCCATAACATAACAGCTATCAACAGCCCAAAGACTGCGAGGACCAGAATTGCTGGCATCGTTCTAGAACGAGACCCCCAACTTACCAGCAACGACTTAGAACTCAGACACGTAGGAAGACCCAGAATCTTGGCGCGATCTTCGTGGGCACGATCGCCCATTTATATAGTACTTTCCAGGGCTATCAGGTCCTCTAAGCAAGCACCGATCGAGACTAGACGTGTATCAACAAGGTGTAGATTTCAGTAGTAACGCTCATGCATGCCCCGCAACCTGGATGCGGAGTCCAGATAGTGAGTTACCAACGGCATTGCTTGGCTTGCCCGATGCCGGGAAAGTCTCGGCATTCTGATAGACCCTCACCACACCATAGTTTACCAAATCTTCAATGGTGGCACCCCGAGCCTCTGTCAACACGCAGAGGTTAACTTAGAGCGTACCGGAAAGAGCCGAGCCGCGTTCAAACCCCACAACCAGATAAGGTCTCACGTCCTAGGTACAATATAATTATCCCTCGAATATGATTTCTGTTCGCATTATAAACCTTGCGGTGCGCACTTCTTGGCAGAGTTGGTCGCCTTTTCGATAAGATGAGAAATTTCGGCTTCGACCCTGGGTTACTTACCTTCCTACGCGATATTAGAATTACGTTGGGTTGAGCTTACCATTGTGCAGATTGAAATTGCAATACCTTCTCTAAGGGTAGATTAATGGGAACTGATCAACTTGAGATATGAGGGGTAGTAGCATCTTAAAAGGGGATTATCGTATATTATCTGAGATCCTTCCTATGGGCGTACGATTCCCTATCTATATGTAGATCTGCCCACGTTCATGCTCAACTTCATACATTTCTGTCCACAATCTGGCAGAACGGCACGTGAAAAGTACCGTAATCCCCTAGCAAGAGAAACGGTCTACTAAATTGGCTCTATGATAACCTCGCTAGGAATCAACAGATGCTCCGTTCCCTACCCCTTCCCCCCTTCCCCCTCCCCCATGATAGCTTACAACCCAAATCGAGTTTCGATTCTGACGTGTGGTGCAGCGGCGGAGCGTCGAATCTATTCTGTGCCGTATGTGTTCTTAGTTCGCGGCGGTCCAGAGCTGAGGTCCGGGGTATGTGTAGCTAGAGTACGAAGTGTACAGGTTGAAAATGATGCCTGGCTCGTTCCTCTGGTAGAGACTGGTTCCGGGTACACCAGAAGTCGGGGCCACGGAGCCGCTGCCAGTGACCCTGAAATTCAGGCACTGAGGGTAGGCTTGCGCCCCGTTGTCGCTCTGGCCGCCGTGTAAGGCGATGATTTCGTGTCGGATAACATAGTCGCCCGGCCTGAGGTTTCGGGGGATCGTGACGGTTGTTGTGAAGTTGTTGGCGATTAGTTCGTCGGTTACCCAAGTGGTGCCGCTGACGATGCTCGCTTGGCTGAACTTGGACCATCGAAGGTCTGCGACATTCGCTGTTAAAGAGGTTAGTGGGGAGACTCCGCTTTCTTTCAGCTTCACTCAAGGGAAATGGCCAATACATACATTGGAAGGGAGAGATGTAGTTGATAATGGGTCCCTTGTGCGAGTCGGGCCACGTATTCCAGTAGAAGATGGCCGTATCACCGGCTTGTGCCTCGATGAAGTTCTGGCCTGCTTTGGCGGACTTGTGGCAGGAGATATCCACGGTCCCGAAGCTTGCGGGCTCGACGAAGCCGAGATCCTGGTTCAGAGAATCCCAACCTGCGGTCGCGGGGGCCGACCCGGATGGGAGGTAGTACCAGACCGGGTTCGAACCAGCAGTCCACTTCCCGTTGACGGTGACACCGGAAACGTAACCGTGGGCCCAAGTAAGTTGGGGCAGGGAGGCAGCAAGGCCCAGAAGAGTGGTGGAGGCTCGCATTTTGGAAGGGCTTGTCGAGGTAATTGGTCTTCTTGAAATTACCGAGTTGATCTTGATCGTCGCTGGAAGAGAAAAGATATTCGGCTATCGTCGTCGAAGGGAGCTGTCCCATATATACTCATGATGGCCGTACGCGACATGCTGGCTAGCTACAGCTTCCCTGTAATCATGGCCTTGGGATTTCCGGTGGGTTAGGGGTCTAATGCGTCCCGTTTGAGACAACGGATCACCCGAAGACAATAACGTGTCCCATTGCAGAAAGTCTGTCGGCCTCAGTCGACGAGCCATTGGTGGCCTTGAGGTTGGCCGTCTAAGACAATAGTATTAGCGCAAAGTGTTTCCATTGGATAGACCAAACTTGTCACCGTGCCGAGACGGATCCCGATAGTCCGGGTTCCCTGTCCGGAGCTCCAGGCCCGGGCTCGGTTGAGTATAGACGGTCTTGGCGCTCCTGAAGGACCAGGTTGATGGCTGCTGTAATGTAACGCCCGCCCTTATTATTGTGCATTCACTTCCGACAACCTTGTCAGTGGTTCTCCTGGTTCGCGTCTCTGGCACTTCCCGGAAAAGCCGCAAGGCACGCAATAGATGGACATTCGGTAATATTTAACGAGAATCAAGAAGTAGGATATCATGCGTTGCATGGATCCCCTGACGTGATTGTGCATACTGCCCGGCGACTCGTGCGTAATATGATGAGCCGAAGCGTTGTAACCACCTAATATGCCTACGATGTGACCATTCGACAGCACAGCACGGACTTGGGGCTTGACGACATCTTGGTCTTGGGTATGCCCTTCGCTGAATATGTCCTTCTTCGATGATGCCATGCCGCACGAGCAAGGACACACCGGGAGATACGGGACGAGGAGGGGCAGGTTGAAATACTGAATGTATTAGATGATGTCAGGTCTCTTGATAACCAAGAGACCTGTTTCCATTCAATAGAACGGATCGTGTTGATGGGGAGCCCGCAGGTACTATCGTAAGCCTCCATTAGGGACTGTTTACCCAGGTGAATGTAACAGCCAACATTTCTCAGTCGCAAGCGGAGGGCGGAATGGTGGCTGCGATTTTGTCACGTCAGGAGTCCTGCCTATCTCAGTATATCAAGCCTGCATAACCCACGAGGGAGATGTGAGCGTCTACGCGTTTATGTGAGACATTGTAGGAGTCGATGAATTCGGCAGTACCCCCCCGCCTCTATGTTGTGCCAAGTGTGCCTATCCATATGGCAGCAAATGTTATCTCCCTTATAATCCAGACGGTGGGATAGAAACAGGGGAACCGAAACCCTTAGTTTTCGAGAGTTAGCTTTAGGTGGATAACTACGCTTGGACGATATAGGTATGGGTGCCGGTTAATCTTCCCGTCGACCCAGGAGCCAGGTAAGCCCCGTTCGTTAATTATGCAGACGCAAACGCAGGCTCTACATTGCAGATCCGCTCACAGGGTTCGTGCCGTCGTGTCGAAGAGGAATACCCTCAAATTTGCAACCACAGCGTCGATGAACTCCAGACCCGGATCCATGTTGGGCGGACGCAGGAATGAAATAATAAAAACTAAGCACCTGACTGACCAGCAACGCGGGTTTATAAGGGCAAGTCGTACCCTTTCTCGTACATGCTACCTCTTAATGCGGTGACTTTATGCGATATTAGATTGCCTGCGGCACTGGATGCCGTCCCTCACTCCCTACATGTATTAGTGGATGTTCGCATGCAGCTTATTCTTCGTTCCGACAGGGGCAAGGGTCCAGGGAAGCCGGCGCGGATACGCGGGCCACGGGACGCGGAATGATTTCGTAGATCTGGGCGCGTCACCCGTCCACCTTGGCGTAGAGAATATGTGCCATCAGCTGACTGATGGTTACCTGACAGAGGGAGGGGAGTCATTACTTCACGTACGCCCTACTCGCCTTTGCGGTTAGGTGCTTCGACGCTGAGCGCACAACCAATCTCGTCCTCGACGACTGGAATGGCGGAGGCAAGGAGGGATGTTAAGTCTCTACTGAAGGACACGTGCGGGCAAGTCGCTCTGTATGATCTCCGCAGCCGGGATGCTACCGAAGAGGTTCTTGATATGTGCCCCGATAGCGCTGGCATGGTCGTCGGCCGTAGTGCGGAGTCAGTCGATATGTTTGCCGGATACGGTGAGGATCTCCCCGGCGTGGCGGCGAACCTTGAACATGGAACTGCTGGACTTTCCCATTGTTGGCGCGCCGCTTCGAATACCCCCAGCGTTCCGTTTCGCGTACCTTATTGCAACTGACCCAGATGACGAGAGCGCTACCACGCACAAGGCTCAATCGAAGCAGCCGTCCTGGCTACCGGAATGATCTGTAACTGATAATGTCGCCTCATCTCTGATGAGGATCTGTCTTCTTCATTCCGGGAAGTTATTACAGTCTGCCTGGATGGCGTGCAGGGTTAGTAATACGGAGCGCGTCGGTTTCATCACACCACCATAAGGTATACCTATGTGCCGTGCCCCCAATACCTACCGTTGAGACCAGCCAGCGAGATCTCGGTTCCTCTACGGGCCTAGACAAGCTACGTGTTCCCACCTATGATATTTGCAGGTCGGCGAACAGCCAGTGGGTGCGATGAGCGACGTGGATATCTTTTCACGCGGGACTGGCATCACCGGGTCGACCGATCAAGCAGCCACCGACCGCCTATCGAGACCAGTCAAGAAGATTCCCCAATGTCCTGAAATCGTCCGCGCAAGCCAGTCGGACGACGAGATCTTCTGCGCCGGGTTACGAGTCTTCGTACAGGCACACCTAACGCAGCAGGCGGACAACTCGAAGTGCCAGCAGCTGACGGAGCCGGATCAGTGTCGGTCGCACAGAAAGGCGTCGAAGATGGCAAGAAGAGGCTGTTCGAGCTTGTTGGGTTCGAGCGGGCCTGTTTGAAGATGTCGTTTGCATTTCTCGCGGGGGAGGTCTCGCAGAGGGATTCGAATATTTGGCGACGTAGTTGACCTACAGGCACGGCCAGATCTTGGATGTTGTGAAGGTGAGTCTTCATCGAACAACGCGGCACAGCCACATCAGGTATCAGAAAGCGGCGGGGCTGGTGGGCTGGTGATGGGTACCAGGCCGGGTAGGTACCTCCTATGTACGTAGCAGGTACCTATGTGAGGGGTATCTACCTTAGGTACCTAGGGTACCTACCTGTATTGCGGTTGTTGGGTCGCGGTACAGGTGCACTACGACAGGGGATACCTAGGTAGGTACTTGCCTAGCCACCTGAGGTAAGGTCCCGCGCCGGTTCTGAAGGACCTCAGTTACTTGCCCTATTGTGCACAACACAGAACTTGACCCGATATCCCAAGGTCAATTTGGGTTGCAATGAGGTTCCATAGGGGTGAACGGGCGAGGCTAACCCTAGGCTTCGGCAAGTTGGGCGGAAGGGCACGACGAGCTACCCAGGTGTAGGTCTCTAACCCTAGGTAGTTTCTAGCCTGAACCGAGCTCAAACGCGTACCATAAGTAGGCACGGTCTCGCGATCTCGCGCGAGCTTTGCGGGTCCTCGAAACCTCCCCTCAAACCCCTTTCCGCTCCAACTTCATCCTGTGCTCGACCTGCTCTTCACCTGTGTCGCGCCCCCGGGATCCCCGTCCTACTCAACCTCTTGCCGGCATACGTGTAGCTAGCAGCAGTTCTCAGCGGGTTCTCATCACCACGAACTATACTGTACCCCGACGACGGTGGTGACCCCTCGCTCTTCTCTCCCACGACACCAGCCTCCGACACGCGCAACGCATACATGCCGACGCACACACATATACATACATACATACAGGTATGCACCCGCGTAGCATCCTGTCGGGGCCGTAGGTGTCTCTAGAGCCGTCCGCGCTGGGGTCCCGTCCTAGAACCGGATTCTGTTCGAGCTCAGCCGCCATGGTGAGGTCCGAAACGCTTTCGCCTCAGTACTGGCGCCTTGAAGGCATCAAGTTCCCTGAAGACCAAGAACCCATGGTCACGCGGCAGGAATTTCGCTCGACATTACTTACACCCCAGTTTTGCCACATTCACGACGCTACCCCTCGGCAACGGTTTGCGGTGAATCTTCGCGTTCTGTTGAAGGGTTATCTATTCTTCCACGACTTTAAACAGGGTGAGACTTTTTGGAGAGATCTGGCTCAGGCACTATGCAAAAACTGGGGTGGCAATTCCATCCGGGGCCTAATTAATACGTACATGCTTGGGAGACAACTATTCATCCGCGACCTTGCTTCTGCGCGCGCTGGACGCCCTATCGCAGCTAGGCCACACCCGCCATCCGAGATCGTTCGGCTCTTGGATGACTGCATAGCCGCCAGCAGACGGCCTCCCACTCCCGTGCATCGCCGTGCAGATCTCCGAGGTGCTTTTCGAGAAAGGCTAGCAAGATGGCGCGAGGAAGACATTGTGTCAAGCCCCGCTCCTGAGTGTCCGAATCCTCCGGTCAGGGGACTTGCTGAGCGGGTGAGTGCCAGGCCTTCTTTAGCCTCGCGTATCTCAGCACCTGTCTATGGCGCGGGAGATGCGAGAGAGGAAGACCGAGACCCCACAACTCGAGTCGACCCCTCCACCCCCGACTCTGAGTCGTCCGATTCAGGCTCTCAATTCGCGGTCAGGAGGCTTCCCCAAGAGATCGATAACAATAACGTCGACAGATCTCTGGCTTCCCGTATTTCGGCCCCTCGTGAGAACCCTGTTAGGTCTAATTTCGAGTACGAATACCTAGGGGGCCGCGGTAGCGCGCGAAGAGAATCGGAACTCCGTGGGCCCCCTCAGTCTCCATCCGCATCCTCACAGATTCAACGAATCGTAGGTTATACGAGCGGGGAGCTAGATGGGGACTCCAGCCTTGCCCGTCTACCTCAAAGGAGCCCTAGCTCACAAATTCGGAAAGATCCCATTACGAAGTCGGACGAAGCCAAGGGCCAGGCTCCTCGCCCTCCTATTCCGGGCCCGGACCATGGAGTTTCATCTCCCCCCAATGGAGGGTTAGATACAGAATCAAGTAGCTTGTCTAAGCTCGCCGCTCCCCCCAGCTCCATCACTTCTTTACCGGGCGCTCGAAAGAGACGAGCTTCTGGATCATTTGTCGACGCGGTGCCTTCAAAACGGTGTGCCGCCTCATGCGCACCAAGTGCCAGTGGTATTTATGAGCATCGTGCTGAAGCTGATTCACACTCCGATCAAACCCTTGTAGATCCGTCGGAGAAGGATGGCGGGGAACGACAACCGGAGATCCACGCCGAAGCAAGTACGTTGAATACGTCGGCAGCGCCTGGCCGGCGGCCGGATAGAAGTTCATCCCATGAGACCGTCGTCGACGAAACCGGTCCAACCAGCAATTTGAAAGGACCAGACGAGCCTAAGAACTCTAATCGCGTCGATTCTGTTGCAATATTATCAGTTCCGCCCGGCGGCCCCCCCGGGGAAACTACATATCAGAAGGACACAACTATTTCAGAGCAAGTCGGGACGGAAGAAGCAGGAGAAACTGCGGAGACAACAGTGGTTAGAGAGTCCAGGGCAGAGGTAAATTGTCGTGAGTTCCAGCCCTTAATCAGCTGTTTCAAAGATCTCCCCACATCTATCGCCTTTCAGCCACCCGCAATCAAGGATCATAGATTCCAGGATGTAATCGCAGAACTACAGCGTAGGCTCAAAGTTCAAGAGGAGGCATTAGAGGCATCACAGGCGGCGGCGGAGAACGACCGACGGCATACTCATTCGATAGAGACCCAACTTTGCGCCATTCAAGAGCAACTGGCCCGCCGAAAAGACCAAACAGATAAACAGCAGATCACGTCACCGGACAAGCTAATAGGACTAGAGAGAGATCTTTATCTGAACCGCCTCAAACAGCAAGACGTTCCATCGTGTATGAGCGGGATCAGGGGCGAGATTTATAAGCTGAAGAAAGTCGTTCTCGTGAAGTTATCGCAGGAAAACCCTGCTACAGGGAGCTGGCCTAGGATGGAACGCCTCTGGCTCACGCTGGATAAAGCCATGGAGGAGGCCGAGATAGCTTCTCAGACTTCGGCATAGGTTCAACATGGGAGACCAGCGGGAGTTGCAGCGAATATTTGAAAGACATAGCAATGGGGGCTTCGCTATGTCCCAACTCGCAGGGGCTAGTCTATACGGACAGGCTTAACTGTGGGCATCATGAATGGACGACAAGGTATTCACGGGGTGGTTCAGCTCACATCACGCAGAATGGCGGCAACTGGGGTGACAAGTATATTAATAACGGTCTCCGCTATGTTTCCATATAGCTTTAAACAATATTACATAACATTACTACAATCGGCCCCAAACAGAGAGAGGGCAGGGGAAAGGAGCGAAGAGACTGAGCATCATAAATGATGTAGACGAACTGTGCTAGTTGAGATACGTAGCAATCACTTCGCTTCTAGTCCGAGGCCTTTCCGTAGCACTTACGGAGGAATTCTATCTTTCATACACTTTACTCAGCCGTTTAATATCTCTGGGTGTGTAGCTACAAGAAGTTGAGGGGCAGTTTAGGTTGTTATATTACGTATGGATTGCTTTCACCAGCCCCTTTGATGACGCTGAGGAGTTTACATGGCCGACGAGTGCGCGTGTCTCCAGGGATTGAAGACATTCAGCTTACGATACTTGACTTATTTGCTACATGCTTAGTTTTTTTTTTATATTTTGCCTTTATTTCTATTTTCTTATTACAGCGTAATGTCAGCATTTGCAGACAATACACGAGCTATTTGCAGATACAACCCAGAGACGGAAAAACTGGAAAGGCATTGGCCAATCTTATATTCCCATCTGTAGGTTGTGCGGAAGGAAGATGCCTGCTGCTCGTCTTGTAGAGAGGTGCTATCCTATGGGCCTTCCTGTTTTGAGGCCGGCTGCTTATCTCCTCCTCAGCCTTCGCTCTCCTCTAAATCAGCCGCCTCGGCTTCGGCCTCTGCATACGCCGCCTCTGCCTCTGCCTCTGCCTCGGCTGCTCTAATAAACGCTTTGCCCCAAAGTATTGCTGCTGCTTCGTCTAAGACTTCAGCATCCACGGCCGCCTCTAGGATCGGCTGCCACTCAGGCGGTACATCGATGTCATCGATGTTATCAATGCTAGCACCGTAGCGTTCCTCATCGTCAGGCGGATCGTCGCTGAATATTTTCTTGAGTGCCCCAGCTGCTTGAATGCCTGCCATGATCTTGTGTATGCCGTATTGTATCTGCAAGAAATGCCAGCTCGGCAGCGGGCGCGCAACTGGGTCGTCCGTCACCAGCTCGTAGACGTCACCGTGTTCCAAGGCTGGGAACATGGGGGTGTCGCCACGACGGTACTGCCAAACTGCGGATGATCCCAGTCGGAAACCACGCGGTTGCCATTCATGTCCTTCAGCCACACCATTTGGATAAAAATCCGGTGCAGAGGGTCGGTCGGATGCGCAATAGGACGGATGCCAAAGAAGAAACAATCCCACATGGCGTGGATGGTGTGCGTGAGCGGGAAGATGTTTTCCCTCTCGCGTCCATGCATTACCAGGTTTTCGATGGCAGGCAGCGGCCAAAGTGCCCGGAGCATACTCCATGTCTTATTGTGATCAATCCCCCTTGACCGTACAGGCACAATGTGTGCACCCTGCGGCTTAATGGTGCCTGTTAAGATGCAGCGATTGTTGTAGAACGTTGGCACGTCCTTTTGGGCCTTGACGTCGGCGCTCTCTCTGCTCCGCTTTTTGGCATTCTTGCTGATCAGCCAACTATCCGTTTGCATAGATATTAAGCGGATCAGGCCTTCGAGACATATAGTGAAATATCCCTCCAGCTTTTCCGGTGGGAAGGAGCACATGACTGGCGTCACGCCGGTAATCTCTGCGGTCGGATCTAGTGCAATATTGAGAACCGCTAGAAGCCACTTCTTTTCTTTCGCACGCTCAGTCTGCGACAGGAGGGTGTCGTGTTGCAGGCAGTCGAGCTTGGTTCGTATAAAGGCTATAAAGCGCTCATCCGTCGGCGGCAGTGCTGCGTCGGGCTCTGTATCGACGTCCTCTGTAGACGTGGGCGGCGTCAGGGTTGGGTCCCATTTGATCGACCGCCTCCCGATAAATCGCACCGCCATCTGTCCGGTTAGCGCAGGAAAGGGCAAAGTAAACAAAGGACAAAATGAAAATAGGAATAGAGGAAGAATTCTCGCTAGTCTACAGTACCTTGCAAGGCAGGGAAGAAACCGAAAAACGGATATGTCGCGTAAAATGTAGACGCCCACATTTACGCTGTGCGGTATGTAGGCTTATAAGGGCCGGTTCAACTGCTACGTGACAGAATAAAAAACAACTCGGGCGACTCGAGCTGCTAGAGTTCGACTTGTTAAAGAAAGAGAAGAGGTTGAAATAAAATATAGAAAGATGTTGCTCGTAGACTCGAAAAAGGTGGCAGGGGGTGGGGAAGATGGAAGAAAAATATTGTAGTCATTAGCTAGGTTGGGAATTCGGTACTAGTCTAGTACTTTTTATACTAGTACTATAGGTATCTTAAAAATACAGCTCTAAGCTACGGTGATTAGTAAAGAGGCACGACGGGTATTTTATATCTAGTAACGTGGTTTTAAGGTGTAGTAATGCGGGCCTACGAGCGTATCTAATAACACGGCCCCGCGAGTACCATATATCTAGTAACAGGATTTTAAGGTACTATTATAGTGTCTAATAACGCGGGCCCACGGGTGCCCTATATCTAGTAACACGGTCCCGCGAGTGCCATATGTCTAGTAACGGGATTCTGGGGTACTGCGACGCCTAGCAGCTAGCTATAGGCAAATCCCATGCCTAGTAACGTGGTTGATATCCATGCGTGTGAATTGTGTCAGTGTTTTGTCACGGTGGGGGTACAGAGCTCACGTCGAAAGTGTAGATGTTGCCGTCTCTGTGTTCTCTCCCGAGTACCTGCCGACATATAAACCCAGAGGGTATTTCCATTAGTAGGTAGAGCAATTAGACCTCCTTGGATAATATCCTCGGCCTTCCCTTGATAGAACCGACTTTCTTGCCCTCTCCCTTCCATTCCACCTCTTCGGTAAGGCTTAACCAAAAGCAACACAGCTTACGATGGCTACCGCAAGCGTCCTTGGCTCCATGGTTATCCCTGGCCTTAATGAAGCACCTACGTTGGACAATCTGGAGAAATCTCGACTGGCGTAAGCTCGATCTCACGTGCAACCCCCCCTATGTGATGGACCCATGCTGACCGTCTGGCGGCAAAGCTAAAACGCGCTCCCCGACGACCACGATCAGCCTAATGTCGCCGACACCGTCCTCGCTGATCTCAAGGGCTTACTCGAGAAGTACATTGTCCAAGAGAAGTTCGGTTACCACCTAGTCCACGGGCACTTGCAGGTGACCCTGGGTCGAGTGATGCTCGGGCAGCCCATGACAAAGCTCGATGCGTGCTGGAACCGCCCAACTAGCGTCAAGGAAGCGGCTCTCGGGAACGTACATGGTCACATTTTCGTGCTGGGTGCTGACGGCCAGTTCACGCCCTACGAATACCACCAGAGTCCTCCCCCGGAGATCACCGCCAACGAGACCGCCTTTATCTCCGCCCTATAGAGCTACCTTGTGCAGAAGAACCTGGCGAGCCTCATCGGCATCCAGCTCCTGGGCGGAGACAGCACTCCTAAGGACATGCAGGAGTTCGTCCTGTCGGACAACCACGGTATTACCGTCATGATGGATGCCAACATGACCAACGCCAATAAGACTTACCGGGTTACGGGCTGGACCTTTGTGCGAAACGTGAACGGCACCACCGAGCTCAAGGGCAACGAATCCCATGCTGAGACGGTGAAAGGATCCCATAAGGTCTTCGTTGGCGGCAAGGGCCTCCCAGATGTTGGGGGCGGCGTTGACGCGGAGGTCGATATTGATGAGGAGGTCGTCATCGACGCGCTGCGCAGGGAGGAAGTCATCAACTAAGGCCGGAGTCCACGGGCCGGCCGACTAGCAGCCGGGACTAGGTTGTGGGAGGTCTTGGAGAATTAAGTTCAGAACGGTCATTACTGCAGCTAGGCATGGAACGCCGAGGGTTGCCCAGGATTTCGTTCGGCCACCTTTAAAGAATTGCCTCCAGATACAGACGTCTCTTCTCAATGCTCATGTTCTCGACCCCTACAACTCCCTTCTGCCCACTGTTGTAGAATGTTCCGTACCGGAGGAAATATCCTGCCTTTCTCGCTGCCTCAATACTCTTCATCTGTGAGCGGGACACTCGCCCAGCGTGGTGGGCGAATGCCTTCCAGAATTCATCCCTCAGCACGCCGGCGTTGTCGAGATAGATCCATCCATCACGGCCCATGCTGCCAATAAACTTTTCCAGCACGTACAGGGTGAAACCGAAGGGCTGGATCCCCACGTCAGTCCAGTCTATGACTCCTGTGATAATGCCGCTACCGCCGTCGACGAGGATGTTCAGCTCGTTGAGGTCGCTGTGAGTGAGCGCCAGTGGAAAATCTCCGGAAACGAGCGTCGGCAAATGCTCCCTCACTTCGTCGAGGGCTGGCCCAAAGCGATCGGTGAGAACGCCGGAGGAAGAGACGGCGTCGAGCCTACTAGAGAACTCGGTAGCAATTGCAGAGATAGCAGGCTGATCTAGAGCCACCGGCCTGCGCCAGGCCTGCGCAAAGAAGCTTGTTCACAATGTTAGCTGGCCCGGAGTAGAGAATAAGCCAATGCAAAGTCTTGGCGAACCTCGCCAGGCTGTGTACGGCGGCCAACTGGCTTTGGGGTTCCTCCGCCAGAGACGTGCGCACCAAGGCATAGTTGTCTCCCGGGAGTCTGTCCATCTCATATATAGCGAGCTGTCCTTGCGCGTCGTTACCAATTTGGCCTAGAGCAGCACCTACAGGCACAACGTCTCCATGAACCTGTCTAGCTAGGTCCAACATTCTCATGTCTAGCTGGGCGTCCATGTTTCGGAACTGGACAATCTTCTCTCTATTTAGCCCTGCTACCACGGTGTAGCTGGTCGCCCCTTGGACTGAAACTGGTTCGACTAGCCCTCCGAATGTCGTGCGGGCTAGATCGTCGCATTCTGCCCTGGAAGCAGATGCCTGCGCAAAAAATTGGCCGATCTCGTCGTCGAGGTCGCTGTAGAGCTGAGCCATGGCGGGCAAATGGAGATGGGATGCGAGATCTTTTTCGATTGTGTCTGATAGTTTTCGGAATGTAGAGCAGGTCTGTCGTCCGCCAGGGCGTGAGGACTTGCTGCCATTTAGCGGGAGCTTAGCCACTGTGGCGATGCTGGTATAACGACTCGAGCCGACTGTGAAAAGCGTGCTGCGGTAGAGAGCCTGGCCACACACACGGCCCAGCTCCACCCATCTCGTATGCGCCGCGATATCAAAGTCTAGGTATCTTCAACGGTAACTGATCAATGGCCGAGCAGATCCTCTGAAAGTAATCTGGCATCCAAGTGTCGTAAACATTCTTAGTAAACCGATACGCAGTCCACTTGTCCTTTCCGTCAAGTGCTGTAAAGTTAAATTTGTTAATCGGGTAGCGGTAATATTTCGTATCCTTCCCGTCGATTACTGCATAATATCCGTATATCCTCGTAGAGCAATGGTCGTGGGAGATGGAGAATGTAAGGATCTGCCGGTAAACCTCGTCCTCGCGCCTAATAAGACGAAAGAGCTCGACGATACCCCGCGCCGCGAGAGTCATATTGTAGGCGTTCTGGCGGCCCGCGACGTCCAGTGCTGTAGCCCTATACTTCACCTCGCAGGCGAGGAAGGGGAAATACATGTAGTATGTAGTCATGAAGAAGGACAGGTCGCCGGCCATGGAGTCGCTAATAAACGGCGACAGCTTGGCGACCTGGCTATCGGTAAACGCCTCTCGCCGGAACCCGACAGAGTAGTCTGGTTGTGGGCGAGTCCCAGCCAAGGGGATCGAATTATTCCATCCCTCGTTTATACTCTCGATCGAACACTTAAGGCCGGTGGAACCGTATAAGATTTGCATTGTGTCCAGTAACGGGGCTTCAGTACACTTTCCCTCATGGTAATTAGCTGTCGGCATTCACCTCGCTGTCAACTGCCCTAGGTGTGTAAATCTTCTCTTGCTCTTATATCTACATTCTCTCCCTCCTTGCTCTGGTTCTGCTGTTGTGCTTTGCTCCTTCTGGTGCTATTATATCCAAATAGGCTTTCTTACGAGATCGTGAGAGTACATAGGGGCGAGAGGAACGCTGGAAACCACATCTGCTAATCGTTGTTAAATGTGACAACTGTAGAAACCTACGCACCGCATTAGAAGCCGTGCATGTGTGGTTCAGGGCTTTGTGTTAGGTGCGGTATTAGAAAGGGGACGAGGGAGCTAGAGACGAGAAGAGTCGAAGTTTGATAAAATAATATCAATGGGTATAACTATATATTAGAGGGCTTAGACCGACCCTCCAGGGGAGCTTAGCGATATTATATGTACATTATAGCTCTCTGTACACCCTATGAGTATAGGAGTGTAGCCAGATCTGTCTCAGGTAAGTGCTCTAACAATCATCCCATTCCTTGTGCCCTAAGCTTTCTGGCGTTAAGAAGTCGAGGGCTTCCTCTATGGCCAGCCCGACTTCTTTCTTAAACCCTACCATCGAACAGGTAAAGAAAATATCGTGCGGCGCTAGGTGAGATTGGTGGAATTTCACCCGGTTGCCCTTTATGGCTGCCATATCATCGGCAAACCTCTTCATCGCGTCGTAATACGCCTCCTTCGTCCCGGCCTGTATAAAGAGCGGTGTGCTCGACCGGAACGAATGGTAGAGCGGGCAGATGAAAGCCTCGTCCTCTTGGGACAAGTCCCCTTCGGGAATATAGGCCCTTGCACCCCAATCCAGAACGGACGGGACCAGGAAGTCAACCCGCGAGTTCGGCAAGCCGTAGTATTCGCGCCCGTCGTTGGCTGTGACTTTGACCCACGGCGACCATAGCATAGCGCTGCCTAAGCCGTTTGTAACGCAAGGGTCAGCAGTCTGGTCCCAGGCCCCGAGGCGACGCTTCGATGATGGGTCCCTCGGACGATGACATATGAGAATCGACTTACTCGGCAGCGGAAGTAGAGACGGAAACATCTCCAAATATCGCAGTAACCCCAGGATCAGATTGGCCCCAGCCGAATCTCCCGAGAGAATAATATCTTCAGGGTCTACGCCGATGTTTAACACGTAGTAATACGCAGTCAAAGCGTCCTGGAGTGCGGCAGGGAACGGCGTCTCCTCGGTTGCTAGTCGGTACTGCACATAGAGAATGTTGGTCGCATCGAGATGCGGCATTAATACGTCCGCAACGGACCGTCCCATCTTATTGGGGTTCCAACCGAGGACGAAGCCGCCGCCTGCGAAGTGAATAACTGTCTTCTGGCCTCGTTCTACCATGCCCTTTTCGTTACGCTCGGCCGGTCCCGGGAACCATAGTGCCCCGACTGGCGCCGGCTGAACGGTTCTGGAGGCTAAGACGCCCTGGAAGAAACAAGAGTCGGGCGGGCTTATCAAGACAAACCTCTCGCCCGCCTTGCCGGGCTTGAGCTGCGGGGCCCGTTGGTAGCGAATCTTCGTGAACAGGCGGACCTGGGCACGGAAGAGCGCGATTCCTAGGGACGTCCTGAACGTCCATCCGGGGACGGGGCGGAGTGACTTAAACATATAACGGAGCGAAAGCAGTGCTAAGTGTGGGGGGGTTTTCAGGAGAAACAGCGCGATATAGATCGCCTTGAAGGGCTGGGCGGGCCACGGGGACGCCATGAGGGAATTCTTCGACGGGATATCAGCCTTGAGACACCACGAGCAGAAGAAGACGATGATGGCGGCATTGCAGCTTTATAGACGATGTAAGTATAGATACGTATGCTACCAAGGCTACATAGTCTGATCTCAAGGCAAAGGGCGATAGGTTGTAGTTAGATGAGATTGGGAGACGAGCTAGGTACATGCTACCGGGCTAGGAAGCACGAGGAATATTACCGGAATCACACCTCAGCAGCGGAAGACGAGCCGTGACGACAAGACGTGGATGCCGCCGAGGGGACCCCAGGTGCCGTTGAGGTGGGTGGTTGAGAAAAGCCCTTTAGTGCCCAACCAGCGGCGCGGGCATGCCACGAGGCTCGCTTAGTCGTCGTTGAAGATACGACGCCACGGCTCCTACCATCTGTTACATCCCGATTCGGGCAGTCAGATGGCAACGTGGTTCGAGAAGCAAAGTGAGGCTAAGATAAAATGGGCAGATAAAAAAAGAGAAGGCGGTTTCCGTGCCCCATCTCTTATACGCATTGGGTCTCATGCGTCAACCAAGTGCCGACTGCTACGCTCCTAAAACGGATTCAGAAAAAGGAAATACTCATTAAAAAAGAAAAAAAGAGAGACAGAAAGCTCACCGCTTCCTGGCGTGACAACGGCTTGCCTTTGAAAACTCATCTCCTTGTTTTTCTTCAGGCGAGCCAATTTGCGCGTTGACCTCTAGGGTTTGAACGTCGTCTGTTCATCTCCTATATCAAGTGTTTATTTTTTTTATTTTCTCCCTGACTTCCTGCGATATAGGCCATGGGTACCAGGATTCCTGTACATGCATATGCCTGTCGTCGGGGTCGTCATAGTAGCGCGGTAATACCACCCATATCCCTACCCATGGGCTGTTGTCGTATGTATTATAGGCATGCATTCCGCCCGCTAAGGTTACTCCCGTATTGCCAATATTGCTACCGAGTTCTCGTGCAGACGCCAAGGGGGAACTGCATCCGCCAGAGGCGGGAACATCGAATGGTTATAGACTTCTTCCGTATAGGCATGGCTTTCTTGGCCTTGTCATAACCTGGATATCGCCTTCCGTTCCTGACGCTTGCATGTAAGCACATCGAGATGATCGTTGATTGCTTCTATAACCGCTGCCTTGGGATTTGTAGTCAGGCTGCTATCCCCGGAGGGAAAATGCTCTACGCGATGATGTAGATTGGTCAACCGGTGGCATCGTCCCGGGCTCGCTAAGGTCTGTGGTATAAGACAACGGGGAGCTGAGGTTGGCTTATTACTGTTGACGCGTCGCGCCCAGAAACCTGTGTGCTGTGATGCACCCTATCGCACGTTTTTCCACCACCAGTGATAAAGCGATCAGGCAACGGAATGGATCCCGAAACCAGTCTAAGAATGCATTCGTACCCGGTTGCACTCCGACGTTCACATCGCCGTCACGTGATTGGCAATATTTAGTCGCCGAACTTAGTTGAGCCAGAGGGTATCCATTTTATACCTGGTATGCGGCGTGATGCCTTAACCGGAAGCGGAGGGACACTGCAGATTTACCGATCCCGATATACAGAGTCGTAAGATAATAGAGCACGTTGCGGGGGAGTCGTATGTTATTATCGACGCGGAGCTACGAGCGAAGAGCCGTACTCATAGTTACGCACAGGGAGTTGCTAACTTGGTCCACGTCGAAACACTCGAGTTATCCCGGTCTCTGGTGACGCCGAATCTTTCCCACTCGACAAAGTCGACTCCGTTGTCGACGGCTTCGTAGTAAGCCAAAACCGGTAATCGTGTATCGCCTTATGTCACGTGGAAATGCAGGTACTCTGTTAGGGAGTGGATGCCTGCACCCATTTGGTTACCTAGGTATGTATTGTACCTGACGGATAACCCATACGCAGCACATAATGTACCTAGGGGTCTCGTATGCTCCTTTTTCTGTCTGACAACCTGTATGTCGACACGGCGCCACTCGTTTCGGGCTGCCGAATAGGAGTCGGGGCCGACGAAGACGCAACGCCCGTGTTTGACCCGACGAAGCCGAACAAAGTCATGACGTCAAGCGTTCGCGACAAAAGCCCGCCGATCCGCGTCGGTACGCGGACTCGCATCCATCATTTTTCCTCTTCAGCGAGAAGACCAGATCTAGAGATAGCATCGCCCGATAACTCTGTAATCGTTAGAAAACAGATCGGGCGCTCTGATGAACACGACACCGCTCTTCTCATCGCTTTGCGCCCTAGTGATCGACTACGGGAAGTCCTCCGCGCCTGAAATTGGATCGTTGGGCTCTACGCACCCCTGCCGACAACCGAAGAGCGTCTTATAGTGTTCATTTCGCATAGTTGCCGGTCGTATTCAGGCTGTGAACATGGGTCCGTCCCTGGGCATGGGCATGACGCCGACGTTCAGCGCTACGGATTATCTTAAATTCTTTGGGGCCGGCGCCTTGGCGGCGACCCTCACTCATGGTGTAGGCGTCGCTCAGCTGAAGACGAGTGATGACTAATGGACGGACAGGCTGCGACTCCTATCGATGTGGTCAAGACGCGGATCCAGGTGGACGACTCGATGAAGGGTCTGAATATGGTTCGGGCTGGCCGACAGATAGTCGCCAAGGAAGGCGCCTCGTCTTTGCTCACCGGCTTTGGCCCAACTGCCGTCGGCTACTGCGTCCAGGGGGGCGGTAAGTTTGCCGGTTACGAATTCTTCAAGAAGAAGTTCATCGGCCTAGCGGGCTCGCCAGAGCAGGCCACGCGGCGGCGCACGGCCATCTACCTAGGCGCCAGCGCGACGGCCGAGTTCTTCGCCGACATCGCCCTCTGCCCGCTCGAAGCGACGCGCATCCGCCTGGTCTCACAGCGCGGCTTTGCCACGGGCCTCGCCCCAGGCTTCGTGCGGCTCGCGAGAGAAGAGGGTCTGCGGGGGTTCTACTCGGGTTTCATACCGCTGCTCTTCAAGCAGGTCCCGTACGCGGTGGGACAATTCTCTGTACACGAGGCGGCCGTTGAGCTGATCTACCGCACCATTGGTCCCGAGCGTAAGGACAGGCTGACGCAATGGCAGTCGACCGGCGTGGAGCTGAGCTCGGGCATCGTTGCTGGCGTCGCGGCGGCTGTGCTCTCCCATCCTGCCGACACGCTGCTCTCGGCCATAAATAAAGGAGCGGGCGATCGAAAGCAGGGCGCGACAAGCCGAATGTTCTCACTCGCGCGCCAGTTCGGGCCCAGGCGACTGCTGCTAACGGGACTGGGTCCGCGGGTGGTGATGACTTGTGGTTTGGTGGCTGGGCAGTTCGTAATCTACGCACAGTGCAAGGCGCTCGTCGGGGCACCACCAGGCATAGAAATTCATAAAGAGTGATCACTTGGATAGAGGGACAGCCATATATATAGATTCGAGGGCATTTGGATTTCCGTACACAATTACCCACGGATCGCTCGCAACTCGGCTTGTATGATGCATGGATGCAGGCGTGGTGAGGACATTGTTGAGGTGATGTTCGAGTGGGGGAGTGGATTAGGGGAGGATTGGTAAGGAGATAATACCTCTACCTACTGGAGCTTCTAAATTATAGGTAGGTAGGTACCTGTAATTGGCCCCAATTATAGTGGTGCGTGCACACATTGGGTACCTAGGTACATATATATGGACCTATGAGTACCTGATGATGGATCCGGCCAAGGGCAAGCCCTTCTTCGTCACGATTATAGGCATCTGGCTATCCGCTCTTTCATCTATTTTCAGATCTCAACTTGCCCACGTAGTTTTCTCTCTGTGTGTGTCTCTCTCGCTACTTAGCCGTTGTAAAGGACGAGAAATAAGAACACACACACACACACACCCAAGAGAAGCTCATCGCAGCCGCCCTTGGATCGGCCAGATGCCCATCGCCCGCCAAAACCCCCTACCGTCCAGCGCGCGTCCCAGCCGAGATGTCTCCCTTGGCAGCGCTCTGACCCCCTCTTCCACCATGAGCTCACCGACCCAAGCTAGCAATTCCCTCTGCCTCTCGACTTTAGCGATCGAAATGTCGTCCTGGAGCTCGTCAGTTTCTGTCGTCCGCAACGTCTGAACCGCCCAATCCTGCGCCAGATCCCACCAGTCGTAAACATGCAAGTCGGTCAGGAGCCAGCGCTTGCCGGGCGTAAAGTTGCGGTGCAGCGCGACGATGGCCCTAGCGACATCCTCTCCGTGCACCACGTGCAGCGCGCCCTTGCCCTTGAGGTCGGCCTTGGTCTTGACCACGCGGTCGACCCAGTCCCGCGGCTGGCGCGCCGCGCCGTAGAGGCCGGCGAGGTTCAGCACGGCACCGCCGGACTTCGCCATCAGCTCGTCCTCGGCGACGGCGCGGGGGTCGGTGTGCGAGTACGGCGACGAGTCGTCGTGCCACGTCGGTGCCGTCCAGATGCTCGTCGCGCCCAGCTGCACGAAGCGGGACGCGGTCTCGTGCGTGGACCCGTACAGGGAGACGAGGCGGGCGGACTGGCCCTCGCCGACGAGCGGGAAGGTGATGAGCACCGTCGTCGCGGACGGGAGCGCCCTGAACGGTTCTGGGTCGCGCGACTCCGCGTCGAACTTGAAGCTGATCGTGCCGTCCCGTCCATCCGTCGTGGTGGCCGCGTACGCGATCCCCTCCCGCTCGAGGAGCGGGATGAGGAACGTGGACGTCCAGCCGGCGCCGAGGATCAACAGGTCGACATGCTTATTCTCGTGATGTCGGTCCGCGTGTTGCGTTATCTGCATCTCGAGTGGGTGAATCACAAACGGTAGGCGTGTATGTGAGAGTCCAATGTTGGAGTCGTATGTTGTAATGCGACGGAGTATTTAGTCGTAGAAATCCCGTCTGCGATTCGCGGTTAGGTACCTAAGGTCTGTAGTTGGGGACGGCCAGTGGCGCGAGGTCAGCGAGGGGGGCAGAGGGGTGCTGCTGTAAGGCACCCACAGACTATCCTATAGCAAGAGAGAGCCGCTATCCACAGGGTGCTGTAGGGTAGGGAGAGGGGTGCTATAGGTACAATAACCCCTCCAAAGCACATACAGACGTCCAATTTATTCCTGTTACCACCCTCTCAGGACACGACAAGTGAGAAAAAAGTCTAGCTATGTTCGCTATACCCTTCTGCAAGCAATGCACTCGTTTTCTGCTCAATGTTAGGTTTTGACTACACATCTATTGCTATCTTAGATACATGTCGTTGGGCCATATTATGTACGAGGATCTGGCCTGGGTACGGAGGATGTCAACCATCGCTACATTTCACTCACGGAACCGGAGCCGGCCGGGATTTCACCGGTCGTTTATTACAGACCCGGGGTCTCTCCTGGTCGAATATCGCATTTACGAGGTAGTCTCCTCGTTCCCGTACTTCTTTAACGCCAGTTCGTTCTTCTCGTAAAACGTCGACATCCGGTACTTGGTCTCGCCACGGTACTGCTCCAAGTCTTGCAGCGCCTGTTTACCCTCGCGCTCTATCGTCTGTCGGATCTCCTTGCTGCGCGGCGTAATATCGCACTCGAATGGCTGAGGGCGCATGTTGAGTCCATTACTGAACGGTCCAGTTAGCATCTTACCCGGCTACAGGCCGAGGGGCATGAGGGTTCACTCACGTGTAATCGAATATGTCGACCTCGACGACGCTACCATCCGCGCGCCTCTTCTTTTGGATATTGAATCCCCATAGCAGACGGGCCACCGTGATCCAGGTACCCTGCTCCGCCAGCGCCTGACCCGAACAAACCCTGCGACCCCATCCGAAGGTCATGTAGCCCCTCTCGCCGGGGAACGGTCGGCTGTCTGGGTGTCCAGAGATGAAACGGTTCGGGTTAAAGCGGTCGGGGTCGGGGAATTCGCGTTCGTTGTGATGGATTGCCCAAACGTTGCCCTGGATCCAGGTTCCCTTGGGGATCAGCCAGCCCTTGTAGTAATCGTCCTGCGTCGGCGCGTGAGGCTGTCCTCCGATGATGGCAACAGAGCGCCACCGCAGCACTTCCTTGACAAACGCCTTGACGTAGGGCAACTTGTCTTCGTCCTCCCAATTCGGGCTCCTGTACGGACCTACTACCCGATCAAGCTCCTCCCATGCCGGCACCACAGCCTCCGGGAACGCGCAGCAAGCCAGGATGAAAGTGATCAACGTGCTGCTGCTGGTGTCGGATCCGGCGCCGAATAGGTTTCCAGTGAGCGCGGAGATCTCGGCCTGTTGTAGGTTGTACTTCGGGCCCTCGGAAAACAAGTGGTTGACGAAAGAATCTTGATGGTCATGCTTCTTAGCTGCCTCGTCGGCGAGGGCGTAAAAGAAGTGGGTGCCGCGCTTTTTCCCCAATCCGGACTTCCAAGGCGCAATCTGATTAGGGAAGCGGGCGAGGATGGGGAAGGTCTCCATCAGCATGGGGAAGGATTTGCCAGGAACGTTCAAGTCGGCAGCCAGATGCATCACGGAGATGACTTCGGTGATGATGGGATCATCCCAACTGGAGACGCGCCGACCGAAGGCGATGATGGAAACGACACTTGTGGCGTACCTCTCGAAGTGCTTGACATAGTCTGCTGGTGCCGAGAGCAGATCGTAAGCGACGAGCCGGCTTTCGTTATTCTGGAACTCTCGGTACCGGCGAACAGACTGGATCCCGACGCCTTGGTGCATGAGCTTGCGGTGGACACGCCAGCGATCACGCTGTTCCGGAGTCATCGTGTACATATTTACCAGGTTGTCCTGACCGGCGCCTAGTTCTGCGAAGACGAGCATCCGCGGCCGCGATGCGTAAATGCCCGCACGCTTCTCAAACAATTCCGACGCAGCCCAAGCATCATTAATCCAGATAGTCGGGTTGCTAGCTCGACAGTCAGCTACTGCTCTCCTGTTCTGAAAGCCCCCTCTCTCTTACCGGCCAATCCATATGGTAATTAGCGGCGCATTGTATTCCTTAGAAAGCTCTTCAAACCAAATCCACGGCTTGGTATTCGGTAGCATAAACGTGTTGCCCACCACCGGCATGGGAAAAGGGCCGGGCGGCTAAACGGATACTGATATTTAGTGCCGAACGTTTCGTGAAGGCCTACACGTCCAAAACCAACACGGCGTGGAAGGTTGGCGGCTTACCAGCTTAGAACGTAGCCATAACATATAGGCATAGTCGATTATTAAGGTGATAAGGCTGATGCCTAAGATGGAGGTAACCAAGTGCCACGCTGAGACCTGGCTGAATATCTCTTTCCCATCACCGGCCCGAAGGCCAGCGAGGAGCTGGTCGAACAACATAGCGATGACGACCAGATACCACGTGTGCGCCTATCTATCTCCTAACGGTTGCGAAGTCGACAAGTACGCCCACTAGGAGGGAGGTGAGAGTATCGAAGACGACGGGTGAGAGTAAGTGGCCACAACTGCCCAGCTCCTTGGGGCTTGATGGCGGGAGAGAAGACTTTATTATCCCTTTCTGCCAGCCGATAGACGAATGTGACCATTATATGCCCCGACGCTCCTATCGGCATTTACCCTCTCATTGAATCATTGGTTGATGCTGATCTGCCGGGGAAGAGCGTGGGGTAGACCGTTGCGATACTCCTCATTGCAGACATCTACTTAAACTACTTTAGGACTCCTCTTATCCACTTCGCTCCACTCCCCCGGATCTCAGCCCCAGGTGATATTCCAGGACGTCGGCACGCGTCAGCGTAACATAGACGGGCCATTTACCAGGTTGGAGGCCATGTTTTCCCGAGGGATCTACCTATGAAGCTGGGGTCCGGTGACTTCATGCACCTACACATCGTCCACAAGTACACATACTCATACATACATACAGAAACTAAGGCCCGCCCGCTTCACTAGATTGACGATCTCAAGATGTAATAGGCAGGGAATAGGATAGCCGGGGCAAAGAGAGGGGGGGCGGTTCTCCACTAGCGACTCCGCCGCCGACCCTTTTCCTGGGTCGGGTACGCACGCCAAGTCGCTATGGGCACTTAATAATGTCTGATTTAATCACGAGAATAGGGACCCCAGAGGAACGAAACTTGGGGTATGAGAATAGTTTGCCTTTTCCGTAGGTGCTATTCGTTCGGGCATATTAATATCATCCACGAGGTATACTCGCTAATCGAGAACTCATCGGTTCCTCGCCTGTAGTCAATATTCGGTTTAGTTTCCCCTGCTTCTTTTTCCTTTTCCCTCTCTCTCTATTCCCTCCATCCCGTTTACAACTATTTGGTCGTCGGGAATCTCCTTCGCTCAACTGGTTTCCCTCTCAGAGAACGATTGAAGATCTGCTCGTACGGAGTCACATCCCTGAGACAAAGCACGGCTTAATACCAGATGCTCCTGATCACAGCCCTGTCGTTAGCATAATGGTTCCAAATCCCTCTGGAATGCCTAGCCAGCTCGTCTACATACACACACGCATGCCAAGTCATCGATCGTAGTGGGTTTACCCCCTGTCCAACAAGGGTAGTCGTCAAGCAACGTGATGCGCTCAAGGCTTGTCGCCTCGTCTCCTGGAGATGATATCCACTAGCGTTCGGGTTGGCAGAGACTCTCCCCTCATAAGGTGAAGGCCGTGCTGTCTGTTTCCGACTAGTCATTTTTTCGGCTGTTGCAAGGCTGGTAGCCGAATTCCTGAGTCTTCAGATTGATGTAACGTTGGTACTTGGATTCCAAATTAATACCCCCTATATCACCTTACTTACCCTCGTTTTTTATGACTTTGATAATTGCAGTGATCTCAAGAGTTGAATTCTTCTTCCTCACATAGTCGTCCTATCTTAGAGTTAGTTGATTTAGTTCCGGTAGTGAGTAGAGAGTGCAGGGACGCCCTCTGCTTACATTACCTATAATGGAGGCTGGTTACACACATGATTCGAAGAGGTCCAGAAGGAAGCGAACCGCCACGAGAGACCTGAAGCTGTGGGCAGCTGCCGAGCATGTGATGACAACTTCTTGACAGAATACGTTGACGGAAAGATATTTGGCGACAGGAAATCTCTGGAGAAGGAGATTTGTCGGATATTATTCGCCGACGGGAACACCCCTGTATAGAATCGTCCCCAGCCAACCATAAAGAGGCGGATAAATACATGTGTCAGCCAGCGTCATTTGGTTGTGCGTGTCTCAGCTCTCATCTATATTCTTAAGGACTGGCAGAAGTAGGTGCCTAGCATGCAAGACAAGTTTGACGTCTCTATCTGCATGATGCGGGGTGCGCCCGTCGTCACTCTGAGCCTCAGGCTTCGCCATCTCGCTTTCGTAGTGTTAACAGGTTTCCGGCTGTATCCGCTAAGGGAAGTTGGGTTGGGACATAATAGATACGACGTCCCAGCGATAAGGAACGATAGGCGAGTCCCCATTATGTAGGCATTACACATATCTAGACGGAGTCCGGAGCCAAGCATCATGAACTAGGTCTACGACTATGGCAGCTGGGGAGCCATGGGGAATACCAAGTCTTCACAATAGCGACTGTTCAAACAGCTCCAGCTCAGCGTCGGGGAGAACGATCAGCCACCAGCCGGCGCTGCGAAACTCATGGCCAAAGAGGATGGCATTCTCCCCCCGGCGCGTAGTTGGAGAGAGAGCGAAGAGAGACGCAGAGTGTTTTGGGATATCTTCTTTGTGGATAGATTTCGTAGCATCGCTACTAGCCGAAACTTCTCGCTCACTAACCCGGACACGAGGATACGTTTGCCTTGCGAGGGCGCTGTGCGGGAGGCGGGACAGCCTCTGGAACCCCCTACCCCCCTATTTCGGCGTTCCCAACAAAGCAATCTCCGCCAACGGTGCCTTTCCTTCGGCAAGGTTAGAGGAAGACGCTTAAGACTCGCTCGGCAGATTTGCTTATTGCGTAGAAGTGACCGAGAGCCTCAGCCTTGCGATGTCGTTCTTCTCACAGCAGGTTAGAGACGGATGGGTTGAGAAAGGACGAAACCGTCCGGGACATCGGGGTTCGCGAACCATATATACTGGCTGTTGCGCGGCCGTCGATCGTAGTCCGCCAGGTCGACTATTGGCTAGCTAGCATCAAAGCCCTCCTCTCATTCGTCGTATATCGAGACGGTATAGCGATGGTAAGCTGAACGTGTATACAATCCGCGATATATGATGCAATCTCCGATGTCGCCAACTCACATACTAAGCCGTGGCGCTGCAGGCGGACCTCACGTATGCGATGTAAGGGTCTCATATTGACCCTTTTCGGGATTCCGAGGCGCATGCTAATAATCTCCGTAACCAGAACTTCTATTACCAGTACGTTGTTAAGAGGGGCCTCGACGCCCCATTCATACCGCAGGCGAAGGCAGCCCATGATGCAGCTGGAGGAGAGCAGCCCTGTCAGTGTAACCCCTCCCCTTGCCCCCCCTTAACCGCCTTCCAAAAGGGAAGGAAGAAACATAAGGGTCTTGATTTACACTCATTTTCTTTTGCGGCTGGTGGCAGACTCTCAACTGATCAACCAATGTGGGGAGATCTCATATGGTCGTATTCGAGGCAAGGGGACTTCCTCGACGACGATGATCGTACCATATCAGGTGGCGGGAAGACCGGCGCGAACGGCACCGGGAATCGTAACCTCCTGATAGTGGCAGTACCAGGGTAGACACTTCGAACCAACGGTTCTAGTTACTCATATAACTACCACCTGCGTTGCTGTAACCCTACACGTGACACGAGTTTCTCCCCTGAAGACCTTGTGTGATATCAGACTAGTACCTACACCAAAAGGCTCAGCCCTCCCCCGCCGTACAGCTGAGACTAGCCGACCACATTAATTAGCTGCGAAAAGAGTGACAATAATGACATGTTTTCTGGGTCACACACAGCAATTGTCGGGACCATGACCCCGGCTTCTAGAAGGGGGAGACCTCCCGCATCTTGCGGATCATAGCGGAGAAGATATCTCGGTCCGTGGTCTTCAGCGCCTGGCCCATCCTCAGGAACCACCCCTGGTTGGAGACGGTGCCGGCCTGGAACCCGCCGCAGTTGTTGTACTTGAGGTAGGTGGCGCCCCACGATGCGTCGGTGTGTGCGCATCGAGCTCCCCGTAGCCTACAATGCTACTCTCGGTCCCGATGTAGGTGCGGTGGCCCCGCTACTTGCTCGTCTCTCGGCCCCCGCTAGCCAACGTAGACCTCCCCGGCGAGCCCCCGGGACCTCCCCCGGCATCCTATGGGCCACGTCCCGGTGGTTTGTGCGTGCTACCAAAGCCCGACTGCATGACTCATTTACAGATCTAGAAACACAACCAAGACGTTTCGTTGTTGACAAATAGGACAGGCTTCGTGGAGGCGTTCAGCACCACTCCTACGTAGAACTTCGCGTTCTTCGCGCCTTCAGAGAGCACCTTCAACAACACAGGGCGGTACTTTGACACATTCGTAAATACACCCAAGGGGAAATGGAGGCTCGGTAATATAGTGTAGCATCACTACATCCCGAACACCTCGTCCTTCTCTGCCAATTTTACCCAATTTCAGACAGGCACATTCCTCTACGTCGGGACGCAAACTGTGGACGGGAACCTCGCGCTCTACCGCGCAGCCTCCATCGTAGAGGCAGATATCTCAGTGACAAATGTAGGTTGCAGCGACTCCTTTTTGGTGACGTGATGCTCTCTCACTTAGGTATGCTGTACTAGCTGCGGACACCGGGGGTTGGCGCATAAAATTGATCGGATTATCGACCCGTCGACGATGGTCTTCGAAGCAGATCTAGAAAAGACCAAGCAGAATTTTATTGCGGGGAGTTGTTCAAACCCCGACCTGCCTTACTGCTTAGGACGCTTGCTCATCCTGGTAGATACCGCCAAGTCCTATTAGCTATTAGTAGGCAGATAGAATGGACGTACGGGGACCATGACTTAGCCTCATCACATACCCAGTTTTTTATGACTTTTGGCACAATTATCGTTGGTGCGAACGTATGGTTTGCCCCAGCACCGAGTATCTAGGTCTCTTGATATTGTTAGTTACATAATATACCTACTTATCTTACAGGAAAATGTGAAATATAGTCCTCTCTCGTTCGCGCGTACGCGGCAAATGGAATCGGAAGGCATTCTCGTCACACTCCGCGAGCCAGAGGGCGACGCAGATCTCTGTTGGCGAGTAGTTTGGTAGATCCCCTCAGAGGATAGCCAAGATGTCCCAAGGCCGGATAAATCCGGGGGTCATCTGGGTAACTCTTGTTCCCCGCGCTCAACCGCCATGGTATAGGTATATCGTACGCACCGGCCCAGTGGATTTAACCGTGTCGCCCACATAACGCCCCATATTCCTGACCCAAAAGAACGACACCTGTCCCGGCTCGGCTTGTCAAGAAGACTGCGCACCTGCACGTCTGTGTATGATAAACGCCCTCGGCTCCAGGGCGTGCGCGCGCGAGATTGGTGGAATATTGCGAGTAATTTCTCTATCCCGGTGCTCGGACCGGACACAACTCGATCTACAAAATGCGCGATGAACGGTTGGTTGGTAGATTAAGCCAGGCATCGGTTCAATACCGTCCGCTCCCCGACATAAAAGCCGAGCGATGGCGGCTCCGTGGGTAGGAAGATGTAGGTATATTTAATGTAGGCAGCTAGCCTCTGCCCTCCCCTTTCCTGCCGCTGAAGCCTCGTTGGGCACCTTGACTCTCGAGAAGCTTAGTTTCTGCGTGCTCGTCATCGGTATTTACGCGACCATGTATCTTCCCATCGGGGTGCTTTCCCTGGCAGCTATGTCGCTGCCGCTAGCGACAGCGCAGCTAAATTCTTATGCGAAGAAGGCCGGTCTGAAGTATTTCGGTGCGGCGACGGATTCCCCTGGACAGAGAGAGCGTGCCGGCCTAGAGACTGCATACCCGGAGTACGACGCCATCCTGAGAGATACGAATGAATTTGGCCAGACCACGCCGACCAACGGTCAGAAGGTATGTCTGATGCGGCATCGAAATCTCTTCTCCCTCAGAGACTTGTCGTGCCGAATTCAATCGCTAACACGCACAACGCATGGTCTAGTGGCTGTTTATCGAACCGGAGCGGGGCGTTTTCAACTTTACAGAGGGTGACATCGTGTCCTCTATAGCCGCCGAGGGCGATCAGTTGCTACGGTGCCACACCCTGGTCTGGCATAACCAACTGGCGTCGTGGGTTGAAGAGACGGAATGGACGCCGGAGGAACTGCGCTCGGTGATTACCGAGCACATCACGAGCGTCGTGGGGCACTACAAGGGCCGGTGCTACGCTTGGGACGTGGTTAATGAGGCGCTCAACGAAGACGGCACGTACCGCGAATCCGTCTTCTACAAGGTCCTCGGCGACGAGTTCATCAAGCTAGCGTTCAGGCTAGCATCCGAGATCGACGACAGCGCTAAGCTGTACTATAACGACTACAACGTGGAGTCGCCGGGCCCCAAGAGCGAGGGAGTCGTCCGAATCGTCAAGCTGCTCCAGGAGGAAGGTATACGGATCGACGGAGTCGGTCTGCAGGCACACTTTGTCGCGAGCAGGGGGCCCACACTCGATCAGCAGATCGCCGTCATGGAGTCGTACGCCGCGCTCGGTGTTGAGGTGGCACTGACGGAACTCGACGTGAGGGTCCAGCTGCCGGCGAACGAGACTAGTTTGGGATGGCAAGCCGAGGTTTATAAGAATGTGAGCATCGCGAACCTCCCTCTCTCTCTCTAAACAGGCAGGCAATTGTCGAAGCTAACGTGGGATTCCTCTCCAGTCGGTCGGAGCGTGTGTGCAGGTTCCGGCGTGTGTGGGTGTGACGCTCTGGGACTTCTACGACCCCTTCAGCTGGGTTCCGTACGTCTTCGAGGGCCAGGGCGCCGCGCTGCTGTGGTTTGACGACTTTAGCAAGCATCCGGCGTACGATGCGGTTATCGAGGCACTGAAGAACGGGACGGAGACACCACCTTCCAACCAGAGCACCATCAGCTGGGAGAGGGCCCGATTGGCGTGACGAGGACGGTGCTGGTGTAGGTGTGTTTTTTTTTTGGCCGGTAGCCAGGCGGTGGTACCTAGGTCGGTCTGGCGATTTCCGGTTCTGTATAGGTATACCCAATGCTTCTAGTCGGCCCGTGGGGTTGTATGGATGTTAGATAGGTACCTCTAGACAGGCTGCTGTGGCTCGAATCACCTCGTTGCTGTCGAACCTTGCCCCTACTTACCTACATAGACAGGGACTTGAAATGTTGCCTACCAGAATACTGCGCTTCTATGAGCCGGCCCTGGCTCCTGAGGTCTTCTTGCCAGCCCGGTCCTGTCGCACCTGTAGCGTCGGCGTTCCGGCCGGCATTACGCTGCATAATTCGCTGTCAGCTGGCGCCATCTCGTCCGGACCTGGTTTCTGGGGACCTGGATGCAAGCGCGACCCATACTTAGGTACATCGCTGCCGGGGGCCGAGAGACTAGGGTGTGCCGAGCGCAGCGGTCTCGACCAGTCTACAGCGGGTACGCACCTATGTATGTGTGTATAGATAGATACCTTAGGTACCTACCTACCTACCTGCCTAGGTTGCACTTCGCAGGTACGCATACGATGTCGTCCCATACCTAACTTAGGTAGGTATCGACCTATGTACCTTCCTAATCTAGGTAGGTATAGGCTGCTTACATACCTCAAGTACCCGCCTATATCTTTCTTGATGCGCTCTGTAAGATCCTACATTCCCTTTTTTTTTTCGTATCTGCTCAATACCCCGGAACGCCCTGAGGTGGCTGACTTGGCGTTATTCGCTGACAGCGAATTCCAGCAAATAAAATTAGACGATCGAGCTCTCCAATCCGCCAATCGAGCAAGAGACAACCTAACGAGCGACGATTCTATCTCCCCCTTAGATCTGGCACACCTTAAATGAAGCACAAGGTGGAAGCGCCACCCGGGCGGGGTTGGCTCCTGGTGCTGCGAGAATTCGGCCAGTTGCGTTTGCCTGGAAGGTACCTAGGTAGGTAGATGTAGGTACTGCGATCGGTAAGTACAGGTGCCCATACAGAAAGGGGTTGGGACTCTCCTCCGCAATAAACATTTGAGCCATCAGGTAATTGTGTAATGATAGTAGCCTTGGACTAATAACCTTGGACTAACAACCTTGGACTCCAAACACAGGTAGGTACCTCCTATGCAACCTTTTTCTCATCCCCGCACGCGACCCAGAATCATTCAACAATTCACACCTCTTCCCTACATCGCTTGCCCACCATGTACCTCCTACGTATGTATCGCAACTCATATCTCTACTCTCACCCGCGACGGGGCGGTCCAATCGGCGAGCCTATAGCCCGTATGCCTGGTTGATCCCCCGCGAGCCGTCGGCTACAGGCCCCCAGGCTCGTTGTGGTGCCGCATTTCCGTTTGTGGGCTGCCTACACGCCTTGCCTCTTTTTTGGGCTATACTCGTATATCTCGCCAAGGCGCCTGGCAAAGGTCCCGTTACCCGGGGTCCCTATATCCTAGGTCTGTTGCTGCCACTGCTGCTGTCGATGGTGCTGATAGTGCTGTCCCCTTCTTGCCGTCCTCGTCTCGCTGCCAGCTTCTAATCTCGCATTCTTTCTTCTTTTTTTATGCTTTCTGCCACCCATGTGGAACCGACTCCGAATCGGCTGTTGTTCTCCCGCGCAGTCATGATCATGGCCTACTTGTTCACCCTTCCGTGAATCGACGCCTCATTTCTTCGCTCTCGAGCCGGGTGCACACGCCGCAACCATACCTCCTCCTCCCGGCCGTATTTTGCTCTTCGCCATGGCGCTCTCGCGCGAGCGACTCGACATCCTAGCTATATGGTAAGCTCGCCTCTCGTAATGAGCCGATGCGGGCCCTCTCCAACCTCCTCGTCGCTGACCGGCACCAGCACCCTAGGCCTAAGCAACGCCTTCGTCTGGTCGAGATACTACACGTACAAAAGCGCCGCCTTCGGTATGGGTTCCTACCAGCTCCTTGCCTGGCCTGGCAACTAGGAGCGCTAGCCCTGGCTAATTCCCCAGTGCAGAGCGCCCTTTCCACTTCGCCATCCTGTCATACTTCTTCGTCGGCCTCACCTTGTCTATCTCAGCTAGATATGTGTTTCGCGCGGAGTCGAGCTACGCGCCACTTGGCAATGGTGATTCCTCGATCTCGACCAAGACGTTTTCCCCCAAGTTTAGCTTCCTCACCAAGATTTTGAGATCGTCGCTACGACTTCGGTCCTTGTCATCCACCTTCGCGCTGCTACTCTTTTGTGTGGTCGCTCGCGTTGTTCTGTATCGGAGGATTATCCGCACCATCCACTGCTCGTGGGACGGCCTTCAGGTCTGTACCTAATAGACACCCCCTCGTGGAAACACGAGTAAAGAAAAGACGGCTGCTAAGCACCCATCGATTCTACAGGCATTTCTCCCCTTCCTGATCGCTGTCTTTGGCGTATTCGAGCTGCGACCTATATTTCTACCGAGGCACGGACATGACGCTCAGGTACGGACCGCGCGCCTCTCATCTCCGTTCGGAAAATATGCCTTTCTCGCCTTACTGTGGGGTTTAGCCGCCACCGATACCCTCCTCCTTTCTAAGCGCACCACCGGCGCCATCTGTCCCACCGGCGAAGACAACGAGCGCACGGTTCCCCTGTCCCAGCTAGTCATGTTATTATTAGACGCTCTTTTCATATCCCAAGTCGCAAAGCTCCGTCAGGCAAACGAGGGCCAACCGAAAGTATGGCACCTTCTGAGTAGCCTTTTTTTAATCTCAGCAACGGTTCTAGCGTTCTTGGCTATCTACTCATCCATCGACAGAGCTAGTTTTCGCTGGAACGTCTTCGTCACGTGGCTCGCCGTCGGTGATCTGATACCCGATAGTATCGCTGTGACACTTGCTGTAGTCTCTGGAATCTATCTCCTTGGCCACTTCCATGCCACTACCGTGAGCCTCCTGTTCGCCTCCGCGAGCACATTTGTTTACATACAATGGAGGGTCGCGGACGGAACCATGATCAAGGTCTGGTCTAATTGGTGGGGGCTCCTGACGGGCATCTGGTTATTTCTAGGCGTTGGCGTCTTGCTCCAGGCTGGGAAAGTTGCCACGACGCGATACCATCCCTTCGGCGAGGGCGTCGTCGTGAGGAACCGGTACGGTCTGTACGCCCTCGTGATCTTCCTCCTAGTTTTCTGCCAGGCGGCCTTCATGAGCCCCGGCGGATTCAGGCCCACTCCCCGGCCTATTATAGCTGGTGCGAAGAGCGAGTCCGACGCGTGGATAGCGCAGGCAGGGAAGAGCAAGAGCCTCAAGGAAGCCGTCTCGGAATATCGAGCGCGCTACGGGATACCACCGCCGCCCAACTTCGACAAGTGGTACGAGTTTGCGACCTCAGTCAAATCCCCCATCATCGACATCTTCGACCAAATCAACTCGGACCTCCTCCCTTTTTGGGGCGTCTCGCCCGCCGTCCTCCGCGAGAGAACGACACACTTGCTTGAGCATCCTGCTTTGTCCATGGGCGGCATCATCGTCGAGGGCGGTAGAATCAGCATTTCCCCGCACATTCACGGCACTCACAGGTGGATGATGGACGCCACCAAGGACATGATGAATCCCTTTGCGAAGTGGCTGCCAGACATGCAGCTCGCCTTCAATCTGGATGACGAGTGCCGCGTATCAGTTCCCCTTGACCGCATGAAGGCTCATAAGCAAGAAGCGATCAAGGCGAGGGCGAGACTAGGCGCGAAGGAGAAGCTGGCCTGGTTCGGCGGCGCGCAGGAACCGCCGTGGGCTACACAGTATCTCGGCGCAGACGACAGTATCTGGAATAACCAGTCCCCTTGGTTCTCGCAAAGGTCGAAGCGTCAGATATTCCACGAGTGGATCTCACCGACCTGCCCCGCCGACTCCCCCGCGAACAAGTATCGCTGGCGGAACAGGAAAGCGGAGTGCCTCAGCTGCTCCCCTCCGCACATGACGAACGGCTTCGTCTCCAACTGGACGCTTTCCGGCGACTTGTGTCATCAGCCCGATCTTGCCTACCTACACGGCGCCTTGGTATCGCCGACGGCCATGGCCCCGACGTACGCCCTATTCCCCGTATTCAGTCAAAGTCGGTTGCATAATTTCGCCGATATCATGTATCCGAGCCCGTGGAACTTTGGCGACAAGGTGACCATCGACGATGGCAAGCGCATACCCTGGGATCAGAAGCTCAACAGCGTGTACTGGCGCGGCGCCTCCTCAGACGGGTTCGCTACGCATGGCGCCTGGCAGATGTTCCTTCGGGCCAGGTTCGTGCACAAGGCCGCCGAAGCCAAGATTTCAATCATAGCAAAATCTCTATTCAGCATGGCCTTGCCCGGCAGGTACCGTTCTTCCCCCTTCCGCTCCACCAACGCCGCGACGTCGCCGCCTACGCCTCAGAACCCTCCCCACATGGAGGGCGCTATCACGGTCAATGTATCCTTCGTCGGCAAATTTCAGCGCTGCGACAAGCGCGACTGCACGGCCGAGCACACAACCTTCTATGGCTCGCCCACGGCTGAGCCTCCGCCTTCCCAGGACTTTCAGGAGCACTGGCGCCACCGCCACCTGGTCGATCTCGACGGCGCCGCCTTCAGCGGCCGGTTCCTGCCGTTCCTCAAGTCGGGATCCCTGCCGTATCGCGCCGCGCTTTTCCGGACCTGGTGGGAGGAGCGCGTCCACGCGTGGCGGCACTTCGTGCCGCTAGACATCCGGCTCGGCGACCTGTGGGATGCCGTGAGTTTCCTGGGCGGGCCCGGCGAGGCGGAGGCGGCCGAGATGGCGAACGCGGGACGGGAGTGGGCTCTCCGGTCCCTCCGAAAAGAGGATATGCAGGTGTATATGTTTAGGCTCCTCCTCGAGTGGGGTCGTATCGTCGACGACCGGAGGGAAGACCTGGGGTTCTCGCTTTGAGATAATGCGGGGGAGGAGAGGGGGAGTCTCGCGGGGGGCCACCATCGGAATTAGGAGTAGTCGGTTTTGTACAATGTGGGCAATTTCACACTATGATACCCTCCCCTTCACTCAAGGGATGATGAGATACACGATATACCATACCACACACGAAGGATATATGTACGCGGGAACTCGGGGAGAATCAGGTTAGCGAATGAATTGGCTTTGTGGCATTGGTACCTATCCCTTCTCATCTTATCTCGCCATGCCTACTCGGGAGGAGGAATGGTCGTCGGTTCATGTATAATATAGGTCGGTGCGGCGGATATAATAATGCTAATGAGGCGTTAACTCGGAAAATTACTTATCGTTGATTAATTCTATATTTATACCCATATGTACTGGTATGTATGTAAGATTTCTCTACATGAGTAAACACCTCGGCGCGCGCTGAGGGAGGCGAGGCTCGTCGTATCGCTTAGCGACCAGACTAGGACGTGCCACGCCAACTTCTTCCCCTCCGGTCCGTCCGACTCGGTAACCCGTGATCGGTAGTGATGGAAGTAGTTACGAGGGCACTAAACAACATCGCCAGTGAATTAATTAGGTACACGCACGCAGGGCAGAAGATGCGTCAAATTAGGTAGCTAATTGCTAGCCTAGGTTGTTGCGCGCCCGATCCGCGGATCAGAGCGGCATATGGGTTTCCAAGAAGTGAAGACAACAAAAAAAGGGTAGGGAAGGGGGGGGGGGATTGGGGTTGTTGAAGAGAGAAATGAGTAGGTAGGTTAGTAGGTAGGTAATGTGTTAGGTGGTTGGTACAGCAGGGTAGTTTAGTAGGTGAATAGGTAGGTAACAATCAACTCCCACCTCCAACCCGTCCGTCCCATTTATACCCCTTTCCAAGGTCTATATAATCTTTTTCCCGCATCGTGAACGATTCATTTCCACTGGACTCCTCCTTCTCCTCTCCCTCTTTTTCTTCCTTCCTTCCTCCACGAGGCAGTCCGCGCCAGGCCAAGCGGCCTTGGCTGTAAACATCCCCCTCTATGCTCCGGAACTTGCCCTTCCTCTTCCTCCCACTAAAGAGATCGCGCGTTTGTCGACTGGCCCAGCATGGCCCGAAATATTATAGCAGATGACAATGCTATATCATGCATTACAATAATACACTATTTTAGCTTATTAGAGAATTAATGCTTGCGATCGGCCTAGAACTCAGTTGTTCAGTTTCCTTAGGCTGCTCCTGTGCTGGAAAGAGAATTCAAAGATTTTCGGGAGCTGCGGACCCGCGCCATCCACGAGTCGACTTTCTCCTGTTCGTCTGCCTTGCTTCTTCCGCTTAGCACGTCCCGTACTTCCTTTATCGTGTTGGCACCGAGAAGTTTCATCTCGGTATCCAGCAGCAGAGCAACGCCAGCACGGATGAAGACGGCATCGCCTTCAAAAACATATACATCCCATAGCCTGGTGCATTCGTCAAGACTTAAATGCTGCGTAAAGCAGGACGTGAAAATATCCCGAAGGTACTCGTCCGGGTGTAAGCCGAGTTCTGGATTGTTTAGGTGTTGGTGGAGTCGCGGAGACTTTACAGCCAGAGTCTCGAGAACCAAGGCGTACACGGATGCCTTAGCCCCAGGGTCGGCGACATAAAAGGAGAGCGGGAGGGAACGGTTCAGGATATTTGCCAGGGCGATGAAGGCCGCAGCTGGCGTGGCGAGGTTAAGCAACAAGATCGCCGCGATCGTCTATTCAGACAAGTTAGCAACGCAAGCGGCCTAAATATGGAGGACAGTTCATAAAACTCACATTGCAGCCGCTCACGTAGCCAATGTCACTCCGGTACATGGTGTATGCACGAAGGACATCGATCAGGCTCCCGTGTAACGGAGCGCCGACTTGAAAGATCCTGAGATCGGCCCAGGTTCTCTCGGCGTCTGCCTTTATTTGTGCAAACCAGGCCATCTTGCGTTCGTCTTCCGCATTGGGCTTCCCAGCCACGCAGCGCCCCTCGACCTCGCGGGACCTCGTCAGGGCCGCCTGAAACGACGCCTCCGTCAGCCCCAGCCCGTTGCCGATGGCTCGGGACCAAACAGCAGCTCGGCTACGAGGAGCTACACCCTTCCACCATAGCTCCCGAGTCCGCTGTTCATTCACAGCGACATCCCACCTCTTCAAGATCTCGTCCTCCCAGATCTGCACGATAGCCTTGGCGGCAATATCCTTGTTCCGCTCCTTCTCCCTCCGACTAGCCTCCCGTTTCTTGTCTGCTTCGATGCTTTTGGCTATCATCCTTTGATATTCTCTCAGATGTCTCTTCTCCTCTGCGGGGTCCTTCGGTGGCAGCCAAGACGGCCTTGTCCGCGAGAGTACAGCCTCCTTCTCCTTGGAAACAGGTAATGGGTCGATCATGACGTTGGTTCGCCGTAGAGGCGGCAGTTCAGCCAGGGCCGATTTCACCCGCGGCTTGGGTGCTGGGCGACCATATGTCGAGTAATACAAGCCGTGCTTCTCCAGCTCATCTGCATGCTCCTCCAGCTTCTCGGTGAGAGCCTTTGCTTCAGGGCTGAGTTCCAAAATAGCTGCAGTCCAGCTCTTGGCACGGCCTTTGATGGGGGAAGGCAGCGCTGACTGAAGCGAGTCTGCAGTAGATGACGGTGACAATGGTGATGAATCCATCTTCCACGTTGGTGACTTGAGGCTACCCTGATCGACCGCCACCGGCGGCGTCCCATTCCCAACGCTGCGGACTCGTTCCTTTGGCCGTCTCTCGGGCGAAGCAGAAGCCGAACCTGGTCGGCTAGCCGATCTCTCCATCGGAGGTCGGGGTGATAATGGGACATTATCAAGGATGAGACCATCAGGAATGTCGTCGTCGTCGTCGTCGTCACACTCCTTCTCCAGATCGATTGCCGATTTCACTTCGCGACTCCACTGCCAGCTACGCCGCTGCGGCCTTGGTGCCAATCCGACGGCATCTCGAGGGCTCAGCGACCGAGCCGAGACATTGGGGCTCGGGCTTCGACGCCGGCGTCCCGCATTTGACGACGAAGCAGATCGTACCGAGAGCCCGTGTATGGGTAACCGGTTAGATTGAGGTTCTGCTCCTATGCCCGTACTCAGGCTACGCGTGCTCGTGTCTTTAAACTGTGCAGTTAGGGTAGGGGGCCCAGGGCGAGACCCGGGGAGAGGGATCGGACGCTGTGGCCGCGCACGGGCTATCTCGCGGGCCTGTGGATGAATCTTGGGGCCAACGTGCTTCGCGGACGCGGCGCGAATATCGGAGGCGAAGCTGGCACTATAGGGGTTTGGAGGCGACTTGGCCTGAGTTTCGCGGAAGTGGGAGGCATCAATCGAATCGTCGTCTAGACCGATTTCTTCGAAGTTGGCCACGTTTGCCGCGATACCGTCGTCGGCCTCGTCGGAATTGAAGGAGCGTACAGATGACGCTCTTGAGGTGATAGTCGATGAAGTCATAGCGGGTGGCGAGCCAGGACTCGGAATTGAGAGCTCAACCCCGTCGAAATGTTCTCCGGCGTAGGTCATGGTCGCATGGTCGGGCATCGAGTAGCTAGCTGATGATAGTTCTTCCCTAGGGCTAAGGGCGGGAGTTTGGTTCCCGTGGTAGAGCGTAATATACGGCGCTATCGTATTCGAAGTTATTTTTCGTCAATGTTATGAAGGTTGATAGTTGTTTGGATCGGCTCGTCTTCTACCGGCTGCAGATAGTCGGATATCTACTCATATGATATTTCAGGTTCAGAGCTCTCTCCCGCCAAATTCGGGCGAAGGAATGAGGGGAGGCCCGCAAGGTATACAGGAATAGCAACGGCGAGACGGCGATGTTTTAAGTGAATAGCACGCCTAGGCAAACCACGATAATGGAAGTTGTTTCGGGAGGTGCCCTGTTGAAGCGGAGTAGGATCGCAGGAGATAGCCCCTGATCTGCGATAGCGTGGTCGCAAGCGAGACGAGGCCTGTATATTGTCTCACGATCCCGATTAGGATATACCCCTGGATACCGGCGGGCGGGGGATTGGGATTGTGAGTGTCGATTAAGATTGACTGATTACTAGCAACACTCGACTCGGCGGCTCAAGATATTTTGCACAAGTCCGGTCTAGTGTAGGAAACGAGTCGAAACAGAGATGATTATGAACAGTTTTAGCGGTATGTCGTCTTGGATCGTCGACGTTGACGAGGTCTGGCGATGTCGTTCTGAGCGTAGGTCGTAGGTAGCGAGCGCGAGCGAGGGAAGGATGATTGGCGAACAATGGTCGCAATGCAGCATTCCAGTCCGGTCGATCTCCGGGAGCTGGCGGGAGAGACAATTTACAAATTCAGCAGCAAAGTCTAAACAGCCGCAACCCCCAACGGACAAAGCAATCTGGTGGTGTGGAATGCAAAGTATCGTGTCGGCTAGGGCGATACGGCAGCGGCAGCGGTAGTAGCGTGGTACTGATGCCGGCACTGAGACGAGATACGATTCCTTTCGAGTAGTCAATATTATGCTGGCTTGCCGGGGGTTGCCAGGATTCCGCAGAGAGAGCGCGACGTGGATGTAAACGAAGGACGAATTTTGACGAAGAACGAGCGAAGAATATAGTCTTGTTAAAGGAGAGGACGAATATCGAGGTTGTCTTGGATATTCAATCAGGAATCAATGAGGAGGAGATGGCATCCTGTAGAGAACGAGCGGACCCCTTTTGGACGGAGGAGAAAAGGTAGGTAGGGAGAAGGTTGAGGAAAGGCGTGGGAGAGAGAGGGTGAGGGCGAGGTAAAGCCAGCTGAGAGGAGATGAGATGGGCGGCCGGTGACGGGGTGAGGGTTGGGAAAAGGTGATGCTGGCGACGGAAAGGGAGGGCCAAAAAGAGGTACTTTGGATACATAACACTACTGCGCATATAAGTACCTAACATACGTAAATCTTCGTGAGGATACCTACCTGCCCAGATATGTAGGTACTTACCTGGGTATATTGAGTACCTCCTACGGACATACTGCAGATAGTTACATCAAGCCACCTAGGTACCTCCCGCTTGCAAGGTGTGTACCTCTGCAGGTAGCTGCAGATAACCATCCAAGGTACCTACCTACATACCTACCTAGGTAGGTAGGTACCTCTAGAAGGTAGGTAATCTTCATAAGCTGCACCTGCTCAGATCATTGGCGCCGTCAATAGGTCCATCTGATTTAGTCCGGGTGGTCTAATGACGCGTACCCCATGGAAGCAAGGAGGTACCGAGTACGCGGGAATCCGAGGGAATGATCGGGAAAAGGGGGGGATGGTACATGAAAGGCCCGCATTGAGTACAAGAGGGCAGACCGACTCGTCCTAGCAGGGGGTGTTTCAAGAATCAGGGGACTTTCCCTCTCACCCCCGTGGCCATGTTGCGTACACGTATAATCAGGAGGTACTTAGCGCCGACGTACCCTCCACGACGGGCTGACTGCTGGGCGATTGGCAGCTTCTCTGGAGAAACAAGAATACGCAGGCGCGAAACGAAGGATCGCTGCAAATCAGGAATCATCTGGCCGACCAGAGCCAAATACGGAGCAGCTTTCAGAATTCAGAATAGCACTGGCGGCCTACCTAGGAGGGGGAGGGCGTACATATACGCACCTAAGTACTGCCAGATAATGCAACGGTCCACAAATCAAGTTCCCAGCACCTTGTTTTTGCTCAACTTCCCCCACCTACCTTAAGTACCTCTACCTTGCGCCGATACCATAATGTATGCAGTTCTTGCCGACCCTACGCATCTTTGCGTCTCCTGATTCGACGCGGTTTGGGCTCCCAAGCCGGAGCCATCGGTCATTTCCACATCCAGGTCCCCACAGGGCGCCCCGCCATACATCTGTACGTACATGTACATACACATATTTACGTAGAGACCTACCTATCTCTCTGCCTGTACCTGTAATATTAGACGTGGGTACATGGAGATGCGTCTATTATGCGATACTCATATAGCACTTATCTGTGTGCGTAGATGGGTAAAGATGGAGCACCAGTCTAGATGAGATACTTACGCAGGAGGTACCTATACAGCAGCGTTCCGCATTGCCTCAACCGGAGTAGGTGTGCATCTAATCCATTACATATAGATAAGTACCTCTAATTCGGGTACCTACCCTATGTTGGAAGGAAACGATATCCTCTGCTACGGAGCAATGCCGGCCTGGACATGCCACAACACAGACATGAATGATTATGCACCTTGAATTGTGAACTGATGAACCGAGGCAGCTGTCGAACTCCCTTTTCTGCTGTTGCAGGGGTGCATTCCCGACCGTGCAATTCCGTCCCCTCGTTCATCCTTCCTAAAGATGCCTATTCTAGGTTCTCGAGACAATATAAACAGAAAGCGACCTACTAGGTAGGTATATTGTCCCGTTCGCGTAGTTCAAAAAGGTAGGTGCTGAGATGGGAGGTAAGACCTTTTACGAGCACAAGTCCTTAAAAGTCAGCTCAGCCACAAGTTGACCATTTTACCCGCCCGTTTCAGTGCCGGCAGCCCATCACATCCCTCGTGAGAAATAATCGTCAGCTACGTGCATTCAGGTAAGGTCAGTACCTAGCCAGGCGGCCAGGTAGGATGGAAGACAGGAGGCAGTCTAGATTCTCACCTGTGACCTTCCTCCCCGGAACGGATACGGCAGGGGCTAGAAACAGCAGGTGAACTCGCCTACATTTGTTTCGTTTCTATACTTTGTTTCGTTTACTCGCTCGAGGCGTTTCAACTCATGCATGCACTCCGCATCTCCGTCTTCATTTACAACCTCCTTCTCCCAACTCTCCCTCGTGGCTAAGATGGGGCTGCGGCATCCCACAGTCTTCCCACCTGCTACACACCTCGACAGCGCGTCCGAAAACGAATGCCACGTCGCTAGCTGCGCGGTAGAATCGGACAGAGAAGCCCACGCCGAGAACACCCCGATCGGGCCAGCACGGTGCCTAGGAAGGCATATGATATGCATTTACATACTATTATAGGCCAAACTCGAAGGGACATGTTAGCAGGAACACACCTGGTTCTCTCCCGGTCCTCTTAATTAGGCACGTGTCGATTGGCCACAATCGTCATGGTTAATGCCACCTAGCAGCAAATCTCATAAGTGCCCTCGCATAGAATGCCGTTTATTTGTTAGGTATCCCCGGCCAACCCACACCGCGGTGCGGACAGAGAAGAATATCAAGGAATGATCTCCTCGCTCTCCTCGAGCACCTCCTCGACAATCTCTTCGATGACTTGCTCCTCGCCATCGTCTGCCGCCTTGCCGTCCGCCTCGGCCGGGTGCTTTGGCAAACCTCGGTCGAACCTCTCGTCCTCGAGCTCAGCTTCGACAGACGCACGCCACGCCAGCCACTCGTCGAGCAGGCCTCTCCTGGCCTCGACAACCGCCAAATCGGCCGACGCTCCGCGTTCCGCGTCCTCCTGCTCGAACGTCTTCGAGTACTCCCTTAGATTCTTGCGGATTTGCTTTTGCTCGTCCTTCGTAAGGAGTGTGGGGGGGCGTGGTCGCCATAACCATTGGCGAAACTTTTCAACGTGTTCCTCCCGTAGCAGTTCACCCTTGAAATCGTACACGTGGTACCCATTCTCCATCTATCGCCAGACATTAGCACTAGAAACGGACGTGTATGAAGCGGTTCCAAAACGTGAAACATACCGCGTGCTTCCAGACGGACGCCCACGAGGCGACAAAACGCCCTGACGGATCCCACTGGATGTCTGTGACGCCGTAGTGGTCAGCCGCATTCATGAGCTGCAAGTTAGCCGTGAGGTCCTTATCGCTCTCGGGCTTCTCGCCTTCGAAATCGAGGTCGTAGAACTCGAGTTCCGAACTCTGCTGGTTGGCAACTGTGGCAATGACAACAAAGCGGCCCTTGGGGGACCAGTAGATGGCGTTGCTGTTCTTTTTATCGAGGGTCCGCAAATGCTTGAAATTGCCTACGGCTGATCCCTTGGCCTTCTCGGGGCAGAAGAAGGCAACCGAGGTTTTGGGTGCGACAGCTGTGGGGCCGGTCGGCTCCGGAGTGGTGATGATAACGAAACGATCCCCCTTCGGCTCCCAGGCGAAGTTGATGACAGTGTCTTTGATCGTGTCTACAACTTCAACCGGGACGCCCTTTTCCTTTACACGGAAGATCTCGAGGGTGGTGGCCTGCGACTTTTTCGACTTGGAATGCCGATCGACCTTCACGGAAAGGTACGTGGCATCTGATTGCCAGTGAAGTTTAGCGTCCGAAACGCTGAACAAGTTCAACGATCGGACAATCTGCTTCGAGGGTATGCTCATCAAGCCAACTTTCGCGGGATTGCTCCCAATCTCCGGCGTCCAGAAGCAGAAAAGCTGTTCGTACTGTTTGACGCCGTCTCTTTGAGGCGTCGAAGGCGCCCACTCGAAGTCCATGACGCCGTCGATCTTAATCGTCGTCCTGTCCAGCAGGCCCATGCGAGGCAGCTCGTAGACCGATATGGAGGAGCCCTGGGTCAACCGCGCTACGTACCTGTCATCCGCAGACCACTTGAACGCCGGCCAGGGAAACTTTGGTGGTTGTTTGGCTGGTATCGCGTGGGAGTCGTTGGCACTCGGAAGATCAAGGTTCGCAAATGATCGCAACGGCTTGGCAGTTTCGACGTCCCAGATAACATAGTTCTTCCCGTCCTCGTCCAGGGAGAGCTGGGGATGTCCTTCATCGGGTATGGAGATGGGCCGGTTCGACCAGGTAACGATATACTTCTCGTTCGGGGAAAAGTCGAGCATATTGACAAACGGATGCGCGAACCGCTTCTGTCGAGACCAGGAAGCACCACCCCACAACTGGACACCCTGCTGGTGAACGGATACTAGAAAAGTGCCCAGGGGCGACCACTGGACGAAGCTCTCGGTCCAGTGCTGTCGGTCGACGATATTCTCGGGGGTATCCTTTTCGTTATTCCAGAATACGCCGACGACGTCACCCCGATACATAGCAAACTGATCACGACCGCGGCCACTCGGGTCGGCTAAGAAGGAGCGCAAGTGCTCCTTTGGGGTAAATTCCTCGATCTTAGGTGGCACGTAGTTATCGTCTACACGACCTTCCCGCCCGTATCGGTCGATGTCGCTCATCTTGTTGACCCTCAGCGTGTGTCTCTTGTCCAAGGGCACCATATCAAGCTGCCTCACAGCGGCGGCGGCTTCGGCTGGCGAGGAATATTCCACAAAGGCGAACCTGCACCCAGGTCAGTTTTTGGGGGGGATATCCCAGCACGGTGTTGTCAACAGACCCAGCTTCCTACCTCAGCGACGAGCCATTCTCCATGGGCATGTAGACTTGGTCTTCTTTCGTCTTCCCAACCTGATTTAGCTTTTTGAGCAAGAATTTCACCAGCCTGGGCTTCTGCTCTTCGGTGACTTCGGGCAGACCGTCGATGACGACGAAGGCGTCGTATCCTTGCTCGAGCTGGACCTCATACTTCTCGCGCAGGTCGGAGAAGTCAATCTCATCTTCATCGTAGTCATCCTCGTCGACGTCTGCATCACGCAGATGATCGAAAGAGGGCGCCATGTTGGGAGGGCGTATAGTCAGAGGGTTCTAGCGGTGCGTAGATCAAGGTAGATACGTTCGTAGAGGGACGAGGGGGAGGGGGAGAGAAGCCGGGTAGAGGAAAGTTGCCCCGCCTTCAACCGCCTTCAGTTTCTCTCTTTTTTTTTCTGGAAAAAAACGGTAACGCTAGTAAGGACGACGCGAGATAGCAGGCTTCGAGGTTCGGGCTGCAGCGACCGATAGAAATGGTAGAGGAAGGAGAGTGTGATTATATTTGCAGCCTTTCGTTTTCGTGGTTGCGACGTCGTAGCCGGGAAGACGGTGGCCAATACAGGCTCGAATAGGAGTATACGGGCCGTGATTTGAAGAGGAAAAGGCGAGATTATTTTTTGTAGGTGGGGGGGGTTTTTTTTTTGGACGCCCACAAGGCCAAAAAAGCCCCAATTGTGCCTGTCGATTGTGTGTGTACGTCCTCGCCAGCCCGCTGCCAAGGGCTTCCAGCTGCTTGACTGGTTAGCCACGAAGTGGCTCCCGTCCTTGAAACCCCCACCTTCCAGTCCTGCTTGAGCCGCGCCACCCTCCACCCACGTCGGAGACCGGCAGCGCTTTTCTCCGTTTTGTGTTGTCATCCCGTGCCCCGCGATGAAAAAATGGAAGTTCAGTGGGGTAGGGCGGATGGACGTAGCTCAGGCGGTAGGCGGGTGCGTCTGCTGATAGAGCTCTTCCCAGCCAGGGTCCACCTACCACTTACCGTGTCGCATACCTAGGTAAACTGACGGGTGTGCTCGAAATTCAGAGCTTCGCAACAGAGGCCAGCCCAACAACATAGCTCGATCCTCGAACACAAATCGTGTTAAATATACCTCTACAGTAGCCAGAATGGTGCGCCTACGCCCCCTCCCCCCTCCCTTCCGTGATCTCGTGGGCATGTCCAGCTCTGGCTGGGCTGGGTAACTAACGCCTCGTCCAGTCGTCCTTCAGTCCTACCCAGATCTTCGAGGAGGGCACCACCGAAGAGAAAGGGGAGAATGCCCGCCTCGCCGCCTTCGTTGGTGCCATCGCCGTCGGGGATTTGGTCAAGAGCACGCTCGGTCCCAAGGGGATGGACAAGATATTACAGTCTGCGTGCGTATCCCCCCGTCTTTCCCACCGTACAGGCTTAGCAGACATATATATATCGTTTCGTATGCCTATCGTGGCGTTTTCCTAGCTAACGCTCTGTCAAGCTCCACCTCCGAGATCATGGTCACAAACGACGGCGCTACCATCCTAAAATCGATCGCTCTTGACAACGCGGCAGCCAAAGTACTCGTGAACATTTCCAAGGTGCAGGACGACGAAGTGGGAGACGGCACCACATCCGTGGCCGTATTGGCAGCCGAACTATTGCGGGAAGCCGAGAAGCTCGTCGATAAGAAGATCCATCCCCAGACCATCATCGAGGGCTACCGAATAGCAAGTCAAGCTGCCCTGCACGCTTTGGAGGGCTCCGCCGTCGACCACAGCAAAAACCCAGAGGCTTTCAAGAAGGACCTGCTCGCCATCGGGCGCACAACCCTGAGCTCGAAGGTGCTAGCCCAGGACAGAGACCTATTCGCCAAGCTGGCTGTCGAGGCTGTGTTGCGACTTAAAGGGTCCTCGGATCTCAGCCACATCCAGATTATCAAGAAGGCCGGCGGGAAGCTGAGCGACTCGTACCTCGACGAAGGGTTCATTCTCGATAAAAGGATCGGGGTAAACCAACCCAAACGACTCGAGAAGGCCAAGATCCTGGTCGCAAACACTTCGATGGATACGGACAAAGTTAAGATATTTGGTGCTCGCATGAAGGTCGGCTCGACTGGAAAGCTAGCCGAGCTGGAGAAGGCCGAAAAGGACAAGATGAAGGCCAAGGTGGACAGGATCAAGGCACACGGGATCAACTGCTTCATCAACCGACAGCTAATCTATAACTGGCCTGAGCAGCTCTTCACTGACGCTGGCATCATGTCCATCGAACATGCCGACTTTGACGGCATCGAACGCCTAGCCCTAGTTACGGGAGGCGAGATCACGTCCACGTTCGACCACCCGGAACAAGTAAAGCTGGGCCACTGCGACTTGATCGAGGAGGTCATTATTGGTGAGGATACACTCATAAAGTTCTCTGGAGTGGCCGCAGGCCAGGCCTGTACCATCGTCCTTCGGGGTGCTACCGAGCAGCTATTAGACGAGGCGGAGCGTTCTCTGCATGACGCTCTAGCTGTTCTTTCGCAGACCGTCAAGGAGCCGAGGACAACTCTCGGCGGCGGATGTGCTGAGATGCTTATGGCCAAGGCGGTAGAAGGCGCAGCAACTCGTGTAGAGGGCAAGAAGCAGATAGCCGTATCGGCATTTGCGATAGCTCTACGACAGCTACCTACAATTCTTGCCGATAATGCAGGGTTAGACTCAAGCGACCTGGTTGCAAGACTACGAAAGGCAATTTACGACGGCATGTCGACCTACGGACTGGATTTAATGACCCCTGGAGGGGGGATAGCCGACATGAGAGACCTAGGAGTTGTTGAGAGCTACAAGCTCAAGAAGGCTGTCGTCTCGTCAGCGAGCGAAGCCGCAGAGGTAAGACACCTTTCCTTGTGCAAACGTCCAAGTCGAATACTGACATAATTAGTTACTTCTGAGAGTAGATGATATAATCCGTGCGGCGCCCCGGAGAAGAGAGAGACATTAGTTGAAGGACAATGTTGAAAAGCGGATATATAACCATGATAGACCAGGCCGCAGACTGGGTAAATACCAATCCTGATGAGGAGGTTGGGAATAACAATCTGGTCTGGGTGTTTGACAATTCAAAATACGGTACCGTTTAATGACAAGAACTGCAAAGCCTCCGGCAGTATAGATGGCGAAACCTAGTCTTAACACGTGAACACACGAGTGCTCGGCGATCATTCCCACGGCGTTTCTGTAGAATGAGGCAAGAGGCACCTAGGAGTATTGAAAGAAAAAAAAAAGAATCACGAGAGCTTCTCTATACTGTTCACATTTGATATGAATCGCGGTATTCCTATAATGTCGATCAACGTCTGATTATGGAGAGTATTATACACCTGCCTAACCCTCCACTGCATATGACCCCGGTGCGCGTTAGAGCGAATGTACAACTACTCTGTTACTATGAATAACATGACAACACACAGCGGATGATGTACAACGTTCCATCGTATATATATTTCTATTTTGTGCCACCTTAGAGGCAGTCGGTTAGGGGGGCTAAATAGGGGTTTCGTGTATCACGGAACGCAAGGTGGCTTCTGCTTGTTACCGGGTCGGAGCTGGCGAGAATGCAGAGGCGAGGCTTCATTTCCGCTTAGCATGCTACTAAGCCCGGATCTGCCCGTTGCATTTCTGAACATCTAGAGGTGAGGATCGAAGTTCAGCGGACACATGTTAGGTAAATGACCTGGCTCAAACGTGTCGAACCTTGACGACCTACGTACATTCCGACCTTGTTATAAACCAAGGCAGGTTTCCATTATTTTACGTTGAGTTTCGAAGGCGAATCTGGGACTTTTTGGTGGCACCGAGAACGGAACATATCTGACAATTTGGTTGTCGGAAGTCGAAAGAGACATGCACCATAGCCTTGATAACACACCATATCCTACGACGTTCCATCCCAAGCATAGTACAATGGCATCGTTACTTGATACTGAAGCCCAGCGCTGTCTATCTTTGCAGTCATATTTTTGAATAGTACCTATGTGAAAGGAGGACTTCTACGGGCCTTCCAAACTCACCTTACACCATGGCATGCTATGAGCCTATCAGGTATTATATCTAAGTAACTGACAATCGCATATATGCAAGAAATGGGCGAGGATTCAGGCGCCTTGGCATTGGCATCGAATACATACCTTTATCGTCTGGATTACCTACTCATATAGGCTCTGGAAATGCTCCGGTCCGCACCGGCTTCTTCACTCGTGGGTTTCATGCTAGGAGTGCAACTTTGTCGATTTTTAGACATTATCGCAAGCAAGCTAAAGGCGCAACGACACCATATATCTTGATCGATGAATGAGTGCGTATCTGGCGGTATTGCGACATGGTTGTTAACGCGGGTAAAAATTACCAGCTGTTAATGGGAAGCTCAACCGAAGTCTATATACGTAGTGAGTCGTAAGGACGGGCGAGAATTTCCCCGAGGAGTTGGGTCACTGATCTTCGTGGCACACCCCTGTAGAAGACGATAAAAAGGAGATTTCGCAATCCGGAGAGGCTGCAGCCATGGCCGGATGACCGACCAAGAAGACGCAGCGAACAACGGCACAAGAGAAGAAACGAATGGAGAGCCGCTAAAATGGAGAGTTCCGATGCAAGACTAGGGGATTCATCAAGCTGCAAGCCGTTCACACTCGGGCGAGTTTGGGGGGGGGTGGCGTAAGAAGCAACAGTCTTCACTAAATCTACCTAACAACGGCCGCTCGACAAGAAGGCAAAACCCCCTTACTACTCCCTCCCTAAAGTATACGGGCCAACGGGCCGAGGTACTGGTCAAAGCGGGTCGCTAGTGATGCTACCTACAGATTCAAAAGGCCAGCCTTTCTTCGGCGTCCTATAGGAGGGGGATGTCTTCCCACATGGAAAAGGGGATTAGGCGGTGATGGATTATGCTTAACAACAAGACGGGAAGGTTGCTCAGGTCCCCGATCTCAAATCCCCGCGGCCAAGCGTGTGTGTGTGAGGACCAACTGGGTGTGGAGACGTAGGCAAAGCCGGTCTAAGGAGCCGACTCCATCTCGTCACCTACCCTACCCCATAACCTGGCCGTACGCCGTCCGCCTCGGCGCTGACCGAGGCTACGGTGCGCAGTCACACGGAGGCACTACTTATAAGTGGCGGGGCTGGCGGATCGGGATAAGGGGGGCAAGAGAAGAAGACTTTAAGGCTCTTCACGAAGACAATACATATAGTTCATCTACGCGTAGGTATTATATATGTATAGATACCCGAGACTGTAACTACCTAAGCTTGGTAGCAACCAACAGCGACAGGACGCATCAAGTATGTCTTATGTACATATGTATGCACATAGTGTGGTGCACAACATGACTGACACCACCTTTCCTGCGCTGGAGGGGGATACGTGATGTGGCTGGCGGATCGGCGCCGCACGTGGATTGGGGATTGTGAGCCGGGTTGGCACGAGTTTCTCGAGGCTGCCGACTGGCGGCGGTAGTGGTGTGGTGGTGGGTTGGGCGAAAAAAAGAAGAAAAGAAAATGAAACAAGGGAAAAAAAAGAAGAGGACCCAAAAAAAAGAGGGCCTGCAGGGATCGGCTTCTCTCAACAATTGATCTGTACGGGAGGACCAGATCCTTGAAGATCCCCAACAAGAAAAAAAAAAGTCGCTACGTACTGCACAGACCAGGGATACAAGAAAGCGGAGAGCCTCCTCCCCTCCTCAACCCCATTTCCGGAGCTGGGGTTCAGTTGCTGGATTGGGGAAACTAAAGTCGCTTCTTCTAACCTCCTCCCCTTTTTTTATTAATATTATTCTCCCACCTTGGTCGGACCCTTGCCGTTACATACCTCCTACTTACCACCATTCCGCTCGGCTGTTAGAGGGAAAAAATGGAGGAGAGGGGCACGTAGGGACTTTCAGATTGCAGATATGCATGTATACGGATATGCAGCGTCCGAGGTACCATTCGTTTGAGTTATGGTTCGGTAGTTTAAGCGCTCAACTCCACACACACACACACACACGCCTACACACCTCTAGAGAGAGACAGACAGGGGGACATCTATTTGCGTTTGTAGCTATGATGTGAATATGTGTGTTGTCCGTCGATAGTGTTTATGCATGTTTCGAACCTACGGAATTCCGACGCGCACATGTCTGCTCGGCTGGGCTCCGTTGTTGCGTCTGGCCGAGGGGGGAGGAGGTGACGAAACTATCCGTATCCGTCGATGCGCAGATCTCGGGTTCTCGATTTCGTCGAGGGCGGCGGGGGGACCCGGTGAGTATACGCACACACTATACCTGACGCGAGCAAGGCGGGAGGCAGACGCCGTGCCGCCACATGTCGTGAGTCTATTTGCGCTCCCCCCCCCCCTTCCTGGCTGGCACCCCATGCCTGGCGCTCTCTGCTCCGCCGTCTTTTTCTCCCCTCGGCCGGTGGCACGATGGGCGTGCTATATGCTGCCGTTACCGTACGATGCGATGAGAGAGATTCCCGCCGTTACCTGCGCCGTCGGGTGTGTTTGCGGAGAACGGTGGGAAAAAAAAAAAAGGAGGTGGATGGACTAACTGGGGCGGCATCCCCGTAACCGGGCCAGGAGAGAGAGAGACTCTAGAACGCCGGCTACGATTTCTCCTACTAACTTAGTAGACCCCCTTTCCCCCTTAGCCCGCCCTCCTATTCCACGACGGTATTAACCGCCCGTAACATCCATCCCTGGAAGAGGTTATCTGCTTAGTAGGCATATACCCGTATGATGCGAGCCGAGGCAGCTGAAGGCAAGAATTGTTACAGCAACAGCAATAATAGCACGGATAGGGGATACTTTACTTTAGGGTGCTCACATCCGAGAGCCATTCGTATATACGCTTATGTATATGCAGGTAGGGATATGCAGCACGAACCGCCCGGTTCTGCGCGTGGTAACGCTGCATCCCATTACCTGTCCCGCTTACCATGGGTGCAGCGCATAACCTACCTACCTAGGTACCGGTATATTATATGTAGCACGTAGCGGTGGGCAGGCGTGGTATATATGCACCTATCTAACACGGCTGGAATATGAGATCTTCACGTCGCGCTATGCATGTCTAACCCTGATCATATTACGTGACTATTTTATTGTGTGATCACTGGCTCGAGGTTGAGTTCGAGGTCGATTGGGCTGAGAAGCGGTGAATATTAGAGCCGTACCCATTCTCACCGACCCCCCCCCCCCCTTTTTATGACCTTTTGCCTTCGTCTGTTGAGCGGTGTCGAGGGACCTTAGGTAAGGGAGCGAGTGCTCGATTTGGCTTTATGTATATAAAGAGAGAGAGAGGAGCAGGAGAGTAACAACCTGCCAACCTACTACAGACTGACGTGAAACCTGCCATCTAATCTAGTGAGTAGGCATGCGGCTCTTCTTCTTCTCTTATAATTAGCTAGATGAGCGAGTGGTGTTACTTTCAACACTACGGATTCGACGAGGAGTAACCGAGAGGCGAATTACGAAATTACATATAGAATCGATAACTACCTAAGCTTAAAAGATAGGTACCGAGGTGATGGTCTCTTGGAGGCAAGGGTTAAGAGGTACCTCCTACCTCCTATCAGCCCCTAGTATCTTCGGTACCTGCCTACATACATCTATGGTGTGTAAGTGCATATGCATGTATGCATATATAGCTACACACGGCTGTCCTAATGTATGCATGGCATAGGTACAGCCCTCTCCCCCCCTGCGCCGTCTAGGGGGTTCCATAGGCGGGATGGACTGATACGATCGAAGAATGTCCCAATCGATGGTGGGGTGGGCAGGCGGAGGAGTTCGGTGGCTTGAACGACGTGGTGCATTCGAGGTAGGTCAATTATTGCAACGCACATTGGCATGTACCTAACCTCTCGAGGCTATATCGCGGCGTCGTTGAGACGTGACTTGCGGGCTTGAATTTCCCAACTGGTCTCCCTTTATAAGAATGATGCTTTGAGAGGTACCCGCGTATATATGCCTATTATGGGGCGTCTACTTGATCGATACCTACCTGGATATGGGTCCGGGCCGCCGTGCTCTCGAACCCAACACGTACCTACCTAAGGCTACCCAACAGGTACCGAGGTATGAATGTCGGCGCCGACATTCACCAATTCGTACCCTAAGGCAGCTCGTAGATCTGTAGCTCGAGGTAGCACCAGCGATGAGATGGCAAAACAGGTACCGGGTAGGTACATGTCGAACCTTAAACCATCGGACGAACTGTCAACTCTTTCGACTTTTTTTTTTCTTGTCTACCTTTTTTTTCCCTCCCTCTTTCTTCTCCCCCTACGTTCTCTACGTTCTCTACCCTCGACTTCTCCCTCTCATAAGAGGAGGAAGAAACCAGAATTCGGCCACGCCTAATCCCTCCTTTTCTCCGTCCCCTCCTTACTTCCAACTACTTACCTCTCTCGTCTCCAACAAACTCAGCCGTCCTATAAGGCCATCCCTCTTGGTCTCCGTGGTGAAGTGGTTGTTAACCTCCCCGTCCTCTCACTAAGACGCCCCCCCCCCCCCCCCCCCCTCCCTACACGCCTATCTTCCTATACTCGTACACACTGCCGCTACATATTTATCCTGGTCCTCCCCCTCGGCCTCGATTTGGATCTCTCTGGCCATTGACACGTCTCGCCTGGTGCTGTACGTGCTACCACGAGCATTGGTCATATATTCTCCGTTTCCGCATTTGGCCTCGTGGAGGAAGTAGATCAACGTCACCGTCCTTCTCTCGCTGGCTGGTGTCCCGCTTCACTGTCTCATAGTAGCAGTAGCTATTGACGGATCCTGCTTCCCTCGTTGATTCCCATCTCGCAAGCCTTGGTCGAAACCAACCTCGCCCTCGGTCTTGGTAGTGTTCCGATCATCATGCCTTCCGCCATCGCCACTGGCGTTCCCCGCCAGAACCCTTCCCTTCGCCGGACTGCCACGTCTACCACCGCGGACCCAGACATGTCGGCGCCATCCACCGCCATTGGCTCTCCGATTGACTCTCCTAGGCCATCTGCTTCGTCCACCTCGCTCTCTTCTATGTCCTCTGCTGAGCCTAACAGCTCCGCTCACGGCAAGCTCATCGACACGTACGGGAACGAGTTCGAGATCCCCGACTACACTATCAAGGACATTCGTGACGCCATCCCCAAACACTGCTTCGAGAGGTCCGCGGTTAAGAGTCTGTCCTACGTCTTCCGCGATATTTCCTGCCTAGCCACGACGTTCTACCTCTTCCACACCTATCTGACCCCGGAGAATGTCCCCTCGACCCCGGTCCGTGCGGTCCTGTGGGGGGTTTACACCGTCATCCAGGGCCTCTTCGGAACCGGTGTCTGGGTCTTGGCTCACGAGTGCGGCCACCAGGCCTTCAGCCCTTCCAAGGTTCTCAACGATACTGTCGGTTGGATCCTGCATTCTTCCCTTCTCGTGCCGTATTTCAGCTGGAAAATTTCGCACGGCAAGCACCACAAGGCGACGGGGCACATGGAGCGTGACATGGTCTTCATCCCCCGGACCCGCGAGCAGCGAGCTAGCCGCCTCGGCAAGTTGGCCCATGAGCTCGGCGAGCTCGGCGAGGAGACGCCCATCGTAACCTTCTTGACGCTTATCGGGCAGCAGCTGTTCGGCTGGCCCAACTACCTCCTGACCAACGTCACTGGGCATGACTTCCACGAACGCCAGAGCGAAGGTCGCGGTAAGGGGAAGAAGAACGGCTGGTTCACCGGCGTCAACCATTTCAGCCCCTCAAGCCCGCTTTTCGAGGCCAAGGACGCGAAGTTGATCGTGCTGAGCGACCTGGGCTTGGCCGTCACCATCAGCATCCTCGTGTTTCTTGGTAACAAGTTTGGCTGGAGCAACCTCTTCGTCTGGTACTTCTTGCCGTATCTCTGGGTCAACCACTGGCTTGGTGAGTATCTCAGCATTGCAGGGTAGCCGTGCCGACCCGCTAACGAGATGACAGTTGCCATCACTTTCTTGCAGCACACCGACCCATCCTTACCTCACTATAAGCCCGAGTCGTGGAGCTACGTACGTGGCGCAGCCGCGACGATCGATCGCGAGTTTGGCTTCATCGGCCGCCAGCTGATGCATGGCATCATCGAGACCCACGTCCTTCACCACTATGTGTCGACCATCCCGTTCTACAACGCCGACGAGGCTAGTGAGGCCATCAAGAAAGTCATGGGCCGCCACTACCGATCAGACACGAAGGGCGGTTCCCTCGGCTTCATCAAGGCGATGTGGCGCAGCGCGAGAATGTGCCACTGGGTCGAGCCTAGCGAGGGTGCCAAGGGCGAAGGCAAGGGTGTCTTGTTTTTCCGGAATTCCAACGGCCTAGGCACCAAGCCTGCGAAGATGAGCCCGCCGACGCGAGGGATGACCATTGGCGCAGACGCGTGAGGAGGTTTGGGTCGAGGGGCATGTTCGACTCGGGCGAAGACAGGAAGGCCGTTGCTGTATCAGCAACTTGACTGATAGACTAGGGCCTCACCAGATCATTCTGGATACGGTTTAGCGGTGGAGGATGTCGCGCAGCGGAGCGCTCGATCGCAGTTCAAGTTGCGTTGTTCTGCAACGCCGAATCTGTGGTCTTGACTTGATTGTAGCCAGTCAGTATATATAGAAAGAGCTACGGATCTCTACCCTCGGCCCTAAGGAGTGATAGTGGCTGGCTGTGCCGCCATCGGGAAGGGAGGGATATGAAGCGTAGAGGTATGGGTCATGAATAAACCGTTACGACGAGTGCGCAACACCTTAAATATGAAGAGCTGTGGATGTGTGGGTAGTGAGATGTGGGGTATGTAAACTAACGCTGCGAGAGAGTTAGAAAGGGGAGAGACAAGCGGAGGGAACAATCGCAGTGCATCGTAGAGGGGAATTGACAAAAAGACGAGCGTGAAATGGTAGAAGTTGTCAAGACGGCGGGAGCGGAAGGGGGGTTAAGATATCTCTGCTGTTCCCGGTAGATCCGCGATTCAATATACAGAGGGGGGGTAATAGAGAGGGGAAAGGCGGAGGAGGAGTGAGGGTGGGCTGACACACCCCCTCGTCCCTCGTCATATACGACGTGCGCGCGTACAATTACTCGCCGTCCTCCTCTCTCCCTCTCCACCGCAGCAGCAGCAGCGCACCGCGATTCATAACCCAAGGCCGAATTATCTGCGTGCGTCTGTCTGTCTACCATGTCTACCTAACCTTACCTACCTATGCAGGGACACGAGTAACACGGCGCACCCGGAACAATTTCCCAGGTTAGGCATTATTATGCCGCACAGCACAGCACAGCACAGCACAGCACAGCGTAGCAGTAGTAATCCACTATCGCCGAACTCTTCTTCTCCTTCTCGCTCGCGTTCGATCGCCCCGACCTTCCCTCCCCCGCGGACGGATGGATGTTCGTCTCGTGCCCGCTCTGAGACACGGGGGGGGGGCTGCGTACGCGGCGTGTGTTGTACCTGATTGAGGTCAGGTATCATGTCTCACCTCAGGCCGGGGCAAGGAAGGAAAGAAAGAAAGAAAGAAAGAAAGAAAGAAAGGGGTAACCTGGCTACCGCAGGGGAAAGGGAGGGAAATACGACAGGGGGAGGGGGGCGAGGAGATAGGTACGCGGGCAGCGCAGGGAGGGAGGGTATACAGAGGCGGACGGGCGAGACGGCGGCGATTACTACGCTGCCTGCCTTGTCGGCGCAGAGGCGCGTGGCGTGGAACGTATTAGGTATCTGTCTACGCGCAGTGCAGCGTTGTTGAGGGGGGAGAACACACAACGGACCCTAGTAGTTGCGGGCGTGCGCACATACATGCATTGCAACACGGGCGAAGCGGCAAGCGTATATACGGCGGGCATTTGTTCGCGGCTTTAACGAGCGAGCCATATCTGCTCGCTGAGCGATACCCAGATGGGCGTTGCTGGCAGTAAGCACACGCACGCGCGCGCGCGTGTAGGTAATATGCAGCAGCCTCTTAACGCCGCCGCCGTCGCCGCGCGGGGCCAGCCTTGACTATACCCCTGATGCACACGCGCGATGCCAAAGACCCCCAACCGGGTGGGATTCCGCGAATGCGTTATCGTTATCGTCGACGGGGGGGGGGGAAGGACTACCTACCTACATACCTCCTACCTAACGTAGGATGCGAGGATACGCCGCTATAGGGCTACCTACCTACCTACGTCTGTGGGGGTCGTATACTGGCTGCGCAGCGGACGGACCCCTACGCGAGTCATCTGTCCCTCTCTAACCTCCCTCTTCTCCCCTTTCGTATACACATGGCCAATTGCCGTTGCCACTCGGCCTCAAGACGAGTATATACTGACGTAGACGGCGTTTTTATCCCTGATCTCATCCTCGCTATCTCCGTTTCCGCCGCCGGTAACGACGGTAGTAATCGCGGCAGTACCTAACCCGCCCCCCGCCCCCCCCTACTGGATCCCCCCCTTCTCCTTCTGCTTCTGCCTCTTGTTCTTGTTCTTCTTCCTGTTCCTCTTCTTCCTCTTGCGCGGGCTGCCGCCGCCGCCTTCGCCGCTAACAACTAGCTCGCCGTCGTTTTTCCTCTTCCTGGCGCCCGGGAGAGCGGGCGTCTGGCCCGGACAGCGGCCTTGCTGCTGCTGCTGCTGCAGCGGGTCCGGCCCGGCCGCCGGGGGCGTCGCCGTGAGCGTTTTCGTCGCCGGCTCGGAGCGCCGACGCAGGAGCGGGATCGCGGGCGGCGGGATGGGCGTCGTGGACGGCGCGTACTTGCAGGCGCCGCCCCCCCCCCCGGAGACGCCGCGGCCCTGCTGCGGGGCTCGGGACTTCTTCGTGCCCCTTCGCTTCTTGCGCGCCGGCGGCGCCGATCCGGCGTCGTCGGCCCGCCCCCGAGGGTCGTGCGATATTGTTATTAGCTCCGAGGTGGCGGGAGCTTGTTCTGTTCCTGCGACCGGCGGAGGGCTGGTGGCGGACGCCCCGGAATCAAGGCTGGGAGTACGCTCCCGCGCGCTTCCTGCCTGCAGAGCAGATGCGTTGTGGGGAGGAGACGGCGTAGACGGTTCTTGAGTAAGCCGGCCGTTGGTATGGCGAGGGAGCGTGGGCAGCGGGTCGATCTGTGTAATGCTCTCTGGCGATTTAGGCCATTTCCCCAAGACATAGCTGAGAGTCGCTACATCTGAATCGCGAGGGAAATTGTCGTTTTCTTGCATATTAGTGTCTTGGTTGATTTTCTGGAAGCTCTTTGGGGAGAGGTGGTCCGCTTCCGGGCCTGGAGAAACTGCCTTGGGCGGCGTCTGCTTCTCGGTCTCCAGACTTGGCAGCTCGACGGCGGTATTGGCCTCTGCGGGACATCCCTCCTCGACTGCGTTGGGCTTTGGCGTCGTCTTGCTTGTATTGGTGGGCTTCCGTGGTGGCTTCGTCGGCGTCTCGCTACTTCGGCTGGATTTGAGCTTAGCGCCTACGGGTGTTTTACTATTATGCCGATGGCTCGAGCTCGATTTGGGGACTGAGGGCGAGCGGTATGTGATGGGCAGCGTATTTCGTCGCTCGGCGATTCCGTTCAATACAAACACCGCGTCGGGGTGGTCACATACTAAAGGTGTGGTCCTCGTCTTCTCTGCACGTGGAATTGGCGTACTATCAACGACCCGGGCGGGGATTCCGGAGCTTGACTCGCTGCTGCTGCTGAAACCACTGTCATCTTGTCCGTGTTCCGGGAGAGGCGATGAGGCGCCGGCACACCAGTTTGTGGGACTCGAGCTCATAAGTTCTGCTAGTTCCTGGTTCGAGGGCGGCGGGCAGCAATCCATCAACTGTTGCGTGATGAGAGTAGAGGCCGTCTCGGATTCTGACGGCGACGAGAGCGTTCGTGTCGGGGTTTTTGTTGGCCTCAACTTGGTGGATGATCCTTCTCGGACTTGGCTATCGAGTTCGTCTTGGCCGGCGGTGGCAATTCGAGAGCTGGTCTTAATGGGGTCTTGTTGTTCTCGCAACGTTGTCACCGAAGACGTACTTAGTACCGGAGCTGCCTCGTAAATGTTTTGCTCTCGGGAGCCCTGGACGGGAAATATATTCCTCTTAAGAGCTGTCTCGTCGTTTTGGCAGGCACCGGGCACGGATCCTCTCGTACACTTTCCACTATTATGATATTCCCTCGTTCGCAGCAGGCTTTCATCTCTTTCATTCTTGGTATCATCTCGCTTGAAGCCATGGGCCTTCTGATAATCATGACTCGACGGCATACCCAATAGATCATCCGTTCTAGTCACCTCTCTGGCGATGGCAACCCTCTCTGCCTTGAGCAGTGTTCTTTCGTCCGGTGCCCTGCAGCCGAACATATAGCTCCCTTCTCCAGGCCCGCTCCATATATAGCCTTTGAATGGCCCATTCGCGAACCACAGCCTTCCGGCCCTATCGCCTTGGAATAGCGTCTCGTATTTTTGAATCCACGCAAGTGGCTCCCACGACGGCTGCCTCTGGGTGGTTAATGGCGGGGACACAACTGTGTTCTCGAAACTACCTTGACGACTTGAGGCAGGCCTAGGGCCTGGCGGCAGCATCCCCGGTTTCGGTGCCCATGTGTCTTTTTCAACCTCGGATGCGGAAGAGGCGGAAGCATCAGAAAAAGCGTCACGGACGCGCTTCGAGTAACCCCGGCCGAATCTCCTGGTTTGTACTTGCTCGGGCGCCGATTGCTGCCCACGTATCTTGGGAGACAGATTGTTGATCGGCGTGAACCCCCCTCCAGGCTTTGGGTAAGATCCGCTGCGAGGTCCCCGAGAAGAACTCAGCTGTGACGACGACAACACGTCTCCTGTGCGATGCAACGGGGTTACCGCCCGGAGTGTTTGATGTGAAAGCACGTAGTCGTCTGAATCATCGTGAGACTGCTCGCTAGTGGCCCCGAGAGGGGATGGATACTCGTCGTCAGACGGTTCAGGTTCCCTAAAGAACGACTCGGGAATAGGCCGCTCTATCCCTATCATGTTAGCAGGAGTACAGCTTGGTTAGGCGTGGAGCCTAACCTTTCTCGATTAAACCGATTCTGGCCAAATTCTCGTGCCTTGTACTTGATGATGTCTTGCCCGTGATATCTGAATAGGTATTGCTTGTGTGAGAATTCTTCTCTGCATTTCCAGCAAATGAACGTGAAGGTGTGAGGGCGTTAGCAGACTCTTCTCCCCCAACGAACTCAGACGATGCCGATGACGACGATCCCACTAGTGATATGACCTTGGCATTCGCTGGAAGTCCCGATGGGGCGCGCCGAGACGAAACAGGGCCGCCAGAAGACAGCGAGCGACGATAGGAGGACGATATGAGCGGTGCGGCTATCTCATCATCAGAAGAGTCATCGTCGAGCGAGATGATGGTTGCGCCTTCTGGGATACCTGAGGTGTGCCGAGCTTTAACACGCTTGGCTTCATTACGATGGTCTCTGATGGCGATCCAAGCGTGAGGGGGGACACCCGGCGGGCCTTGAAGTCGTGAATAAGACCTTTCCAGGATACTGGCCATCCTAGGAGGGAATTTAGGAGTTGACGACGCGATGTTAGCCTGCGATGTAATTGGCGTTGATGCGATCTCGTGAATTGAGGACTGGACAGCCGGCTCCTTGATAGACGTGTAAGAGGTGTTGGGATCACCAATGTGCTGATCTGAACGCAACACGTTCCCAGCGGCCGCCTCTATCGCCGACGGTGCTGTTATATTATGAGGTCCATTGGCCATCTGAGGCACGGTAGACTTCGATGAGGAGTCTGGCGCAAGTGACATTTGATAAGCCCGCTTTGCTCGAGGGGGGACCTCGAATCCGTATCCCCCCCTCCTCGTTGTAATCGGAAGGGCAGCCCTGGAGAGAGCCCTAGCCGGGTCTTTTACGCCGAGTTCAGACTTAGAAGAGGGCGTTAGGGGGGGTTTCTCATCCCTCGCTTATGGGGAGACGGGATTGCAAGGATGCGTTGAATCCGGTTGCACGTCTTTCGGACAGGCCATTAGCAAGCTGGCAAAACTATCAGATTGGAACATGACATCTCATTACCTCTGTCTAGTTCGGAAACGCCGCTGTATTGATGGCAACTGACTTGGGCGACTTTGGTTACGTTCACTAAGCCCGCCGTTGCTGCGTAGAATCCTCGGGAAATCCCTCTTGCTAGCTGTTGTGTTCCTTCTTTAAGGTCAAATAGCGCGCATGCGTTGAGCGTTGTCCGGCTATAGCATGGATCTGGTTTCCTCAGCGAGCTTGCGGAGTCAAAAAGTGCATGTCATGAAGAAGAGAAAGACGGAGGGAGAGGGGGAAGGGGAGGGGGCGTAGCTCGGGGTAATAACTCGAGAGATCCAACTCTGGTTGCCACGACCCGATTCCTCGAAATGGGGAAATCACAGATTGTAAAATGGGGAGAGAGAAAAGGGTAGGTGGTGGTGCCAACTTGGATGTCTTGTTGATGGCTGGATTGAATGTTTGAGGGAGTAGAGGGGTGAGTTGAATCAGGGTTAGGAGAAAGGTATAAAAAGAGAAAAGAACGAGAGACAGAGAACGAGATGAGCATTGAAAGGAGACAAATGCTGAAACTGAGGAAAACTGTCGACTGCCTTGGAGATGGCGCCTGTTCTCCTGGCAACAAGGTCAGGTCGGTTGTCCGAACAAGCTGGGCGGTGCGCAAGGAGTTCAACCGTAAATAACAGCAAAGAGAGCTCGGTGACGCGGGAAGCAGTCGACCCGACCCGCGTCCTCTACGTCCCCTTGCCAGCAACCAGCTCTCCGAAGGGACAAATCGATTTTCATGACCGGGAGCAGATTGGTTCCGTACATGGCTGCTGAAGCACAGATAAACAAGGAGATTGAGAGGACGGGGGCGGCTGGAGCATAGCATGCGGGAGGAGGAGGGGGGTTAGGGGGAGGGGTACGCAAACGCATGTACATACGTTGATGCAGAGAGTCTCGAGGCAGAAGGTAGGCATTTTGGCACTGTGTGTGGCTGAAGGGTGGTAGATCGTGAACAAACTCATGTGTACATAGTTCTTACATAGATATTCTAGACAGTGTTCTAAGTAGGATAGGTCGTATTTTCTTATCGCGGATTCAGGGTATACTAAGACGGGTAATAAATCCAGGCACGTACGTTAGGATAAGTCTGGGGGCATTCCGTATGTTATATGCCAGTATGTAGGAGGTAGGCAGGTTAGGTAATCTACCGGTACCTGTCTGGCCATAGAAGCGAAGACGCGTTTCGACGCGTTCAACCCCTGTCGCCCCTGTCACCGACCAGATGAGCATGGCCACGGCTAAGCTACAAGGCAGTCGCCTGGATTGATACCACACCACAAATTAATTTATGCTTGTGATTGATATAATACATGCGTGTTCCGGTAGTACCGTGTAGGCGTGGGTTATATGCCATGTCCGCCCGCATATATAATACCGAGAGCAGTAAGAAGTCATATATTCATAACATTGCAAGCCTGCTTGGTTGTGAAAATGGTGGAATTTTACCTTGAGTATGGTTTGATACGCTGTATATTGAAAAGAGAGAAAGCGAATCGAGATTGGAAGGATCAGAATCGGCCTACAGAGGCGTCCTCGGCTTGAAATACTCTTTAAACGTGTGTAGCTCCTCGAGGTTCAGCTTGTAGACGACCTCGCAGCACACAATCAGCAGATTAGGAAATCGCCTAGTCCAGAAACCCAGATATCCGTCCGGCAACGATCCTACTAGCTTTTTTAGAGGCTCGCTCATGTCTCCGTAATGGAACCGCTTGTTCCTCAGCGCCCGTAACAAGTCGAGCAGTTTCGACCCCGTGTATTTACGCTGTTTGCCTAAGCTGTCGACAAATTCTTTCGGCAGGGCCTTGAGGAAGTCGCCGCGGCACACCTGAGGCGCGTAGGCCTCTAGTTCCATTAGACTCTTGGACGGTGGGTCGCGAGGTTCTAGCTCAAAATGGTCCGATACGTCGCAGAGGAAAGCAAGCCGTTCCTTGGGGGACCAGAAAAAGGGGTGGGACATGACGTCTTTGGCAGACGGCCGTGCCCGAGGGTCGGACCGGAGCATCGTCTCGATGAGAGCCTTGGCCTCGTGAGAGACATCACCCAGCATGTCGAGTGGCTTGAGGTTAAACTGGCCTTTCCGGATGTTGACTTCGCGCATGTAGCGGTCGCCGCAGTCAAACGGGTGCAGTCCCTTGGTGAGCACATAGAAGAAGACGAGACCGAGACTGAAGATATCAATAGCACGGGTGGCGCGGCGATTAGGCATAACATCGGCGCTTACTAGTTGGCTCGAGTCGCTATGCGTACTAGTCATAGACATTGTCGAGGATTCGCGTGCATCGTCGTCCAAGAGAAGTTCCGGCGCTCGCCACCCCGATGTGCCGGCGGCGTGGGCGGTGGTAGCCCCGAAGGACGACTGCCCACCCTCGAGCTTCTTACACAGTCCGAAGTCGGATACGAGAAGTCGTGGCTTTCCGTCCCTCCCCATGGTCACGAGGATGTTTTGCGGCTTGAGGTCGCGGTGGACTATGCGGAGGTCGTGGAGGAACCCTAGACCGTGGGCGATCTGCAACAGAACTCGCGGTAGATCTACCTCGCCCGCGTGAGCCAAGTCCCGATACAAGGCAGGCTTCTCGATGATGTCGGAAAGAGAAGCCTGGCAGAGCTCTAGAGCGATGTACAAGAAGCTATCATTCTTCGACATTGCAAAATATCGTATCACTAAATGCCCGGGTTAGCAAAGTTAGCTGGTGAGGCGTTGATCATTATAATGGGAGAGGTGAAGCGAATACCATTTGGATGGTGATCGCTCTCCAGCAGTAGTTGAGTCTCCTGGGTGGCGATATCCCAGAATTGAGTGAGCATTCGCTTGACAGCGACATCTCGGCCGTGAAATTTCCCTGCGAAGACGATAGTGCCATTGCTGCCCATGCCAAGCTGCTCGTCCTGGTTGACCTCAATGCCGCCGATCCTCACGATGGGTCCGCTCACATCCTCGGGATCGTTATTCATCGTCATGACATTCGGTTCGAGCTTCGGCGGCATACCGACGTTCTGAAGGCCCGGGATTCCCTCCCCAGCGTCCGGCGAGTCACGGTCACCGGTATTCTCGGACGCATCTCGTGGCTTCTTCGCTCCCTTCCGATGCTTGACCCCCCCTCTCCGACCACGATGCATTTTCTTCTTCTTTTCGGGGGACTCCCCCTCGGTCTGTTGCTGTTCGCGCTCGCCATCCACATCTGCCCCTTCGGGATCTGGGGAGGGAATGGTGGCAGTTACATCCTTTTCGGGCCTTCCAGCTTCGATAGGTGCCGTCGGTTCAGACTGCTTTACCACTGGATCGCGGTCGAGCGGCCGGGCTTCCTCGTTGACTACATCTGGAGGTGGGTTGATACCAGGGGCCGTTGAGGGCACAAATGTCAAGGTTTCGGGGTACTCCTTTGGCCCAATCTGTCGTTTGGTCCACCGAACCAGATCCTTGTAGTAGCGAAACAGAAGGTATATAAGAACGGGAAATAAGATGGGATTCATCAGGAAATCGAGGGTCTTGTCAGCAGCATACTGAGGGATGGCGCTGACCTTGTGGGCAAGGCTCGGCGGCTCAGAAACTGTATCAGGGAACGGGCTCGACGCGGTAGGATCGGCATCATCGGTGCTAACGTCCGGTGGAGAGGGGCGTGAGGGTAGACTGGGCGGTAAGTTCTGCGGCCACTGCGGCACGCTTCTGGCGTTCCCGAGAACGTGCGTACCGACAAGGGACTGGTCCGCCGCGGCAGCGTCCAACATATCCCAGGGATTTCCCCGGCTGACTCGCGCTGCGGGAGCGTCGACGATAAGGGGGTACGACCAGCCGGACATCGCATACCAGCTCCCAGATTCGGTCTGATTAAGGAACACGCTATGGCTCCTGGCGCGCGCCGAGTCCTCGTCTCTAATCGGGGGAGTAGGTTGAGGGAGTAAAACAAGCTCCGGGTTGGTTCCGGGCGGGACGTCCTCGGGTCTCGCGACGTCAAAGACACGAGCAACAGGAACGGAGAATTGGAGCGCGAAGGAAGTGGCCCCGGTGGGGTGGGCGAGCGCATACACCTTGCCATCATGCTGGCTGGTAAAATACCGATTATCCTGTGTGGCCTGGTACTGTTGGTGGAGGTCGTTGTCAAAATTATTCGGGCCCCATTCGGCGTATCGAAGGGTAGCAATCTCCCTTCCGTCGTCGGACCGGTGAATCGTGACCGTGTACTCCGTTCGGCCCAGGGTGATGATGCCGGTGTTGCTACACTCCCCGTTGTCCGAGTCGGCAAACCGACCATTCGGCGGATAGCAGGTGGCGCTCTGGTCGACCTGGGAACCGGACTGGCCAAACCATTTGAGAACGCGGCCGGTGGCGGCATCTAGGCTGATCATGGTCGTCTTTTTATGTCCGGTATACACCACCGGCGGGCTCTGGACGGCGTAAGAGCCAAAATCCTCTACCAGCTGTTTCATGGTAAGGCCGGTACTGACCAAGCCGCTCCCGAAGCCGGAGGGGGACCAGACGTAAAGGGCGCCGTCGCGGGTGGGCTCTACGGCCCAGACATAGTCGTCGAGGGGGTGGCGGTCGCGTTCGTCCTGGTCGTCGCCCAGGGAATTGTTGAGTCGGTGGTGAATCGTCTCAACGATAGGCTGCTCCACTTGGAGATGCCAGCGCTCGTCACCGGATTCACGGTTGACGGCGTAAAGATGTCCATCGACGGTCGCCAGAAGAACGTAGTCTTCCACTTCCCATCTCTCCAGACTCCGCGCAGTCTGCGGCGAGGAGAGCCCAGCACCGGCAAGCAGGCTGGGCAGATGTCTTAGAGAGTTTGGTGCTCGAACGGACTGAGCCGGAGCCAAAGTTGCGAGGGCGCTCGCATCGTTAGGAACAAGTATGTTTGCGAATCTCTTCTTGTCGGCGGAACGGCCGCTTCCGGCGGTAGCCACCGTGCTCTTGCGGCTGGCGCTGGGAGTCCCGTGGGCACTGCGGGCCTTGGGGTGCGTAGCGGCGGCGCGGTTGTCGCCTAGGACATGGTTGGCCTCGAAGGTAGACTCGAATCGGGGATTGGGAATGTCTCGATCGTGGACATGATGCTTGTTGACGGCAACGTTGCTGTCGGCATTATCGTTGAGATAATTGGGAATGGGAGGAGCTTGGTCCGGGGAAGGCTGCCGCTGCCGAGCATCGACAAGCTGAAGCCAGGGGAGAAGGAAGACGGCCAAGGCGAGCAAGACCTTGCGCTGTTGAGCGATATGCCGTCCCTCGCCCGGAGGCCGTCGCAGCATATTGAAGACGACAACGCGCTGATGCGGATAGAATAGATGGGCGATTAGCGATCACATTAAGGCGATCGATCACATGAGGCGAGCCGGATGGAGAGAAAGAAAAAAGAGAAAATGCAGGTTAATCGAGTCGAGAGAACAATACGAGCGATGGGGGGGGTTCAGGTCAACTATGGCCAAGCTTGGCCGGGTTGCAAGGGGTGTGAGACGATGTCAGACGAGGGAATTGGCGAGGGAGGACGGGAGACCAAAGGGGGGGGTGGGAAAGAGACGGAGGCGAGCCGCCTAGCTCGAGGGGGCCGCGTTGGCGGGCAGGTTGGTAGGTTGGTTGGTTGGTTGGTTGGTAGGGTCGATACCCTCGCCTAGGGGAGTCGTCGTAGTAGGTGAGCGTCCAGTCGCGTCGATCGTCTATATGTAGGTACCTAAACAGAGAGAGTGGTGAGTTTTACTGTGCTGGACACCTGAGTCGCAGCTGCTCACCTCTGCCCCCAAGAAAACCAGAGCCGGGTCGTCCGACGAGAGTCGCGCAGGCCCAGATATGATCCGCCAGATACAATCGCCGGGAGAGTCGGGGCACCCTACGTATAATAGCTATGTCAGCATTAGTGAGGCGACTTGCAAGAGATTGCACGCGGCGGGACGGCATACAAATCACAAGCCGGCGGACTACGCACCGGAACGGACCGGGAATAGCGAAGATTCGTGTTCCAAGACAGAGGGCCAAAAGACGCCAAAGGCAGCGCTAGACTAAACGGAAAGGGAAGGGCGAATCCCCAACGTTAGGTATTTTGTAGGTGACGGAGACAACGGGGCACAGGGATATTAGAGATGGTACACGGGATATATGAGGCGGGAGGCGGGAGGAAGGACGATGGCGACGATGGTGGTGATGATGGTGGTGGTGACGCTGATGCTAACGCTGATGGCGACGCTGGTGGCTGGTTAGAAGGAGGAGAGAAGAGTGGTATGCCCTACCCCGCCAGCGGACAGTGAAAATAACAGGGAGAAGAGGGCGAAAGCGATGGAAGCGGCAGGGGCAAATTGGATAACGCACACAAAAAAAATACAGGCGGGTTACGCTCACCCACACACAGTCTCTCTCCAAGCCAGCGCAGGGCGGTCACTCGACAGGTGATCTGTTTTCCATCCGCCGAAGGATTTCCCTCTTTCCCTTTTTCGGGGCCTTCGCTTCTCCCTTCTCCCTGTTTTTCCCTCTTCTCTCCTCGTCTCTACGCCTTCTCCGGCGCGGTGTGAGGGTGATGTGGTGAGATAAGTCGTTGGGGTGAAGGGGAAAAAGAAGCGAAACCTGACTAGGGTCTCTCCATCCCTCTCTTCCCATTCCTTGGTGGTCGTGGGCGGCGCATGGGAGAAGGGATTCCTCCCAGGCTGCGGATAAACCGAATCTGGAAGACGCCCTATTGTACATGCCTGAGCTATCCTAGGTACCTACCTAGGCAGGTAGGTGTCAAGGTGAGCACCTAACACTACGGTGTAATGCCCCAGGCATCAAGCCTAGGAGGTACAGGTAGGTAGGTAGGTAGGGAGGTAGAGGTACCCAACCTAGCTTAGGTACTTGCCCATCTGCCTACCTGGGTACCTACCTATTATTAGACCTTTATCCGAACACACACGTCTGCAGGTACACTCATTAGGCTAGCGACTTCGCTCATGCTAACCTCCACCAAACATTATGTACCTGTAGTCTACCTTAGGTACAATATGAGGTGCCTTCCGTGTCAAGTACCTACAAGTACCGAATGTGGCTGCCTAAGGTACCTAGGTTAGGTAGGAGGTACCTCCTTAGGGACCTCTAGAGGTAGTGCCCGGGTAATATATCTGTGCACCCAAGGTACCTGCATAGATAACTCAAAACCTGCTGCTTAGTCGTCTCTCTGCCCAACTTCTAGTAAGCTGTCAACCCCCGGCTAAATATCTCATAAATTCCCGCAGCACTCGTCACGTGTATGGCCCTCCTCGGAGGATTCGACTCCTGAATCATAGGTAATATTACCTACATACGGTGCCGTCTGTGTTAAGAGGAGTATGAGAAGCGGTACTGTCACCCCGTCAACGATGAATCCGGCGAAGCTACTCATAGCTACAGCTAGCTAGAGGTATCTACGTAGGTAGGTGGGCAGGTACCTGCATCCCATTAAGAGGTACTCTAGATTTGGTATAATCGGGATACATTCTAGCATAGTATCTAACCTAGCAACTTTTCCCTGGTAGCCGCTTAACGATGGGCGCCGTCTTGAATTCTTCCATCAAGCTGCAGGCTCAGATCGCAACAACCTGTTTCCGTCTCGGGACACATACCTAGTTTAGTATCCAGTTAGCAAGGATTATCTAGGTCAAGTATGAATGCCTAGGATGCTTGTGCCGAATACGTGATTGAGTAGCAGCGTTATCTTAGTTAGGTTTAGATTAAGTAAATGCCGGGACGCTATTGAACTTCGTCGAGATATATACAACGTGACCTTCGGGCGTGGTACTAAGATCGGGTGGCCTCGGCACCCTCGCGAATTCCATCGTGACGTTCATGACACGTCAATCTAGGTAATAAGTCTACTGTCGCAGACATACCTATGCCCACTTCATAGGCGTAGGCTTCCCGCGCTGTGGGCGGGCACCTTCTCCGTGCTGTCGATCGAGTGCGCCGACGGCTCCCGCGACCTTGTCTTCGCGTTCTCCTGCTCGATCTCCACCACAACCGTCGTGACCGTATCCATCTGGATCCCTGTCTCCGCCGTTCCCGTGATGCCCCTGAGAGACTCCTGGCTCCCGCCGCCCTGGCCGCCGACCCAGCCGCTGCCGCCGCTCTTAGAACGGCCGGCTCTCCCGTTCCACCCCACCCATTTTTCGATCTTCCCCCATACGCCGCCCCGGCGCCGCCTCCGCTGGCGTTCCCCCTCACCGTTGCCTGGCTGATCCCCGCCTTGCACCCAGACAATATTCCCGTACTGCCGCCAGTGAGGTGTCCGCATGAAGGCGAAGGTCTCGAGGCCGGTATTTTCTATATCGAGCGAGGCGTTAAAGATGATGGTATGGCGGGTAGTCGAAAACAGGAGAACGTCCAGCCAGCCGTTAGAGGCTATCATAGCGCCGGCGAGGCAGAAGTATTCGACGCTTACGTTCGTTCCGGTCATGGTCACCACACGCCCTAAGGCCAGCGGCGCCGTACAGAGAACGTAGATTATCGGATAGATAAGGAAGGCAGGATGATGACCTGAAGGGTTGGATCGCGTTGGGGTATTATTGGTACCGGACCGCGTTGATTCCGACGGATGGCCATGCGTTGGGGGTTGTGAGAAGGCCTTGTTCCGCCTGAGAGAGATGAATATGAGAGAGTACAGGACACTCGTCACCAGGAACGAGAGAAAAATCCAGAAGTAATGAAGCCAGAGGCGAAGGCTCTCAAACTCCACATTGATCCAACACCTTTCCGTGCCCGCGTTAGTCAACGTATTCTCGTCGTCTATAACTAGCAAGTATTCGAATGGCAAGCATATGGTAAGGGGAGAGGAGCAGGGAATGTTCAAAACTCACCATGCCGCTGCGCGGACGTAGAAACCACCGACTCCCCTGCCGTTGTTGGTGGCGGCCACACCGGCGATGGCCATGACATAGACGAATACCCAGAGAACGACTATAACCAAATACAGCGCCCACTGGGGAGGCTTATGGCCCCTTACAACGGAGAAGTAGGTGTGGACAGCGATGGCGCAGATGAAGCAGCTCGCAGCTAAATCACCGGTCGACACGAACCAACCCTGGGCCCAGCAGGTCGGGATGCCAACGGTAATCTCGTTGTTCTGGGCCCATGGCAAATTTAACATGAAAGCCGTGGCCTGGTGCATGTCGGCGAAGAATAGGTTGTAGACGAGAACTAGGAACTGATTCGGTGATCCCTTCCTTGCCACTTGCTGTTGCTCAGCATCTCTCTGATCCTGCGGGATGGCCTTCTTAGTCGCGCCAAAGTTTCTCTGTGCCAAGCCTAGCGACAGGTCGTTTGCCGGGGCTTGTTGTTGCTGAACTTGGCTTTGTCTATTCTTTCTGTAGTTCAGGTGCCATGTTACCAGCTTGTATGTCAAATACAGGAACAGCGTCGTCGTCGAAACGAACGAGAGCATGCCACAGACGACAACGGCAACGAGCCCGTTGCGATGGCTGTCGGCTAAGGGCGATAGGGTATCGCTGACGGGAGCCAAAGGCCCGTAGTCATCTATATTCGCCATACCCAACTCTTCTTCTCCTTCGTCGTCCCATGGGGAGGAAAGGGGATTAGAACGATAGTGAAACGGGAGGAGGGAAGTATGCGTGCGCGGACACCATTTGCCAGAGGTTGATTGTTCCGAGTGGCCCGAGAGAAAGAAGAAGAAGGTGGAGGGAGGGAGAGGGAGAGAGGGCAGATTGTAAATGATATACTAACACCGGCCGGCACTAAGTTCGGCTTCATTCACCGAGATGCTGGTTGGCGGTGCGTTGGAGTGTTTTACCTGCGATATACCTGTATGGTGGCAACGAAACCCTTTTCTCGTAGACAGGGTTTGAGATTCCAGGGTTCTAAATCGCGGGTCACGATTCTTCTGTTCAAGCCCGAGAAGCCGGGTGCGTCTGCTCTTCCAGCACTCTGCCTTTTCTTCGATAGCCACCCAGGCGATGAGACGGTCCAGACAGGCTAATTCTTATTAGCGCCACCCGTCGATGGAGCATTCTTCATGCTACTACATACTCGACAAGGGAAGGGGACGGGGGGTTTGCTCGCTACATCATCCGGCCGAACGGCACAGCTAACGGCATCCTGGTCCATATAAAGCTAGCTGAAGGGGTTCATATGATGGCCGGAACAAGTCGGCGTTAAGAATATTGTTGTTATCCTGCCAGGGGGGGGATCGCAAGTTTTTGGGAAGACGTTCCGACCTCTGGTCAGTTACGCCGAGTCGGTCGTGCAAGAGGGACGCCGGTAGGTGCAGTCCTCTGTGGGTGACTTCGAACCGGACTGGGCGTCCACGTAGGTAGGTATTCACAGAGCTATAGTAGAAGGTTGTAATGTTCCAAAGTGTGGGACTCGGTTGCTATGACCCTCGGGTTTCTACCTGGTGTGCCGCGCGCTAATGTAGGTATCTAGGCTGAGGAGTTCGAAGAGAGAGTCCCACACAAGTGTTATTCTGCCGCTTGCAACCGATCTCTGTTTTAAGTGAGCAGCATGGCAACGGAGGGTAGGGACAAGGGGAATTAAATAACGTCTAGACACAACAAGTAGGTGGTGGCTTGTCTTTGATGGAGATAGAGCTTAGGGAGTAATACGCAGTAGTTGGGGTTGCTTGATATCTACGCATCCTACACGTCTACGTTTTTTATTACTATGTCGCATCCTATGTAGGTGTGTAAGCCGGCGTCCCTTCCCACGATGCCACTGACTCGACTCGAGGCCTTTCGCTGATAGGATCGTGGAGTTGTAAGCTGATGTTGATACAATATTCCTATTTCTCCCTGTCTAGAAGGAACTGGTGGCTTAGAAACCACCGAAGAGTACTCATACACGCATTAACGTGTCAATCCCCGACGTGACGTGCAGTTCGTCTAGCTAAGACAGTCTTGTCTCCTCTTTGCACCCTATTTTAGGGCCTTGGCTGCATTTCAGCTTGCGTCTCGACCCCTGAATTGGTTTGGTCTCTCAACCAATCTCGGGTCACGTTAGGATGCCACCATGAGGAAAGGAATGGTCGACATTGAGCTAAGGTGGCCCTAGCACTTGGGTGGCCATGCGGACTTGACGTTATATATCTAGACTGTTTTCTTGATTCAAGGGCATAGGAGATCTTGGCTCGTAGGCTAGTATAGTAGGGACAAGGCGATTTTACAGGTACATGAAGAAATGAACGAAACTATGTGGAATTTTCGCCTTTAGCTTCCAGATACCCGCCTTTGTCCTAATATTAAGGGTCACCGGCGTGGGGGGGAAAGGGAGGGAGAAGAAGGGCTACTGCTAGTTGGTAGGGTGCGGCTTTCCGCTGAGAGGCTCATCCACCAACACATATACCTACATATGTAGGGATGACTGACAACCCTGTCGTCGGCGTTTTGTGGCTGATAGCGGCCGGATGTTAGGAACGACATACATACTCTGCGTATATGATATAGCTATGTTGCACGACCAACACAGCGTAGACATGAATGTATGTAATACATACGGCCCACACGATACCTGGCTTGACGAGCACATCCTACGCGGATTCGACGGGGCATAGGAAATGCACGCGTCGCTAAGCGATATGCCCACCATGTACATAGTATGAAGGTATGTTACGTACGTGCAATAAGGAGCCAGCCTTGTCTGTGCCATCAGCGACTAGTTGACAGGGCGTTTAAAGTGACGGGACTCATCAAAGTACATGGTTCGAAGTAGCGGCTCCAAGGTTTTCCGGTGATCTGAGTGGTATGGAATTACCTTGATGCCATGGATGTGGATTGGCTGGCAGAGCTGGCCGATCTGTACGGATCTTTTTCTCGTTGCAAGTTGGAGCTAGGCTCCTAGCTTTTCGGCGTTGAGTCCGACCCCAACCCCGGTCTCCTTACTCCTTATATATGCTAGGGTACATATATAGGTGCCATACGTACTAGGTTCCGGTATAGTCTGGTTGAGGGAGCATGGACTGCATGGCAGGCCTTTAGGACTGTATGATAGGTCTTGAGAATCAACTAGGAGGGAGTGCCCTTGAATGGATGGTTCTTCTCACGTATGAATAATTGACCATCTGGTCATGTTACACTCCCGTTAGACTGTTGCCCAGAGGCCGGCCTATCAAGTTGGCGATTACCCATCGACGATGGCCTTTCGCTTGTTACCGTTGCCACGGGTTCCTGGTTAGCGATGCCTGCCTGCATTTCCTGGGACACGCCCGAGAACGTGACGCCTTCCTGACCAGCTATACGGCGGCGACCGCGTTTGGTATGGGCCAGGAGGCTGCCTGTGGGTGTACTCCAAAACCCCTGGATGGAGAGGGGAGGCGATGGATGAAGAGGTGTGAGGGGCCACCTGCATAGGCCTAACACCGGCGTAGCTATAGGAAACCATGAAGCTACCAAATAATAAAGGAAGTCCGATGGGGCCAATAACCGGCCTCGACCCGGCCGGGGATCGGAGCGCCGCTGTTCCCAAGCGGCGGCGGCAGTGTGCTGTAAGGCATGGCAGGTAGCACATACTACGTACTAGCAGATGAATGGCCTGGGCCGCAGGCCATTCGTCTCTGGTTACGCATACAATGTGTTGAAGCCAGCGGAATTACTGTATTGCTGGCGCTGCAACGACTCGTCTTAGATTACATATGCACGTGGTAGGTGGTAGTAAACGATGTAACACAACCTTTGCAGGGCCTTGCACGGCAATTTTGCACTTTTGCGTTGCTACCTCCTCCCTGACGAGAGAACACGAGGATTAGTGGTAGTGAGTATCAGCTCTACTCAGCTACGGTGGTCGAACCAAGCAACCAAACCGTGGAGCCGACAGCTTCCCCAGATAGACGAACGGTGTTGCGTTGCGTTGTCTCCATTGCATCGGTGTGGACATATGCACGTTAGATGGCTTGTTGCTTGGTAGAAAGGTGACGATGTATTTATTTTGCCTAAGGAATTTCCGCCGTGCCTTCGATGGCTTTGGGTCTCGGGGGCTTGAAATATTCCGATGCGCCGCCATCCCTTGCTCGTTGTGCCCCATTAGCGTTCCGACGGATCCCGAGCTTGCGCATAGGTGCGGGAGAGAGGACACGAGGACGTCGTAAGACGGATTAGGAAACCAAACCAAACCAGCCTGGATTGTACTGCGGCTGGCTGTGGATCTCGCGTTAGGTGAGAGGTGAGAGAGGTAAGAGAGGTGAGAGGTGAGCTGCGGTTGCGTTGAAACGCTCGTCGAACACGCAGTGAAGCTTCTCGGGCCTTTCTACTTCTTATATGGTCTGCGTTAAGGACCTCTTAGAGTCTGGGCAGTCGCACGGTAGTGTCGATAACATGCGGTTAAATTCTATAGCTAGGTATGCGCCAGGACGAGCTTTTCCAACAGCCGGCCCGGCAGCACAGCCAATCCCCCACGATACGAGACCTCGATGCCTTCTATCGTGAGGTGTGAGAAGCTTCTTAGGTACCGCCGACCTCCGGGTTGATGCGTAGGCCTTCGGGGGCCGACTTCGACGTAGATCAAAGCCCACTTTTGAGCGCCGTTGTACGTCAGGCTCTTGAAGCCTGTGGCTGTGGGTCACAGACCCGTTTACCTGGAACGTGCCACATGTGTGCGGGACACCAAGAGCTCGTTCGCATCTCGTGCCTCCTCCTGCCTGTCCCCTGCCTTGGGATAGGCAGCTCCTTGTGGCATTGCAATGACGACATTTCCATCAGTAACGCACGACGCCGGTCTTCTTCGTGTATGGAGACCGCCTCGGCGTTCGGATGCTACCTATCCATGTCCATATCTCAATCCCATCGCTTCTTAGCTGGGGCCATGGGGTTTTATGTGGAAGGGCTGATATCGCTATTTTCGTATGGTTTGTGGGATAGCCAGTTGCTCGGCGAGCGGGTACCTCGCCAGGTTATGGATGAGACTGGCAATGACACTGGGGTGTCCGGCGGGCGCTAGGTGTTTGCCCTCTCGAGGCATAACGCGGTATTGTTGTTCAACGGGGGGTTGTATACTGAGGATGGCACACCTGTCGTGTCTCGGCATGTTGATTTTCAGATCACACCTCGCGGACCGCCGACAGGGTAATAGTGCGAGCAACATGCTAGCAACAGCTTCAGGATACTCGGGCGGGGAGACGGAGGGCGAGTCGATAGGGCATTAGATGCAGGGGTTATAAGGAGACGAGGCGTCTGTTGGTATATCATATCTATCGAGCTCCGGTCGTCCGTCATCGCATAGTTGCGCCGGCGAGATAAAATACTAGTGTTGTACGGCAATGGACGAAGCGATGGCGTAGGGAAGTAATAGGTAGTTCGTGGGCTGGCTTCCTGGATGGCACCTCTGTGTACAACGTTTTCGATCCTCGTAAGCCGTCATCAGGGCAGACTGGCACGCCTCGTCAGACCGCGGTAAACAAACTTGGGCGTTGATTGGGATCGCCACCATAAGTCGTCGGGTAGAAGCTGAGATGTTGACTTCCTCGGTGGCCGATTTGCTTCGAATAGGGCGGCGGAAAGAAGGGGTTGACAAGAGTAGGCGTGCTATGAGTCTGGACGAGGCTCAGGACATATCAGGTAGGTAGGTAGGTACCTACGTAGGTATGCAAGTGATGAGATAAGGTAGCCCGACCCGGAGAAGAATACCATAGGTACCTAGGTACCTACCTAAGGTACCTGCTATATAGAGGTGCGTATAGGAATGTGTTGTGTGGCTTTAGATTTTGGAGCCCATGACTAATGACGTGAGAACGTGGCGCACCAGGACCCGACCCATAGAGCTGTGATTAGCCCAGTTTAGCCGCATCTTCCCTCCCTCCCATCTTCCCGTAACCTTCTTCACGCTAGCGCTGCCGCTTGGTACCGAGTCCAGCCTGTCGCTCCGCTGCTGCCCTCCCTCTTCTGCCGAGCAGGGCCCTCTCGAAACGGGAAACATGCGACAGATACGTAGGGAGGCCAGGGTTATCTACATATCCCCATATGGCTTATAGGCATGCCTCCACGTCTTTCTCTCTGTCTCTCTCACTCTCACTCAAGATATTGTACACCGTATCTGCCTTAGGTACCTACCTACCTGCCTACCTCCTTACCTGAGCTGATGGCTGATGGGCCAAGAGGTTATTGTTATATTAGGAGGTACCTACCTTACGTTAGGTATGTATTCACGATACCCGTAGGTATATGCCGGTACCTTCTTACCTAAGCCCCGTAAGCCCCAGTGCCAATGTTGTATTGTTAATGGGTTGAGGATTGTTCGAACCGCACCTAGCTTTTGCCTCCCTGACTGGACCTCAATTTACCTCACCGTTGGCTGTTGTCCATCCCTAAAAACTTCGTGTTCTTGTTGAAAAAGACAAGAGAAAGGAAAAACAGGTTAAGGACACCGAACCTTTCCGTAGGTCCGCGCTCGTCTGTCCCTCTGCGCACTGCGCTGCGTACCTGTTACACATCTTTCCCCTCTACTACTTACCTATCTGACGATCTTTTTTTTTCTTCCTCTTTTGTTTTGGCTTCTCTCTGTCACTCATTCGCTCTGCTAGGTCAGCCGTTGCAGTGGACCAAGCGCTCTGGCTCGCTCGACTAAGTACCTAGGTAGCCATATATCCCCGTCCCTCCATTTTTTTACCCCGATCCCACAGGCGCAAATTGCTAGACGTCACCCACTCAATCGCCATTAGGTTGTTCAGGCGTGTCCCTCGCAACCGCACCACAACACCATAGCATACTCAACCCCCCCCCCCCCCCAAATATCCGCATCCGACGACCACTCTATCCGACCTGATCTGCTAGCATCCCGTCTCGTGTCGCGTTCGCATATACCCACCTGCCAATTGCTCCGCCGTACTGCTGTCGCTGTCGCCGCCCTCCTGTTTTTTTTTTTTCCCACCCCCTTCGTCGCACAACTAGCCTTCTACCTGGTGGAGTCGATATCTGGTCAGGCGCGCCGAATACTGCGGACGAGCTGCTATTGGCGTTGGCTCCGAGCAACAGGTATGCATATCTCCCTAGCTGATATTCCAACTGATCACTCTCGCGATCTCTTGTCTTCCGCTCCTGCACCTTGTATCTCTTCGACTGATAACCATTGACGATATCCTCAGATCCTTGGAGATACCTACCGCCCTGTTGTTACTTTCTTTCTCGTGTGCTTCCCGATAGCGCTCTCCGCCTCGGCCCAGCCAGCAGTACCATACGCGACTCCCGAGTCCGACATCAAACTTCCCGTGCCCGCTCCCCCCCCCCCCGCTATGCTCTAACTTCCGAGGCGACTCCCTCTAGCAGACTACAGCGCCTGCATTGATTCCTAATTTGCTCCGCCTTCATCTTCACCCATTGCCATACAAAACGCCGCCAAGATTCGATCTTATCTCGCCTAGTTACCATACGTCCTGAGCTTGTACATACGACGCCTACATCATGTCCGCACCCTGTAAGCCCGATTCCCCTCCCATCTTATATTCTAGCGTTGCTACCGTGATCTAGCCGTGTCTGCGACTCGTGAGCAGCTGACTGATGGCCGCAGTGACTCTGGAGGAGGAGACCCGCTACACGGAAGTCATCGATGGGATCTTGGCTACTGCTGACCTCCTGACCGTCACGCGCAAGAAGGTGCGCATGGGTCTCGAGGCCGCCTTAGGCGGGAAAGATTTGTCTAATCAGAAGGTAGATTGCGCGCCCTAATCTTCTTTACCGCGTTGTGGCTACTGATAACCACACCCCCCTCCTCCCTCCCCCTCCCCCGTCCGGTCCTCTTCACAACTGCCCTGCTGAACGGCGGCGCACTGAATATTCATGTCTAACTAATGTCGGCTATCACAGACCGCGATCAAGGCGCTCATCGAGGAGCGCTTCGACGCCATATCTTCTGCCGCTCCGCCACCATCCTCGGCAGCTCCCCAGGATGAAGCCGCATCTCCGCAGGCGTCACCTAAGCGTGATGCTAACGGATACGACGAGAATAGTATAGACGCCTCGGAAGAGGGTAAAGAGGACGCCAACGGCGACGAGATCAAGGTGTCAGTGCAGCCGCCGAGAAAAAGGCAACGCAAGGAGAAGAGCGAGGACACCGAGGATGCCGACGCCAAGTTAGCAGCGCTGCTGCAGGCACAGGAAAACCAGCGGACCCGCGCGACGCGCGGCGGCGGCAAGCCGAAGGCGCCTGCGAAGAAGAAGGCGGCGCCTCGGAAGAAGAGCGATAAGAGAGTTCGCCCCGAAGATGACAGCGACGTCGACGGGAGCGAGGAGTCGGGCACCCGGCCACGGAAGGCTGGCGGAGGCTTCCAGAAACCGTTCAACCTCAGCTATCCGTTGGCCGAGCTATGCGGCGAATCCCAGGTACGCTTTCTCATCATCATGTCCACCCCTCGGTGATTGTCGTTCTGTTGTCGGCTCGGCTTACTAACCCCATCCCTTAGCTATCCCGACCGCAGGTGGTCAAGAAGTTATGGGAACACATTAAGGGGAATCAACTACAGGACCCGAACGACGGGCGGCAAATTCGATGTGACGAGAGAATGCAAGCCGTTTTCAAGCAGGCTAGAGTGGACATGTTTCAGATGAACAAACTAGTCGGTAACCATCTCTACCCCGTGGACGAGGAATGATACACGGGTCCCAAGGATAAGCTCAGGGACGGCACGCGTACCTATCGTATTAGGATAGAGTGTGAAGGAGGAGGGGAAACAGAGAGACGAACACGTCGTGGAGTCTCACGGTTGCATTTTTTTGCCCAGTGGGATTAGCATGTTTATTTATCACAGTTTTTTCTCTCTCTCAAGGTTGTTCTCCTTACTACCACCGGCTCTTTACGTGTCATGAGAGATGGATCTCGGGACGAGTCACCGGAAGGCGTTTTTTATGACGGAACAAATTGAAGCGTTGGACGAGGCGACGCGTGCACCAGATCGCCTGCGTACCTGACGATACCTATACCTCGGGAGTTTCGGGGCAAGGTCTCGGGCTGGCAGGCCCCGGATGATTGTGATTGCTGGGAGACACGGGTCTGGGTGGGTAGGTTTGTACGGCAGTACACGAGTTGTAATCTACCTGCCCACTTACATCGCCACCATCGCCGTTGCAAGTAGAGATTTCGAGGTATCCAAGCTTACGTGCTGTCGTTATCGTGGTAATTTGCGTTGGGCCTGGCTGAATTTAGCACTGGCAGTTAGGCTCCGCGTGCTTGTGTGAGGTCGACGCAGCCGAGCGAGCGACAGATGGCGATACCGTATCGGCCCTCAGATGGAGGTTTCGCTCCTCAGCAGGAGGTAGGTACCTACATACATACATAGGTACCTCCCTGCCTTGCCATTGTATATGAGGGGCGCTTACAGGTATCTGCCTCCTAACATAATATAGCTGGGTACCTAAACAGGTCTCGAGTTGTGGTCTTCCGTCTTACTCATTATGATCCATAGGCGGAATTCCCCCCTCCCCCCGCAATTGTGTGGCTGTACGCATTGTTTATAGCGACCTCATACTATATAGGAGGTATGCCGGGCGTGCCATTGATGGGGATTGGCATCAACCATGTGAGCACTTGAGGTGTAACTCAGTGTACCTGTAATGGGATGTAGGTACTGAGTGCCTAAGTATGCACATACATATACTTAGATGCCTAATAATTAATGCATATATAGAAGTACCGTATATACCAAGGTTCGCCCATGTAGGTACCCAAGTAGTTTTAATAAATTAGGAGGTACCTACCTACCTACCTACGTAAGTAGCTGCTGTACGGGGGGATAGAGGTCTATCGGTACTATATTACGTTCTATTACCCTCTCTAGAAAGGATTATTATAGCTAAAAGTATTTTTATCGTGACGCTAAAACAAATTAAACTCAGAATGCTATATAGGTATAATATAAATACTATATCAATTTAGTAGCTCTTTTTAAGGATAAAATAGCTATCTTATATAGTATTAAGTTAAAATCTATATCTAAATTAATATAATATTGAAAAATTAATAAATACTACCTTATTAAAATAATCATATTATAATAATTATATTATATTATAATAAAATCTGTATTATAACTTTTACTATAAATATTTTATACTTATAGAAAGAGTTTATTAATGTTATATTATATAGAGATTATATTTATATTATATTAGCATTACAGATATACTATCGATAGACCTCCCCCTCCCGCTATAGTATTTTTAAATGTTATATAAGGCGGGTATATACCTAGGTACGTACAGAAACAACGAGTACCTGCCTTCTAGAGATAAGACAGGCAAGATATATAGGTAGGTCCCTTAGAACTTGCCCAACTTTGTCTTACTGACCGGCCTCAAATACCTCAAACATTTCCGCTCCTCCGTTCCTCATCACGTTCTTATGGGCTATCCAATTGATAGGTAAGATCAACACACTCTAGCTAGGGGTACTTGCGTCCAGACTCAGCAGCCGCTCGACCTACTGTCTTTTTCCTCCCGCGTTTCGGCGTCTCTTTATTTCCCTCTTCTGTCGTCCTTCGGCATACCAGCTCACGTCGAGTAGAATCAGGTACAATCTATCCGGACCTTTGGCTGCCGCCTCCCAGGGCGGGAATACCTTAGGCATCTAGGGTAATCGATATCATCTAGTCGGACAGATCTCACCCCTCAAACATCAAAATTAGGAGCCATTCGATGGAGGCACCAACTACAGGATCCGGCGGCGGCCCTCGAGGCCCGAACCGAGATGGAGATAGGGACGATACCAACCCGAGAGGAAGAGGACGGGGCCGTGGTCGTGGCCGAGGAGGTGGCCGAGGAAGATCGCAACGCGGAAGAGGGGGAGGGGGAGGCCGTGCGCCGGCATCACCACCGTCGTCCTCGTTATCCGCACTACCCCCGCCTCAGCCTCGCATACAACCCGGCAATGACGAGGCTAGCCGGGACGAAGAAGACACAGAGGCCGAAGTGTGTTTCATCTGCGCAAGCCCTGTCGTTCACCAGTCCGTCGCCCCCTGCAACCATAGGACCTGCCACATCTGCGCCCTGCGCATGAGGGCCTTGTACAAGAATAAGGAGTGCGCGCACTGTCGAGTATGCCTGCCCTGCGAACCCGCGTGAAGACGGATAGGCGCTGAAGGCTAACCCGCCCGCTTCGTGTATAGACACCCGCCCAGTTTGTCATCTTCACCGACGACGCTACGAAGCGATACGAAGATTACTCCGACGCCGACGTTACCAGCGCCGACGATAACATCGGTATTCGCTATACGAACGAAGATATAGTCGGAGACACCGTTCTTCTCCTGCGCTACAACTGTCCTGATGCCTCCTGCGACTTTGCCGGCCTCGGCTGGCCCGATTTACACCGGCACGTTCGTAGCTCGCACCAGAAGAAGATGTGCGACCTCTGTACCAGAAACAAGAAGGTTTTCACCCACGAGCACGACCTGTTCACCGACAAGGAGCTCGAGAAGCACATGCGACACGGTGACGACCGTCCCGGTACCGTTGACCAGACAGGCTTCAAGGGCCACCCGCTTTGCGCCTTCTGCGGTCAGCGGTTCTACGACGACGACAAACTTTATGAGCACTGCCGAAGCAACCACGAACGCTGCTTTCTATGCGACAGAGAAGACCCTAGACAGCCTCATTACTACCGTGATTACAATTCCTTGGAGGACCATTTCAAGAAGGGCCATTTCCTTTGTCCCGATCGCGAGTGCCTGGAGAAGAAATTCGTCGTCTTCGGCTCCGAGATGGACCTGAAGGCACATCAGCTCAGGGACCATGGGAATTCGCTAGCCAAGGACGCGAGACGCGACGCTCGTTTGGTGGACATGGCTAGCTTCAACTATCGGCAGCCCTATCAGCCCAATCAGCGACGTGGCGGCGGCGGAGGGTCCGGTGCAGATAGGGATGGCGACGGAGAACCACCGCGAGAGCGACGAGGAAGAGGTCGCGATCCGAACGCAGAACCGATTCCGGCCAGCTCGGCACAGCCGCTTCGGCGGGACGAGCTCGCTCTTCAGCGGCAGGTGACCATACATTCCTCACAGTCCGTATCAAATCGGACTTTTGGCGGACAGCTGTCATCACCGTCACCATCAGCTCCGGGACCTGTACCAGCAGCAGCTAACAACGCCGCACCGCCTAACCAGATGAGCCAGCGTGCGACTGGAGGCCCCGCTTCGACGCCAGGTGCACCTGTTGCGGAGATGGGAGGACTAAGCCTGACAGACCCGAATCTCACGCCGGAAGACCGCGCACGACTAGTTCGTCACTCGGCGGTGATTGAGCGTGCCTCGAATCTATTACAGAACGACCGTAGCAAAACTGCCGCTTTTCGCAGCCATATATCATCATATAGACAGGACAAGGTGTCCGCCGCTGCCCTAGTCGATGCGCTCTTCTCGCTGTTTTCGGACACGTCGTCCTCTGCCCTCGGCACGCTCGTGCGCGAGCTCGCCGAACTCTTCGAGGACAAGAGTAAAGGTGACAGGCTGCGGAAGGCATGGAACGACTGGAGGGCGATAAATGAAGATTACCCGACGCTCCCCGGTTTGGGCGGCATGCATGGCGCCACGACGTCGAGCACCGGCTGGGCAGCCGCTGCCGCCAGTTCTCCCGTCGCAGCAGCGGCCGCACCGACGCAAAGACATACCACTCGAGTGCTCAAGCTCAAGAGCTCTACCCAGCAGTCGCAACGACTAAACGCACAGCAGTCGCCGGCGTTATTTCCCAGTACCGGAGCGTCTCGTCCGCCTCCAGCGCCGTCTTCGGCAGCCTCTTTCCCCGCTCTACCGTCTAGCACCAACGCATCCCGATCCTCCTCGACTGCGTTGTGGGGCTCGACGGGAACATCGCAAGCGCCGACAAGAACCCCCAGGCCGGCCAATCGAGACGAGGCGTTCCCGGCTCTCCCTACCGCCCCCAAGCCTACGACCACCATATTCGGATACGGAACGGGGAGCGTACGCAGAGATATTGGCGCCTCGAGGAACGCGGGCTCCGCATGGGGTGCGTCGAACGAAGGCACGCCGGCTCTGGCAGCGGAGGCCGAGGGGAACGACGGTGAGGGAACTACCAAGGGGAAGAAAGGCAACAAAGGTAGAAAGAAGGTCCTCGTGCAGTGGGGATGAAGAATACGGAGGCCACGGTCGGGACGGTGGTGTTCGACGGACTACATGAGACGATGAAGCGGCCGGTCGGAGCGATTTCGATCCGGTCAGTATAACGTGTCCACCCTAGTTGCGCGTGCTGGCCGCACCGCACTATAGCACGCCAGGTATCGTGCGCGGTAAGGGCTGTGAGAGCTGGCCCCGTTCGTCATAGTTGGTCCCCTTGTTCGGGGTCCTGTCAGGTTCCGGAGTACTTTCGGAGGCATTCTGGCCCGAGGATTGCTTATTATACGATACCGGTCGTACCCCTTGCACACCAAGCCCACGGGGACTCCCTTGATTATGCGGCTTAGTTTGACGGGAAGCCTTTTTCATTGGTGTAGTAAGAAGGGGCGGGCGGGAAAAGTTACTTCTGGGATATGTCATAAGGGTTACATGTGGAAGACTTTTGTACCTAACCTCACTGGCACTAAGGCTTGGAAAAATGTGACTTGGCTATGGGAACGAGAACGGCTTGCTGCTCCGTATTAGAGGTCGATACGCTTCCCCAAACTGCGTGGTGGTGCCGCCCGTCAACCGCGGGATAGCATCGTCGGGCCCTTTCGACGCAGAGTCTTCACGGCGACACGGGTATGCATAGGTACACTACGCGGAAGCTGGCGGGACACGGCCTGTAAGTCTAAATAGACGCTGACTTGCGTCTCCTTGTGCTCTTGCGAGGGCCGTTGTTCCCTGCCTCTATTACCCCCTCTAACCTAGGATTGCTCTGTAATAAGGTATCGCATAGTAATAGCACCGCCGTGGACGTTGGTCTATTCGTTGCATACCTACTTGCTGTAATATAACTGTAGACTTGTCCACGCCCATCACGATCTACTATATTGAAGCCTCGACTGCAACAGCAGATAGATCATCCACCCCATCGTTAAAGAGTTGGGGAGTGGCACTTGAGAATTCCGAGAGGTAGGTATATTGTGCCATAGCACCCCTAGGATACCGCGAGAGACATCAGGCTGGTAGTCTTCCTTGCATCCGGAGGAGCAACTTTGTACTCGGCACTGGGATTGGAAAATGCCTTCATGTTACCGCCTGTTACCCGAGAACTACACGCACACAAACTAACTCCGTTTAATAACAACTAGGCGCCTCGTAGTGCAAACTATTAGCACCTCCGCCGCTAAGAACAGACTTCTTTTTTAATCAGTTTTTTTTTTAATAGTTTTATTATTATTCATATTTTGCTCCCAGCTCGGTAATCACGCCTACTCGACATGTCGACGCCTAATTACCTACGCCCAGCTCTTCTCCCGCTAGACGGGAACACCTACCGTACTATTGCACAGGGGCTCGCCGTGTCCCGGAAGCCTGGGAAGTAGTAGGGGGTTGCAGCTGACTTTGCCGCTTGCGCAACTTGGCTCGGCCGTCGTCCTAGAGAGAGAGAGAGAGAGAGAGAGAGCGCGCGCCCCCGGTCCCCTCTAGTCGCCTCGGCGACGCGACCGGCCGTACACCAAGCGCCGCCGGACCGGCTGCCAGCCTCACGCGCGGCTGGGTGCTATTGGCACTTAGCTCTCTCTGTGCCTGCGGTGGTGCGATCTTACGAGTGCAGTAAATGCTAACCCGAAAACCCTCCTCCCCTTTCCACAAGGCCGCGACACCTGCTTGTCTGTATTATTTCGCCAATTCACAGGTCGCGATTCGCTTGGGTGTGTGGCAGCTCCCAGACTAAACGCGCGTGGCGGGCATGCCAACAGTTGTCCTGCGAGGTCAGCAACCCCGGAATGACGCGGGTAGGATGTCAGGATGGTAGTGATAGCCCACGGCGTGGTAGTAGGCGGGCGATACCTTTAGGGGCGACGCCGTAATGAAAGTGCTTGCGAGAGACAAGGGAAAGGCCCCCTTTGAGCGAGCTGGAAAAGGTCCTCGGCCGAGGACCGCGGTGTTCTTTGAGGATCGCAGCACCAAGTACTCTACGGCGTCTCGTCTGTTTTGCTGTGGCTCGCTGTCCAGAAACAGCTTCTTCCAGTTCTCATGTAAGAACCGCTGCGCGCATAGTTAGTCGTCGGTTTGGGTCTCTTTAACGAGGCCTATGCTATGCAGAGCGCTCTGCAAGTCAGAGTTTGCACATTAGGGGCCTGAGAGCGAATTTGAGGATCGGAATGCTTGTAACTTGGTTACCCGCAAGCTCGATTCCCCCTCAATGAGATCAGCGCGCTTGAGGTGTTCGACCCATCACGGTGGCAAGTCATACATTACCACCGGTTTCCTTAGAATCGTAACCGATAGTATAGGCCTACGTCCAGAATACAAAATCAAACCGTCAAACTCACTGCTTACAGCGTCGGGGTCACGTAGGCCGAGTCTGAAAGCAATCAGAAATGTCAAGGCGAAGTAGCAGAAAAATAAGAACGAGTGAGTTAGGAGCTACCTAAGGCGCCGAGTGCTGCCAAGGTAGTAATATCCAGGGTATAATTTTTTTCTGACATGCCTTGTAGTAACCCTCCCGGGACCAAAAGGAGCACTTCCACGTGGTCTACCGGTGAGAAATATGCGATGAGAAATATGCAATGGCGCTGTCCCCGACAAGCGACTTTCCGATCAGGCCCTTGACCCGTCTAGACCTTGACAAAAGAAATTTTTAAAGAAGTGTGCCTCCCTCCCATGAACAAGCAAACGCCTCCAATCTAGTTAATGCCTTCGCCATACCAATTCGACGACCTCGTCGAGTTCCCCCCTGGCAGCGTCGCCAACCCTAAGGTATAACTGTTGGAAATCCCCGTTCTCGCCGAACTCGGCGGCCCTCAATTTATAGCTCCTCTTCTTGTCTGCGGGTAATGCCTTTCTCAACGGGCCAATGCTGAAATCGTAGTCCTTGCCGGCCTTGTTCCACGTGCCCTCCATCGACTGCAGGTCGACCGAGTCAAGCCCGTCCGGATACATCACGATGGAGAATCCGTTGGACAATACCGTGTCGGTGCCGAATCGCCAGCGCTGGAGGAAGCAGTCCCCGCACAACTTGACGGCCGCGGCCATCTTTTCCACCGGCTCCTTGTACCAGCTCTTCCAATGGTGTAGGTTCAGGGGCCTCAGACCCGCTTCGAAGAAGCCGCTCACATCCTCCCGCATGTCCTGCTGGTAGAGGCCGGGTAGGATGGTCAGCTTCGCCTTCGAGTTCGTATAGACACAGTCGCGGATGATGATGTCGCCCTCCTTGCTGGTCGCCTCGTCGATACACTTGAGCGCCTGGTCGCCTAGCTTCCTCGCGAGCGGCGCCGATAGGAATGCGCCCGCACCGCCGAAAGCCATGAAGCCAAATGTCCGGACAGCTGCAAAGTCCTCTGAGAGGGCGCCGACGTAAGCGTCGGTTTCGTGATCCAGCTTGGCCAGGCTGTCCGAGAGCGGCTTCAGGCTCGGGAAGAACGTGTCGTCGTCGAGGAGGCCGAACCACTGGGCCTCGGGGCTGGCGTGCTCGAGCATGCTGACGAGCACGGTGAAGTGGTTCTGGGACGTTGTGAACGTGTCGTTGATGGGCCTGACCAGGGTCGCGTTGATACCGGCAACCTCGAAGGCGCGAGCTAGCTTGTCCATCTCCTCGGCCTTCTTGTCCTTCGCGTCGGTGACAACGGCGACGAGCTTTGCGCCCGTGTCAGACATCCAGTGAGAAAATGGGCGGATCGAATCGTTAAGGCGGTGGAAGTCGGTGGCCACGCCGAAGACGAGATGTGCGAAGGCCGCGTCCGGATAGGGGTTCGGGACGTGAAGCTTGATCGGCGCCGAGGTCGGTATGGTGACATCGCTGCAGTCGTACAAATCAACCTCGACGTCACCCTTAACGAGGGGCTCGGTAATGTTTACGACATCGTCCCTAATAGTGGATTTGGAAAAGACCGGCTGGATATAGCGACGGGTGTAGCGTACCCGCTCCGTCAGCTCCAGATCGATGCTGGAGCGCACAAGAAACCGGAGGTCCTCGGGGCAATGCCTAGGATCGGGCAACGGCATCTGCTGCTCTTCTTCAGAGGTGCCTCCGGCTACGTTAGAATAGTAGCCGGGCAGGACCGGCGGAGTCGGTGGTTTCTCGCCAGCACCTGGCTTCCGATCGGGCTCCCCCTTTCCGGAGGTGGGACGAGGCGCGGGGGAGGCCAATACGGTCGGTAAGACAGTGGTGGTGGCGGTCTGGGCGGTGTTGCTGCCGTGGCCTGGGCCAGGGCGCTGTCCCAGGGTTACCGCATCTGCGATGGAGGCAACCTGGGAATTTGTGGCCGGGTAGGATGGGGGAACCCGGTGATAGAGGTGAAGGGTGGTATAGGTAACGAGGAAGGAGAGGATGATGCTGGCGACGACAAAGACGCGGGGTACCTTGGCGGGAAACATGAGAGGACGCTTTCACCGCATGGGTGTCATAGCTATGAAGTTCGGTAGAGAGCAAGAGCAAGGAATAAAATAGGGAACTATCGTGAGTGATGGTAAGTAAGACTGCGTGAAGGGGTTGCGAGAGTAAGAGGGAGGGGGTCGGTTGGCCGACGAAGAAGAGGATGATGGGTCGGATGATGAGGGAGAGGAAGATGCGGGTGTAGTCGAGAGGAGGTAGGGAATAAGAGCTGACCAAGGACCAAGCGCGGGAACCGGAGTCGGAGCTAAGAAGGGGCAGAGAGAGCTAAGAAGGCAGAAGCCGGGTGGCACGAAAATAGGAAAGGGCAAAGGAGACAGGAAATATGTACGGCAAGTAGCACAATGAAACATGTATCGACTCCGGATGGAAGGTGGGGGATGAGAGGCACGAAACAAAACGGGCGAGCCCGACGATCTCCGGTCCAGGTCTACATAGGTAGGTAGGTATGTATAGTAGAATGTATCAGAATAGAATGTATAGGTAATTATGATAAAGGAGGTACCTATGGGTATTATCTCTATACACGTAGAGACCTGTTGTGTAGGTGCGTTTGCCAATATCGAACTGGAATGAATCCGGCGCTCTTTTCTCCCTTTCTCTTTCTCCCGTTCTCTCTTCCTCGTACACATGAAAGGTACCTACCAATCGTGCATGTACCTACATACAAAGACTGCCCTCCGAAGGAGGTACCTGCCTTAGGTACCTTAAGCACCTAACTTATGAAGTAAAATAAGAATGTACCCGTGTACGATAGGCAGGGCCCATGGCTGGGACCTCTATCCAAAACCCGGGCTTTCTCACTGCGGTGGGCAGGGGAGGTAGGCTATCTCCTCCCTAGCAAGAATGGGATAAGTCAGGCGAAGAGACAGAGGAGAGAGATGTCGAGCAGGTTAGCGACGTAGGTAGGTACATGGCGCGGACAACTTTGGTTATCCTACGCAATACACGCAAGGGTCTCTTACAGCGGAGCGGCGGCTGGTGAGGGTTCGGATGGGAAGGTGGAGCGTGGGAAGAGGGGGCTCAGATGGATTCGAAGGGGGCTTCCAATCGAACGGTGGTAGAATGTACCTTGCCGTGCGAGGTGGGTACCTATCGGTACTTAGGTACCTGAGTAAGAGGCCGTACGTGGCGGCCTTCGGGTATCTCTACTGCATGATGTAGACGTATCCTCTATAAGGTAATGTGTGCGGTGCTGGGGGAGAAGAGATGACGCACTTGCGCCGGGGGCGTACCGCTCGAGAACGATGCGATTTTCGCTCGCCGTGGCTCGGACCCGTCTTTTCAGCCGTGCCAGGTCCAGCCGTGGCCAATAGACTCTCGAGCGATGCGCCGAGGCGCGAGGACGCCGTCGAGAAGCCGCCGACTCAATCTATCTGAAGCCGTGGCTCCATCCCTGTCTGAGAGTGGACCGGGCCAAGCCACAAGAGTCCTTTTTTTACCTCCTCCACCCCTGCACTGTGCACCCTCTGCTGCCCCCCCCTTTTGTCTGTCTTGTCGACACCACGACGGGGGAACCGTCCAACTCTGATCGCTCGCGGAAGATAGGACTCTGTTAGGAGTAAGGTGGCGAACTAACCCGCACGCAGCTCTATAAAGCCCGCGCCAGATAGATTCGTATGTCGCATCGTGGGGTGATCTTTATGGCCCGGCTGCTTGCCCTGCAACAAACCAGGCCATGTCTCAGAGTGCCAGTGGTAAGCCACGGTCGAACGAGAGGGGGGTTGACGTGCTGCAAGCATACGTGCAAACCACCTGGGTGCGACGCGTCATCCAGACTCTGCAGCCCGGCTTGAGTGGGTGAGAACGAGAAGAGGGCGATTTCTACAGCAAACAGCCCATGCGTCAGCAAGGTCCGCGTCGTTGTCGACGAATGGGCTTACTTACGACCGTAAAATCATGGCTCGAGTAGTATGTATGTGTCTCGGGATCGGCGGCTGCGGGCGAATCTCTCCTAGGCGAATCTCTCCTAGTCGGGGACCTAATCGCAAAATCATCGACCGCAGGCTAGAGCCATTCGTCTTTCGGGAATAGAGGGGAATGGGGAGGGTGGCTGCCTCTCCCTAACAAACAAAGCGATTCCCAGCACATACCCCTCCTACCGACGCACACGCACACGCACACGCACACGTATACGCCCGCGACATACTCACCAGGTATTCATACCTGCGTGCATGCCTACACGTACGGCTATATGTCTAGCTACTTAGCGGGAAGCGGCTGAATGTGAAAGATCGGCAGACGGTATTATGAAGGGCATAGATACTCTGCGGGCGGCCAAGAAAAATGTAGAATAGACGGAGAGGCTAGCTCTATGTAGCGAGGCATGTCATGGCCGATCGCCTATTGAATATATATTTTGATCTACGACACATACGCGGCCGTCGGCATTCAAGCGCCATTCGGTAGGAATTGCCGAAAAGAAACGACCCCCTCCATCTACACATAAACTTGGTTAGATCTGGAAGAAGGAGGAGAAGAAGAAGAAAAACAACAAAATAAATACTTGGAGCTACGGAATGTGTAGGTATGGAATATGGAATTGTGTAGCCGGAATGCCGACGTTCGCTCGCTTATACACGGAGCATAACTAGTGTGGTGTGGACGCGGAGACTAGATACCAATTATAAATTGCAGCCTCTTTAGCGTCTCGCTTCGAGGAATACGCGAGTACCACCCACAAGTTGGCGCCGGATCCCGAGCCCTGGGACGGGGTTACAGATGTACACGTACCGGCACGTCTTTCTGGTACACATCGTGCAGGGGTCCCCGACGGGCAGCTAAATACGGCGACGAAGTATCCCAGGTATATATCTCGCAAGAATCACCTACCTACCTACGTATGTACGGACAAGACACGGCATATGTCTAGAGAAGCTTGCATACAGGGACCAGAACCGACGTTTATGTGTCTACTCTCTGCGAACCGAATCCTATTGGCATCCGCAATCGTGGCAAGGCATGTGGGGGCTCGGCGATCTCTTAACGCGGAGCTTAGCCATGATCGGCTCGTACCTTGACCAGCCTGTCCCCCCTTTTGATTTGGTGTTCAAACTACTGCGCCGCTTCTAATTCGGGTGGTAGACCATTATGAGGCGGTACCTAGCCTAACCTACTGGCGCGACTACCACCACCTCCGACCTGCTGCGTAGTACGTATATTACGTAGGTAGGTAGCAGCAGCTCTGGACGAGAGGAAAGTAGCCATCGTGCTTATCGACATATCCCTATAGACATATAATGCGTACGTACATGCGTACGTGTATGTATACGTACACGTTACGTAGGTACATGCACACGTATACGTACATAGGTATATCTCTACATCTCTCTATATACTGGCATGCTTCACACACCATCTGGCCTGGGTGCAGCTAATGGGGTCCATCCTGAGTATGGAATGCCAAGGTTTACCTACCTACCTGCCTGCCTACCTACCTACTTATACCTTTTGCCTTACCCCCGCCGCTCAACGACGCTGTCAACCAGAACGCAATTCTGTCACGAACCGCGTGCGTCTATCCTTCAAAGGACGAACGGTGATGGGTGATAGTCCTAAATAGGCAACTTCGCTCCGGCGCATGGGCGCAGGGTCTAATAGCGACTACCGAACCTGCTAATTTCTAGGCCCGTATATGTTAGCGACTAAAAACACACGGACCGGCAAACACCGGGACTGTCGGAGCCGGAAATACATACGTCCGATACTGGTATCCATTAAAGGGGGCGGCCCATCTCGCAACTCGAAAGCGGCTCGAAGAAAAGACCAAAACACAAAAAGGTAGCGGTATACCGATGGTGTCATAGGTCTCACATATTAGCGTGTATAACCGTCGATGGGCTGATGCGGAAGCGTAAATCTAGAATACTAATAACTACCTAGGTTATCGGCTAGGTATTTCTTAGCTCACGTTCTCTTTAAGCAGTTATCAACACAGTCTGTTCCCATACCTTACAACAGTAGGGAAACTTCGATTGGCTCTATAAATCGGAATTGTTGGGGAGAGTTTGCTTGGTAAGTAAACCTAGCCGTGATGAAGAGTGAAAGTCCAAGTGATTGTGACCGCCTCACTGGCATACGAGTGGGTTACCTAGATTAGGCTCGGTCCTGTAGCCAAACCGTCGAACTCAGAACGATATTAGGTAGTTATCCCATACCAACAAAAGTATATATATTATAGGTTGCGTTAAACATGGACTAATATACTCTCCAGCTTACATATATAGGCTTATGATGGCAGATTTCCCATTTCACACTCTCAATTTACGACTGCTGCATAACCTCACAGCGACCACATGGGATGACAACAAGTTAATAATTAGGTTGTCACGTAGCAATCGGACCAGCCCTTCTAAGCCTACACCCACGCATATCAAATACATATTATATCATAGATCTACAGGATTACCGCGGCCTCGCTTTGAAACTTGATCCTCCCACAGGACACCACAGGACGCTGAATCAGGTGCTGAGGGACATGTATTACATATAGGCAAAATCAAACCAATAAACACATTATGATTTTGCGCACTTGTCTCGGCGGCTAGGTCTTGTTATTACGTATCCATCGCTTAAGAACTCGTTCCACTAATGTATCCGTTTCAAACGGGTTTCTCGATGTCTGAGTCTTCTACGCAGAACTAGTTATTCAGGAGGGGGTATTATTCAAATTAAAAAGATAGGTAGTCTTCTTTTTCGCCTCTTTGCCAAGATGCTCATGCTGGTAACTCCTTTTCGTAGGTAATGATTTCCTTCTTTTGGACTGTCTTTCCGTATGCTGCTGATTTTCTTAAGAACGTGCCGCTTCTTGAGGCTATTGGCGTAGAACACCACATCAACTCGTAGCGTTTAACGATGCTATTCGCGCTCGGTGGGTGTTCTAAGTACTATTAGAACCTTTACCGAGGCGTGCGTGTGATACTAAGCGGCAGGCCAACTCTTATAGAACTGTCATCAGCGCCGCTGGCGAGTAGACATATCACCAGCAGCCTCTTAGTGGCATAGTGTAGCCCCTAGATATTGCCTGCCGCCTTTGCTATGGTGATAATAATTGCTTAAACCGTCCCGTATCGAACAGCGAAAGACAATGGAAACACCTCGCACGCCTAGGTACGTAACCCGCCTAATGTGTACACCGCTAGAGCTCACCCTTCATTGACACACGAGAGCGCGCCCCCCTGGCCACGCCAGATCCTGAATAGTTCGTCACGAGCGTCACCGTCACGAGCGTCACAGGCTACTTAGCGATCCGCCGCGCAGGACTCTCACCGTGCCGCGGGCCGTGCTGGAGGAGGCGCCGGGCTCGCTGGCGGCGTCGTCGCGGGGCGGGGCGCCCGGGCAGGCGGGCTCGGCGGCGGCTTCGTCGGCAGCACGGGCGTCGTCGGCGGCGGCGGCGCGGCGCCTCTCGATCTCGAGCTCGAGCTCGCGCTCGCGGCGGGCGGCGGCGGCGGCGCGCTGGCCGCGGGGGATGCCGCGGCACTCGTCGGCGCGGGCGCGGGCCTCCTGGCGCAGCGCGGCCCAGCCCGTCGAGAAGAAGATGACGGCGTTCCAGACGCCCTGGAGCGGGAGCACGACGGCGCTGGCGAGGTTGAGCGCGAAGTTGGCGCCGCCGCTCCCGCCTGGTTCTCCTCCTCCTCCGCCGCTCGCCGCCGACGCCAGGTCGTGCACCCGGTTCACGCTGCTCGGCGTCCAGGTGACGAACACGCTGATGGCGAAGACGAACGACGTGCGCAGGTACGCCAGCTTGACGGGGTCGACGTGGTGCAGGCGCGCGCGCAGCCGCCGGCACGCCGCGCGCCCGCGGGCCCAGGCCCCCGGCCGCCGCGGCGCCGGGTCCGCCGTGATGCGCGTCACCGTCGTCTGGTAGCGGTAGTAGGGGCACGGCGGGGCCGGGGCCGGCGACCCCGCGCCGTCGCCGCCGCAGCGGCACCGCGACGAGGCCGACGCGCAGCGCGCCCGCCGCTCCTTGTCGCTCGCCGGCCCGTCGAACCAGCTCGCGGGCGCTGCTCCCGGCGCCCCCGTCGAGGACGACGAGGACGAGGACGAGGAGCACGACCCGCTGACGCTCCCCTCGCCCGCGTACGCGGTCGTTGACGAGTTCACCGTCGTCACCTGGACTACCTCCCGGTTGATTCTACCCATGACGGCTGCGTTGGTGAAGAGATCCTGTCGTTGGGTATCAGTGGTTAGTTGGTCTTGTTTAGCTCCGCTCTCGCTTCGAGGGCGGTAAAAGGGGGAGGGAGGGAGAGTGGGCCTTAGCTCACCTTATCCCCTGAGTCGCGGGCTGGCGGCGGATCGTGCGTCGGGTTGCTCAGGGATAGGTTGCGCAGCTGGTTACGCTGCTTGAAGACGTGATAGCCGACGGCGACGTAGATGCAACTCGAAAGGATGATGCAGACCCAGATGGGAAGGTAGTACGTGTAGATGCGCAGGTTGGACGAGTCCTCGCCGATCCAGCACCATATCTGCCGTCGACATTGGTGAGTAAGCGCAACCGGTATAGACGCCCGAAAACTCAAGAGGTGTCCCACCCGCCGAGATCCCGCCCGCGTGGACTGGAGAGAGGGAAGAGGAGGAGGAAGCAAGGGGCCGCCGCTAGACTTACAGTGGCGTTACCATATATATGATTTCCGTCGCTGGTCTGAACAAAAAGTAGCCATAACGCGGGAATGAAAGGGATCCCGTAGCAGACACAGCAGTATACCCACCAGTAGCGCAGGAAGCTCTTAGGATTCGCGGAGAAGAAGAAAACCATGTACACATTGACGGCCATAGCCAAGGACCACCACGGATCTGACTGCATAAACCTTGACTCGGGGTATTATTAGTCGAGTTCTTCCTCTCACCGCCTCCTTATTTAGGGAACATCATTGCAATAGAGGTTAAGAGGAGGGAACAACGCACAGCTCAAACAGGAAGGCCTGGGCCTGGCACAGGGGACTAGTTGATCCGGCAACCACTCCCGAGTACCCTATCAGGCAGGCGATACTGGCTCCCAGGTTCGCGACCGAAGCGAAGACGATGAAGGTGTTCGGTACGGTGCGGAGCCGTTTGAAGGCCGCGTACGCGACGAAGATGAGGAGGATCCCCGAGGCAGACAGGGCGGCGCCGAGCCTCTCGAATATCACGATGGTGTCGATGTTTTGCTGCGTTAGCACTCTTGGGCGAAGGGCCGCCTGGCCAGCTATGATGGGGTTGCTGATCCCTCGTCCGTCCATCACGGCCATCGGAATTCTCCACCGCGTTTAGGAATACCGATGGTCGCAACAAGGACGACACACATGTGATTAATTTTTCTTTCGGCAACGGGATCTAACATGTGTCAAAGGCGGCGCTCCTATTCGTACGAGCCCAGCGCCGAATATAAAACCTGTTGGAACAGATAGCGGGACGCTCTCAACTAGGTTAACATACCGCCGCGGCGAATAGGGGTTGCCAGCGCTATCCAGCTGCCGTGGTGTAGACGCTGCGATTACACGGGTCTTTGGCGATGGGAAACGTTAGACGGTTAAGGTTGAGACGCTAGAGAGTGAATCTGACTAAAGAGAGGAAGGGGTGATGTTGTTGGCTAGATATGTATCGTAGGTGTGCTGAGTAGGTTTGCGTCTGGGGAATTAGGGGATGCAGAGCAGAGGGCGGTCAGTGACAAAAGGGGTTAAAATGTAGATGGAGATGCAGGTGGCGACAAGGGAGGAAATAGGCCAGGCTGGGAAACATGTTGGCTTCGGACGTAGGGCGGGATGGGATTAAGGAGCGACTGCAAGGTCGGATGTGGTAGCGCGGACATCGAGGTTGAAGGAGAAGTCGGCTCGAATGAGGAGGGCGGAGACGCAGATACCCGTGATCTTCGCGTGACTATCAAGCATATATAGGCCCTCGAGTTATACCATCTGCACGCCGATAAGGGAGTATATACGAACTCAAGATATCGGGACGGGGTATCTCGAGATCAGGGGGGTCGTTGTTAGCCGGGTGAGTGCATATCGGAATGCATCTCGTCAGCCTTGGCTACATGCCTCTCTAGGTAGGTAGCGGATGCCGCGAAGACGGTGACTTTGGTCAACCTACGTTGGCATTGCACGTAATTAGGACTCGGGTAGTGGGTGGAGATGGCTATATTGTGTGTGTTGGTTACCCGGCACGGGAATCCTAGAGCTCGTCTGAATGTTGGCAGTTCCTAAGGATCTATTCATTATGTCTCAAGCAGGTGCTAGCCGATTCGTTTCTCTACCGCGGCACAGCAAGGAAATGGTATGCGAGCATAATAAGACACGAAGTAGTGTTTGGATGTAAACGGGGGGCCGGGGTACCCTGACCGGGTGGTTGCTGGATCACTACCTTACCTTGGGCGGGTAGAAAGCTTGTGCGTATGTACATCACACCCGAAAATGTAGTTCTGGGGTAAGATCGGGAGACCTACGGCCTTCGGGAGCGTTTGTAAGCGTTGTCTACATACGGATCCGTGGATGGCTTACAGGCTGGGGGTCATAAGAGGGGATAGTGGTGCTCCTCGCGTACCTAAGGTAGTATTAGACCGAGGCGACAAGGAGGGGAGGCGGTAGGCTTCCATGCCGCCTACCGTCTCCCTCCGGATACTGCGGACGCGGACGACATTTATTTACAGCTGGAGCTGTAGCATTTGTTGCTTACTTGATACTACCAGATCCCGCCTGCCGGGAGTTGGAGTATACGGTGCACCAACAGACATCGCGATCCTTCCCTCGTAGGCTATAGACGGTTGCATGAAGACGGGTGGAAGCCAAAAAAAACTCCAGCGTTTCCCGTCTGTTAGATTGGGTGGGTTCAGGAAAGAAATACACACGGTCGTGAACGTGTAGTTGGACGTTTGGGGGGATTTTTCAAGGTTATTAGCCTAACTAGATTCTTACATCGCTTAGAACTGGGACGGCTTGAATACGGGTGGGAGGCCTGGTCAACTCCTGCAGCTCCAAAGGCTTGCTCCTATCATAGCTAGTGATACTAGTAGGAGATGGGTCTACTTACCTAGGTCTATCACTGCCATATAGCTGTCGGTAAGCTCAAGTGATCGCTACACAGAAATACCTATGTAATTTGTACTGTAGAAGCCAGAATTGCCTCCTCTTCCTCGTCCGCCATATTTGCCGTGCGTGTTATGCTCGTCATGTCATAGTTCTAAGTGGCACTCTTCCACGTGAAGCTCCAGGTATTATCGATTAGGGAATCTCTACCTAGGTAGTAACGAGAGTCTCGACTGCTCGTTATACCCAGGGTAACCTTTAGTTGGCAACCGGCCGTTTAGGTCCCAGTCGCCTGCCTTAATGGTACCTAGTAAGCGTCAGTTTAACGAATTTCAACTTGTCTCGCTGTCTATAACAGAGACAGAAACACTGGCACGAGAACAAGGGCCCGATATGATATGACCTGGTAATATATTGCCACATCATTACACGCATGTGTGTGCTCCTTTGACGCAGATATATTTACCACCCTTTTCTATGAGGTTAGCACGACGTACCGACTGGCGCGGCCACCTGCTCACCCGCTCCCTCACTCGCTCGTTTAGTTGACGCCGGGTGATCGAGGCCGTGGGCTTCTGTTTGCTACACCACAGGACGCATCCTGCATCCTCGACCCAATCGCCGCGATCCGGCCATATCTCAGCGCGCTGCACCCAGGCGCAGTGCCGCCGACTCCAGACGTGCTGAACCAACTAGACTTGGCTGTTACGGGATCTGTATACTAGGGTCCCCTCCTCCCGAGGCCTCATAGGTCTCGGGCACAGACTCAACTTGTTCGAAGCGGCGGGATTGTGCAGACGGCGATAATAAACGCTTCCCGTATCCGCCAGATGGCCCGATGTCTTATATGAAATGATTATAACAACCACGGCCGAGCGTTAAAACCGGCTCATGGAGTAGGGGGTCGTTCAGTCTCGGTTCCTAGACAGTGTCCCCGCGCTGTTCCTCTTCAGTAGGTACTTGTATTATTACTTTGTATAATACAACCTTGCCGGAGGAGACATTACTTAGACTGAGAGGAGTATAGCGGAGTGATTCAATGTATATCACCTACTGTCCCTAGTAGGAGATACTATATGCTGAGTATCTCTCCTTTTCTGATAACAGTCCACACCGGTCATATAATGTCCGTACCTTCATTTCGTCTTGGTAAGTGTAACAGTGCTACCTAGCCTTTAGTTTTTTTTACTTGCCTTACCCTTTCTTGAATAAATTGAAATGAAAATAAATAACTCTATTTTGAATATGTACTATATTATTCAACTAACAACTCTAGACGCTGTTGCAGAATTTGTTGAAAACATACCAAATAGATTTATAAATATTTATGAGTAAAACCAAATACTTTAAACTTATTATTTTTACAACGTGTTATTTCTTAATATTCATTCATTAAAAATAAATGTTAAAATCGCCGAAATTCAGATTCCTACGCATCGCTGGCAACGAAGAGAAACTGATCATTCATTAGGTACATAATGAGTATCCCTCGGGTCTATCCTGCTTTGCGGGGTGCATTCCCTCGCGCTGAATCTGCACACCTTGTCCCTGCTTGTGTTGATCATCTTCCCGCTCGGGTTACAGACCAGCCCAACATCGTCCCCGTATAGGACCTTTTACACACGTGGCTAGTCGCTTATACATCTAGGTAACAAATACGTATTCGCTTATTGGCGGCTCTCTAAGCCCGCCGCCTTCCCCATCGCCCTCTAAGGCTGATCAGATGGTGTAGATGAAGTCGGGCCTGTTGTCGCCGAGGGCCTCGATCTCGGCCGCGGACTTGCCTTCGACGCGGTAGTCGCGCTTGCCCTCGCGACGGCGGCGGTTCTCGACGCGCAGGAGGACGGTCATGAGCAAGCTCCCCCCGAAGAGGAAGACGGTCATATAAGCGACCAGAACGCCGTGGCCCTCGAGGTAGCGCGGTGGGTTGAAGTATATATTCGAGCTGACGATGCCGTTGAGGTTGCCCCAGCCGATGACAAAACCGAGCACTACTCCGCGCTTATATACGCCCTCGATGTTGTTCGCCATCCAGCTGATCGTGTTGGAGATGCACGGGTAGATGCCCAGCGCGCCCAGGAACGTGCCCGCGTACTTGACCCGTGGGTCGGTCGATGCCAGCAGCATCAGGAACCCTACCACGCCCACCAGGCTGACAAAGATGTTGCATAAGCCCCGCTGCCGCGTCCGGTCGGCGATGAACCCGATGGCGACGGTCAGAACGGCGGCGGCAGCGTAAGGGGGCACGCTCAGGAGCTGCGCCCGCACCGTGCTCGTCCCCCACCCGAGCTCTTGGATAATGCTGGGTAGGAAGAGCGAGAAGGCGTAGAGCGGCATGTCGCAGCCCATGTAGATGGCCATGCCGAGCCACATCTTCCAGTCCTTAAGACCGGCGATGAGGTAGCTGATCTTCCACTCTTCGTGCTCGGCCGACGACTGCTGGTCCGTCTTGAGCCGTCGCACGACGCGGGCCCGGTCGTCTTCCGACAGGAAGCGCGCCTGGTCCGGAAAGTCGTGCACCATCCAGAACGACGCGACGCCGAAGATGACGGTTAGCAGGCCCTCGAGGATGAAGATCCACGACCAGCCCGGACGACCCCCGACCCCGTTCATCTGCTCGATCGCGGCCGCGAGGAGGCCACCGAAGGAGCCCGAGACGGCAGCAGCTGAGAAAAAGATCGCCTAGGTTTGGGATGAGCCGGAGAACGCGATGTAAGAGAAGGAGAAACGAGAAAGAAGAGCACGAAAGGGGAAGCGTTTACGTACAGCTCGGACGCCGAATTCGGAGCGCTTATACCAGCACGAGAGGTAGTAGTTGACCCCGGGGAACAGACCGGCCTCAGTGAGGCCGAGAAACCAGCGCGCAGCGAGGAGGCCAGAGTAGTTGTGGACGAAGCCCATGCCGGTCATGGAAGCGCCCCATAGTATCCTGTTGATAGCCGCGCGCGTGACGGGGCGTGGCGTTAACAAGCAAGTTCTCTCACTCTCCCTCCGTCTCCCATTGAAGAGCCACGACAATTACCGCTCCCACCATTCTTGAGCCGATAGGCCCAACTGCAAGGCTCGCAAAAAATAAGGAAACGGGCGGAGCCGAGTCTTACATGATGATGGGGATGAAGATGGACGGGCGCAGCCTCTTGAGCAGGACGTTGGTCAGCGGCTCGAACACCGAGTACGAGACGAAGAAGATGGTGAGCGTCGCGTTGTACTCGTGCGGCAGGCTCAGCTGCAGGTCGTCGGTGAGGTGCGCCACCTTGGCGTTGCCGATGTTGGTCCGGTCCAGGAAGGCGAGCAGGTACAGGATGCATAGCTATACGTACGCACGACGTCGAGGGGGGGCAACGGTTAGCGGACAGGTCTCGGCTACGTACGGCACACACATAGGTTCCCCTTCCCACCGTCTCGCTCTCCTCCTCCCGTCGTCTCCCCCTCGCCCTCTTGTATGGGAATGTGCGGGATAGCGTACCCAAGGTATTAGTATCCAATCGAGTTTCCAGACCAGTTTACGGTCCTAACGCCGAGGTCAGCCATGCTTACGAGATGCCGGAGCGGGACCTATCCTCTGCTTACGATCTTGTCTTTCTCCTCTTGGCTGAGGTGGGCGTCAGGGTCGGGTAGTACACCTTGGATGGTGCCGATGGTGTCTTCATCCTGAGAATCATGAGAGGCGAAGTTCTTCTCGGGGTCGGCCATGGCTACTCTCTCCCGGGCCTCGTGTGCCACCGTGAAGAGGTATCTCGAGCTCTTAGCTTCACCTGCTTGCTGATGACTGGTTCCGGCGCGGGAAAGATGCCGGGTGTGTGACTGAACAAGGATACTGGGTAGTGTTAGGTGTGCCTCGCTGGACCCCTTGTTGCTCGAACTCGGGCCCGCGAGAGTCTGCACAGTCGGCCTTGTCTACGCGACCACAACAGGTTGAAAAGAACCCTTAGCTGGGGGACGGCATAAAGGTATCGGGATCGAATGGAGAAAACGGTCGGATGCGAGTCAACAAGTAAAAAGGAGGTTGTGGGGACGTATCAGTGCATGCTGGGTTCGGAAAATTACATCGACATACGCAAGTTGTGGTACGGGTCCGGAGGTGCGTGGGCAAACGAGTTGACAAGCTCGGTGTCGTTTATATATATATATATATATAGAAATGTATAGAAACCCACTGATATGGGTATGGGCCTAGGCTACGACGTCGGGTGGGGATTTACGGTTTGTAAGTCTGGGGTAAACTGGCAATTCGAGGGAGGGCAGTAGGGAAACAGGTTGGAAGAGGGGTTGGGGGAGTAAGGTGGATGGGGAGAAGGATCTGCGGATCATTAAATGCGGACAAGGGGACTTTCCTCTCTCGGCGTGTGATGTAAAACTGCTACCTAACATGACATGACGCGATATGCAAGCCCAGGGAGTATCGCTGCTGTCATTGAGGGACGGAGGGGGGGGAGAATCGAGGAATCCCTCCGATAAGCAAGGGGTGATGGTCAGTAAGGGCTGATCCGGCAAGACGCTCTTTGATCTCGCAGGGTAGGTGGTGTATCACATAGAGGCTCGAGACCATTCATCGAATCGGAGCGCTTTCTATAGGATATGAGTCCTGATGGGGGCAAAAAGGTGCTAGCGAATGCTGTAATGGGAATTGTACGTGTAGCTTGCTATGGGTTGCTTGCAAGTAACACGCGGGAGAGAGCAAGCAGGTAGGTAGTTCGAAGAAAGCGCCCAATCCCTTCAAGCTCAAGCGAGCGTGGAAGTGAAAGAGCCGATGCAAACCTCGATGGGAAGTGAGCATAGCATACGCTGGCTGAGCTGAACCGGCGTGGCGGTGGTGTGCTCAATGAGGAAAGACAGGGGCGAGGCCACGAGGGTTCGCGCCGAAATATACCTAGACAAAGACAGGTCAGGGTGCTACCGCAGTATCCGGGTTGAAGTCTGGAAGCCTGGGGGCGGAGGTACCTAGTGCTCGTTGTAAGTTCACGGGTTGCGGTCTGTATGGGCCGTGTGTATATGCTAGGGAGCCATAACCAAGTTTTACCAGCTGAGAGACTCTCAAGGCCCCCTTCTTCAGCTGCACTTGTACCTAATATATATATCTGTACCGTGATTAACGGGATCGAGCCCGGTTGAGCTGACGACACCTGCTCTATCGGTTGGGGGCGCTCTCTGCATGCGCGTACTTATAAATCTACGCGGATCGGCAGATTCCCCGCACAGTCGGGTTCTCGTAGCCTTATAACTTCACCCGATGTTGGTGCTATAGATGAGATCGAGTTTCCTTGTTTGTTATATTGCGCCAATATGCCGGAAGGTCTCGTGTCGTAGGGGCTTCAGCCGCATCGTGGGTCCTGCCGGACCGAATCGATTCGTATCTGGGAACGGCCAACCCGTCAAACACAAGACACTACGGGATCTTGTGTAGTTGCCTCTCCTTCTTGATAGCAGGAGGGAAAACAGCTTTGCTCAATAGGACACTGGCGAAGAGATAGACGTCACCTAAGGTGTTGGATGGGAATTGGCGGCGGTCGATCTGTGCTAGCGACATTGGGCTGGTGGGATAATTTAGGCGTGAAAATACCGAGTCTAATGAAAACAAGCATCCCAAGAGCATTTGTAGTCTCCAAGATATGCGTGGCCCGCTGGCATTTTGCTTGTCCAATAAGGTCCCCCCTGGCAGCACTCGGGCATACCAAAGAATCATGATCCTTGCTTCGGACGAGCTACCCCACAACGAAGGATCGGTGGGGTTCGCTCTAATGGAAGACACCATCACATGGCCGAGTTGCGGAGTAAGACTTGCACCGAGCTGCTCGTCGTCTCGGGGCATTTGTCGAGAAATCTCTCAAGGGCCAAGCACTGCGCTCTCGTTTCCGTTCCTCACCCATGTAGGCACTATGAAATGTCAACTAGCCTCAGATAGAGCTAGGCTTCCGGAGAAACGAACCCCCTGAGGCTGGGTAATAGGTCAGCTGTAGGGACCCTAATGTTAACAGGGGCGGACCGCACAAGCTGCCAGGCTATCTGGGCCTTTTTCCATAGGCAATACATACCTAGCACACAGACGTCCAAGCGCGTATTTCCCCAAGTAGGTGGGCTTCGGCCATATACCTAGTAAGCCCCCGCGATCATGGCCCGTTGATTCGCGGCACCATACTTCCATGTCTCCGATGGCCCATCACGAAATGTGCTTAGGTTGCACATGGATGGGCCCATCTGATAAATGTATAAACTTGGTCGGCTGGTTTTAATATACGCGGCTCCGATATAGATATTCGAAGGGGCGAGAATATATCAGGTACAGCAGGTCTGGCAAGCGTGTCTCGATGCAGCTTTCCTTCCGTCCATATCATGCATACGCACCCCTCAAGACTGATTGGGTCGTGGATGTTGTTCGATATCGGGTCCTAGAACGTGCGCGCATCTAAGCCCTGTTTCTAAATAGGTTCGATGGGTGCTGCCTTCATCCTATGTCTGTAAGGCGACTTGAGTCTGGCTTAAGATCGCCCCGATCTTACGAACCTAATTGCATGCCAAACACGATCATCGAAAGGCAGAACTTATGCCGTATGTTGCTTGATACTTTTGATCCTAGGGTGGCGGGTGAAAGAGTGTACCTATATTGAAGGGATTGCAGAATATCTTATCTCCACTAAGGCGCATGTACGGGGTCTCCTCGTCCACAGACACAGGTAGGTAATTCTACCAGACGATTACATTACGTAATAGGATAGGAAACGTAACTTCATTTCGGGTTTCTATATATTCCACCTTTCCTTTTTTATTTTTTAACCTTTTTCATTTCAGTTTTATTGCTTATTATATAACAATTATTACTACATTATATAGATTCTAATTAAATAATATAAAATTTAATTAAATTATAAAATATTTTTATTTAATAATGATAATTTACTTTATTAAAAAATAGTATCATTGTTGGTAGGTACGTACGTAAGTAAAGTAAAGTAAATAAAGATAAGTATGAAATCTTAGGGTAAGACGATATATATTATGATATTTAGCTTAGGAGTACCTATCTAAGAAGAGGTAAGGAGACTATCTCTTATATGCTACGTAAGTACGAAGGTACCTGCGTTATCCTTAATCGCTAAATAAGCCATTATTTACTATATTTTCTTTTCGTAATTAATAATTAATAATTACGAACTTACGTTAATTTACTTATACTTAACTTACTTACGTTTTACTTATCCCTTTAATCTTAGGTTAATATAATTCTCTTCTACTAACGTTCTTATGGCTTTATTTAACGATACCTTCGTTATAGCATCGGCCGGGTTATAGCTTCCATAGATCTACCTAATATTATTAATTTCCCGATTTTCATACGACTACCGTAAGGCCATTAGGTCGATTATTAATCGTTTTTCGTTAGTATTATTTATTTAAACTAGGTACTAATATAGCGATAAGGAGTCGGTATATAATACTAAGGGTACCTAAGGTAGTACTAGGCGTTTTAGAATGGTATTAACCGTACGATAAATAACGTAGCTAACGTCGTATCCCTAAACTATTCCGTAAATCTTACTAGCGAGTACGCTACGGGTAACTTTCTTATACTTAATCGAGGACTAATAAATAACGTTACTAACGACCTTAATTTCGTTATCCTATGTAGTAGGTTCTTTATTACCTAGGATAATAAGGTAGCTAATTTACGAACTTATATCGGTATTATTAATAAATAAGCTATCGATAAAGACGTATAGGCGAAGGTTATATAGGTTTAGGGTAACGTAGCTAAGTCCTCGGTCTTTATTAATAACTTATTACTTAATCCTCGTATTAAGAGCCTTCGCCTCCTTAGTCCCGGGATTAACGTATTAAGCGGCCGTAAAGTAATCGAAGGCTACTTTAGGTTAGTAAATCGAGGAGATATACGCTCCTCTTACGCGTTATTCCACGAACCTTTTGGCTATATTAGTTACTCTAGGATCTAGTAGCTTTAGTTTCTTAACTTATCCCTTCTAAGTTATAATAAGCCTACTACTTTTAACGTAGATCCTAATACGTAACCCGTTAAAGTCCTCGGTTATTCCTAATTCGAAGGTCCTCTAGGGCTTCGCTTTAATTCCTACTTTTACTAGCGCCTTATCTTCCTATTCGAGAAACTCCTTTATACCGATATTTAGGGTATTATTTATCTAAAGACTTATAACTTTAAAAGGTTAGTTAGTACTCGTAATTAATAGGTATAGGTCGAACGCCGATGGTTCCATTTTTAATTCTCGTTAATAATACTTCGAATAGGTTTCGAATTAATACGTACCTATTTCCGCGAGTTTATATAATGGCTTAATAACGCGTAATAGCGTTCCCTCGGGATATTTATTTTTTAATTCGGATAGTAGTCGTATAAAAATTATTCGTTATATTAGAGTTTTTAATTATATATATGCCATCGTAATATCCCGGATTATTATTTTTATATCGTATTATTATTATTAAAGTATCGGAACTAGCGCTAGTATTAGACGTTAGCTTACCCTTTATATAATAAGCGCGTAAGTTATAATGGACTCCTTCTCGCGGTTTTCATAACCTTAAACTACTAATCGAAACTTCTCGTATAGCGTTAGGGTATTCTTACCTTTAACCTCTCGAACCATACGTAACTTAAAGATAGTAGCTTTTCGATAGATCGTATCGTCGTATATTTCGGGTTAGAAAATACCTTTATCGAAAAGCGCGTTTAATTCCTTTAGGTCGGACGCTTCATAGGGCTTGCTAGGTATAACGATCTTACCCGTAGCCCGTAGTCTTAATACTAGAGCATAGTCGTTCTTTTCCTTTATACTAACGAATAAGGAGCTAACGTTCGTTATATTAAGTTCCTCTTCCGGGATTACTTC